ATAGTGGTACTGCTCGCTTGTCTGCCTTGACCTTGACTTTACAACCTCTTGGTGGGTGTTGTGCGATGACGGAACAAGAGCGCTCGTATGAGTACTACGCTGCCTCTCCATGGCCGCGTTAGGACCTCCGTATTGCCAGCCAGCGTTGTGTCCTTGTGGGGGCGGAAATTGCGCGTTGTAGCCACCTGGTACTTGGCCGTATCCTGGGTAGCCTCCTTGTGGTGGCACCTGTTGTTGACCTTGCTGCTGTGTCTGTGGCTCACCGAGCGGCGGCGGACGCTGTTGAATGCCGTTTGCACCGTACGCGCCTTGACCGTACCCAGCCTGATTGTATCCGCCCTGATAGCCCGAGAACGAAGCAACAGAAGATCCCGCGGCTGGAGGAGGTGTCGGCGCCGCAGGAGGAATCCCGAGTCCTGGAAATTGCTATGATATATGTAAGCTGCGATAAACACTGCAACTGCTGCATCAAATGTGAAGCCGAAAGGCGAAAGGTAAGCGGTACTTATGTACTTCTGCATTTCATCGTTAGCGATGTGAATGTTTCAGACCCCGATTGCGCACTCACACATTATAGAGATGCTGATTGCCTGGCTGGGCGAAAGAGCCCGGGTACTGAGGTATTGGCTGGCCCTGGCTTTGACTTTGCGCGCCGTTGCCTCCAGTGCGGCTCATGTACGCCTGAAAGGCCCTTGATTGCTCTTCATTTGCCATTGCCATTGTGGAGGTTGTGGTAGTAGGTGCAAGCGTGCGACTTGAGGCCCAAGGAAAGGTCGGGGGGCAGTCCTAGTCGTGGAAGCCACGGCGGCCCTAGGAACAGAAAGCGCAACGAGGTGCGAAGAGAGAGGGAGCAATGGACGGAAATATCGGGTCAAGAGAGCGAAATGCAGAGGAGTTCGGCGCATGAGCATTGATTTTGCGGTCTAAGGAAACGCAAAGTGAAAGACGATACGATACCTACCACTACGTCCCCACCATACTCGACCAATCCGAATAGTCTCTCACCGCATCTCACCGCGCATCCTACAATAGGAATCACATGTTTTTATTGTTCCCTTAACGGCCGCCCGCGAACTACGCCCAATACGGCTTAATTTTAATACAGATGCTAGAACTCTCCATCAAGATTATTGCAAACTCAGGGTATCTACTCCACTCTTAGCACCCTGGGACCCTTCCTCTTAGTGGAGCGCTTCTTCTTGTGACCCTTGTCAAACGACACAGCGCTTTGGTGGTCGCGACCAAAGTTGTCAAGATCCTTGACCTTGTAGATCCTAATGATCCAGTTCTCGCTAGTAAAGGCCTCCTCGATGGTGCTGAGCTCAGGACCTTGGGCAGGGAGGCGCGAATTACGGACACGGTCTTGCGCTTGTCCGGCGGGGAACAATGCATTGTAGTTGTAGTACGACATTTTGTACCTATAAATTCGTTAGCATGTGCGAAAACTCGCTTTACACCAAATCACTTACATCAAGCTGTTCTTCATGGTCGGGGTGGCCTCGTCATCGACGCGGTACTCGCCACGGGAAGTAAAGAAGCTGCGCTCCTGAACCTCGTCAGGCCAGATACCCTCGGCAATCCTGACCATCCAGAGGAACTTGTTGATATCGTCTCCAGAGTAGCCGAGAAGACCACCAAAGACGACGAGGACGTAATCGACTTCGTGCTGGCGCATGATCGGGTAGCTGACTTCCTCCCTGGAGCTCATTGCCTTACCAACAGTAGCGATATGCGTGTTGTTCCAGGTGTTGTTGTCGACAAGAGTTGGGCGGTCGGCCATACCACCAATCTGGTAACCGTAATCCCACCAAGACATGATCTTGGCGTCCTGGGGCGTGTTCTGTCTGAGCCAGTAGTATGCCTCACGGTAGTCATCAATGATGTGCTGGCTGCCATCGGGAAGCCTGGATGCAAGCACAACCGAGGGCGAAGAGTAAGCGTTGGAGGTGACCCAAGTGCAGTGAAGAACAAAAAGGATGAGGTAGATGGCAGAAGCACCGGCGACGGTAACCTTGGAGGCGTACGAGTAGATACCAACAAGTGGGTTGCGCATCGACCGGAGACCATCAGGGATTACTGCCGCAGCAGCAACTGAAGCAGCATCGGCACTTCCATTCTCAGTCGCAGGCTTGGGCGACTTGATCTCCAGATATGTATCCAAGATCTGTGAGAAGGCAATCGCAGACGCAACGCAGACGATGGGAGTCAGAGTGAGCATGAGACGGACCATGACACCAGCGAAGTAACTGGCAAGCACAGCGTAGATGACAATGAAGACCTGCTCGTCGGTCAAAGTGCGGAAGCACAGGTAGACACCCGCAGGAAAGAGCCAGATCATCATGTTGAGATCGAAAAAGAACGCAGGCCATGCGGTAGGCTGATGTTCAGAGACGGACGCGATGATGGGAATGTGAATCTTGGCGTATCCAGTGTCCCAGAGCGAGTAGAAACGACCAGTCCAGGGCGCAATGACACCAGTTATAGTGAGAAGCACAAGTCCTCCGAAACCGATGACGAACACACTGAGGACCAGAGCGCGGAGGAGAGTCTGAAACTGTTTGCCAGGGAGCTGTGCACGGACCCAGTCGACAAATGCGACGAGCTGGAGAAGACCGAAGACACCAAGTGCGGACATGTGCTCGCTACTGCGGATAGGCAGGAAACCAACGAAGGGAATCTGCATACTCGCAAGCGTGCCAAGCGCATACCACGAAGTGTAGCTGACATACAACCTGGGGCTGTAGCGTCCCATGCAAATCAAGACGAAAGCGTGCAGAGGCAACAAGTTCGTAATGAAGACGTATCCACCCCATGCTGACACCATATATCCGTAGAACAGCGCAGCCATTGCGCCCCAAAACATGGATCCAAGCTTAACCGCCTTGATCCAGAGGAAAAAGGTAAAGACAAGCAGGAAGATGGCAATGGCCTCGTTATCGTAACTTCCCGCCACCGATCGCGAGATGTAACCGGGCGTGATACCCATGAAGGCTGCGGCGAGCAGACCAGCCGAAGGCGAGGTGACCATCTCATTGGTAAGGAGGTATGTCGCAAATGCAGTCAGGCCGGAGAATGCCGGGGCGAGGAGGACACAAATATTACGGATATCGACTGGGAGGGCGAGAGCGCGGAGGAGATGGTAGATGACACCGCTGGTGACCATTAATCCGGGGTAGAGAGTACCACCAGTAACTCGTCCGAGAGGATGCCATGTTCCTGTACAGCCATATCAGTCAATTGCGTGCCCTAATGTCTCTACATAGAATATGACATGTGCGGCTGAGGGACATACGGTCATCGAACCAGTCCCAGAAACTGTAAAAGCCATTCTGTACGAGGTATTTCGTTGCTCGGAAGTTGAACCATGGATCGACTACAAACTCATGTCAGTCAATTGCTCTTTCATGACTGGATTGGTGTACTAACACTCGTGGATAATACTCTCGAACCGAATTACAGAGAACAGGCGGCTGCTCACTGCAGCACCCGCAATGAGGCACAGGATAATAACTCGGAGTAGGCCACGGGTGTTGCGGCCAGTCGCCTGCTTGAGGAACTGCCCGTCATCTGCGGCGACAGCCATGTTTGCAGGGAATTGGGGTAAAAGTAGGAAATGGTGTTGCTCAGGCCGCGTCAACAGCTATAGTTCATGAGCACACGTTTCCAACTCCGCGCCTCGGCATTTGGTTTCGCCGACACGCTGTATCCCTGCAACGTCATCACCCCTTCTTGTCTTTCTGTCATCGACACGATTCATTTCAAACATCACTTTTCACTAGAACTCATGGAAGAAACCTAAGGGCGGTGCTTTGGCTAGTATAATGTGCGCATGTACGTCGCACGATATGTAGGGTAGTTTGATCCAACCACCACAAACATATCTTCCCGACCATCTACATTTCACTGATAGAGATACATGTTGCTTGTCTGTTCAACACTGCATTCATTGCATACCGGGTGATCGCAGTTGAGGCATTGAACATCCATATTGCCACAGGGATTTTTGCACTTGCACTACGATCGTTAGTACTAGCGGTATAATCCTGGTGTGGGTATCTTACACAATAGTGAATTCTGGGGGCCCTTTGCGTGCGCTTGGCGGGTCGTGAAGAGATTGCAGTATCTCCCGGGGCGGAACGTTTTCGACTATTGATCTGGATGGTCTCCGGTAGTAATGATGGATCAACAAATGTTGGTATCGAGCTCTCAGGCACAACTTCTGGTGGTGGTGGAGTCATCGGTACATCGTCGTCCACCTCGCCGATAGCATCCATTTCACTGCTCTTTTCTCTATCGTCCTCGTCGTCGTAGAAGTACCGGTCCATCTCTTTGGACAGCTCCTTCTTGGATTTGTTCTCCTCTGCACAGATCCATTCATCAATACTCTGGTGTTGCTTCTCGAAATGATTCGCAATGTGATCGAACCGCTCATCCCATGCAGCGTTGCGCTTAGCCTTGAGCTCAACAACCATCCGGCAGAAGCCACACCAGAACGAGCCTTGGCAGTTTTTGCCGATCCTACTCTTCTTGACAAGCTCTTCAACGCCAACAGACGATACCTTGTGTTGTTGATCAAGGTGGTCTCTAAAAGCCGTTTCTCTGTGTAGATGCACACAGCAAATATCGCCAGATGGTAGTATCTGCGCACAGCGGAATGCTTCGAGCTGAAAGTGTTGGCTGTTCTCATGACGCTTCCAATCCGACTTTGCGCCGAAGCGCTTATGGCACTTGGGGTATGTGCAACCAAATGGTTTTTTGTGCCGCTTCATGTGTTTGCGAAGATCGCAGTCGCGAAGCGCACGAAAATCGCATTCTTCATATTCACAGAACTTCGGGTTGGACATGAACCCTCTGTTTGATCGACGTTGTACTGTATTGACTGAACCGGGACTGCTTTTAATGAGCCTCGAGATGAACTGTGTCGCTTTCAGGGCATCGCTCTTAGAAAGGATGGCACCATTCCCATCAGCCTGGCCCGGTTCTGCTTGTCCTGGAGGCTGTTCATCCCACTTCGGTGAATCGGTTGCTTTGTGAAGTATGTTTAGGATGAAGCGTTCAAGATCTACAGGATTAGAGGGGGAAGATATAGCCTCAGAAAACTTGGATAGTGCTGATCTTTGTTGCTCAGCCTTGGTCTGTGGTGCATTAGACAACGGAGTTTCCGCTTTGGACGTAGCTGGCGAAAGCATATCTTGGCAACTCTCCATATTCGTGGCTATTGGTATTGGTAGATGACCTTGTGACGGTTGCATATTTGACCCTGCAGCGCGATGCTGAGAATGCGGCGATCCTGGGCGTAATTCTGTATAGCCATTGTTGGTTGCAAAAGCGGGTCTGCTGAAGTCTCGACCAGTGGGACATTTGGTGCTTGCAAGATCTTGGCTCTGGTCAAAGATAGGCCAGGGTCTATCCTCTTGCTCAGTCAAGTCTAGCATGGGCATAGAGTCGATGGAAGGGCTGGCCGAGAAAGACTTCTCCATCCCAGTGACGGCAAAGCTAGTATCCATGGGCGCTACTGTAGCCTCCTCACTCATGGAAGGCATGGCTTCTTTTGGATAGCATGTTGACCTGATGATATCAGCTCGCGCTCCGAATCCAAGCATACATAATTACCTGGTGATCAAATCCATTGTGTTTTCTTTCGGGTGCATTCGCTCGACATGTTGCTTGAAGTTGTCCAGACGCGGCCATACCTTTTCTTTATTCCGGCAGTCATCAGCAGCACATCGATAAGACTTCTTGTTGATATTCTGCCGATGAACTGTTGACTTGTGTCTATCAAGGTCGTTTGTCGTGGCAAAGCCATCCGTTCTCTTGCAGCCAGATACGTCACATTTGTAAGGCTTCGTGTGCTTGAGCTCATGCTTGCTGTGGTGGCGTATCAGCATTGGTCTGTGCTATTGGTATTGATGTTGCCAACGCACTTGTACTCCGAATTGCACTTGAGTATCTCTGGACAATATGGACACTTTATGTTCTTAGATCTGCTACTGCGGATACTGATGCGAGATCCCTGGTCCGAAGGTAACCGTAATCTTCCAGAGGTCTCAGATCCAACGTTCATGCTAACAAGCTGCTCGATGAAGGGTGCCGCTAACTCAGATTTCGGACGCCCGGTTTGATTACTAAGAACAGATTGGGTTATATGAGAAGAATAGCCCTCATCAGAACGCTGGACTTGACTGTCAACATCAGACGCTGGCCGACGATGATCTCGATAACTTATGTTAGACTGATGAGATGGAAACCGCGCCTTGTTTGTGTTAGAGCCTCGACGGTTCAAGGTGTTCCATGATTCATCGTTCATCAGGTCATAGCCGTAAGGTGACAGCAGAGAAGTGTCGCTCCCCACGCCAAATTTGGGGCCATTTTCCATGGGCGATACGTTTCCTTGAAGATATTCCACATGATTGGATAATGCTGAATTTGTTGCGGCCCTTGGGTTGGCAACAGAACCGACCCTACTCCGTGCATGATGCCTTCGATCTTGCAGGTTTTGTGCCTGTGGTAATGGCAGCCAGTGCTGCGTTTGTTGTACAGCATTCATAGGCAGTTGTGGCGCTTGGTTCTGATATGGATACTGATCGATAGTAATGAAGGGCTGCTGATAGCCCCGACTTAGGTTGTGTTGCGACATGTTCGCTACCGCGGGTCAGCATGTTCCAGAGCGCAAGGCATCAGCGTGCCTACAAACATTACCGCCAATTGCCTTGTAAAATACTGAGTCATCTCTCGATGAATATGAGGGCAAGTGTGAAATATCCGCCTGTAAAACACATGGAGAAATCAACATACCTCTGTTCCGATGTTCGGACTGTTACACTAGCGTCAGGCCTGCTAAAGGCACATAAGAGTGCAAACCGTCCCAGCAGAAGAGAAGGCGCTCAGGCATGCATTAGTATAAATCCCGTTGCAGCACACCGCCTCAGCTGACGACCTATATGATGCAATAATCACTTGGTGCCTGTAAGTCCTTCGTTTGGTCCCACGCGCACGGGCTCGTCGGTGTGAGGATAGACGAAGGCTTAGAGAACACTGTGCCATTACCTCATCGCTTGGCCTCGCTCATGGTGGGACACATTTGGACAAATCTCAGATGGTTGAGGCTATATTAAAAAAAAAGAAGGGGTATGACCAGGACGCAGCTTGACTGCTGTGGCCATGGCAGTACCATCTGCCCAACGTGGCACGATGATGATGCAGGTTCGTATGCGGGCGGCCTCCGGACTGACACTTTAAACCAGGCAACCGTTGCCCTTTTCGCCCTTCTCCTGCCTTTTGCAGCATGATCCGTGCCAAGCTTGCGCTACTTGCCTTCTAGACGAGTTGCAGACGGAGGACCTCGTCGCAGGAGGCTGTGCTGCGTGGTCCTCCAGCTGCACAGCCAATCATTTGGCTAGAAATCATGGTGCTTCACCGGCGGCGCGAACTTGCGTGCCGTGCTGATGCATGGGACCAAGGCACGGATAATGGATAAGATCTGCTAGGTTGGTTGCGATGTCTAGAGATGGAGGACTATTTTCCAAGGTTGCTGCACATGTGGCCAGTGCATCACACAATTGAGTAGTCGCGTTTGTCATCGAGATCGGGCGCATCCACATCGCAAATCAGGAACACATAAATTCGCTAGTATTTGGTCACACAGCAGATGAGAGAACCACTATTATGCAATTGATGCGATTGTTGTGCTAATGTCTATAACATGATGCAAGACCATGGCGCTAGTGAATGCTATAAAGCAGCCAGCCGGTAAGCGAAAGTCGGCCTCTCCAAGGCGTCTAAACCAGATGCGCCTCGTAAACATGAAATCATCTGCCCATGCGCAAGTGGATATCGTACGAAAGAATTACCAAAAGAAAACCAAATTGTATACCATAACCACCTAGTACGCCCTTGATGCAATTCGAACCAACGAACAATTCCACCCATCGTCACCCCTCTCTATTGCTGGTTCTGGTATTGGTAGTTGTGCTGTGCCGTTAGATATGACATGGCCGGGTACGTGCTGCCCTGATATTGCATCCCGTTGTTATTATCGTAGGACATCTCAGCAGTCAAAGCCTGGGTATCAGGTGTATAATAGGAAGGAAAAGGCGCAGTCGTCGTGTCAATCGGGGAGTCTGTGTACAGTGACTGCTGTTGTTGAACAGTACTGATTGGTGTCATTCCATACTGCTCAAGTCCGTTTTGCATGTTGCCATTCTGGTATGGCTGACGACGCACCGTCAACCCGTTTGCGTAACCGATCTGTGGCTTCGGAGGGGCTTGAAGTCCTGGATATGTTTGATTGGAATAGGAAGCCGTGTTGTTCGCAACGTAGTTGGCATACCCACTGGTCTGTACCATTTGTGGTGGCGGATACGTTTGCATGGTAGCCGATACACCTTGCGGCTTCAGGTCCTCCGAGAACAGGCTTTTGGGGTCAATACCAGGTGCATAGGCTGCCTTGGGGTTGTATCGCGACGGGTTATCAACTGATGAGCGGCTGGGCGTAATAGAAAGTTTGCGGCTCTCGGGTAGCTCTACAACGGGGCTTATGATGCTATCCGCGTTGAGATGCTTCTGGTCTACAAGCGGAAGAATGGGCATGCTGATCTGTTCCATATGCTTCGCTAGGTGGACAGTCAACTTCTTCCAGCTGTTGCAGATATTCCCACAGAATCGGCACGGCTCATCCTTTGGTTGCTTTGCCGTATCGCGGCGACATTGCTCGACAATAGTCCAGATATCGTCTGTGTATGCATTAGTGGTTGCTGATGACGGATTATCACGCTTTGTACCTTGATCGCCGGTCGCTGAAGCCTCCTTGTTTCCCCCTCTACCAGTACGTTGGCGTGGTTCGGCAATCTTGTGCTCTCGAACCAGATGCTGTACAAAATTGTCCTTTCGGTAGCATGTGTGGCTGCAATCGGCAATATGGCATGTCCAGTTTTCCAATTGACGATGTCGCTCATTCTCGTGTCGAACCCAATCAGCTTTACGCTTGAATGACTTGGGCTCGCCGCAATTAGGAAAGGTACAGGTGAAGGGCTGGACATCCTCATGCACGTGTTTAGTCCAGTCAGACGGTTTGTAGAATTTCTTGACTTTGAAGCACAGCGGACACTCAAACTCAGCCGGAAGTCGTTTGACTGGGGGTAACGGCACTCCTGTCGGGAACGCAGCCGGGGCAACATTACCCTCTAGAAGAGGCTCGCCATCTTCCTCCGGAGATCCAGGACCAGACACTTGGAAACCGATGAAAGGGGCATCGGCGTCCTTTGCTCCGGCTCGGGGAGGAAGCGATTTTGCCTCGCCACCAAGATCCGTGCAAAATCCACCAGATGCACACGCTTTATTCTGCACGGCGCTAAGGTGCTTGACTTTAAACTCCAAGAGCCTTTTGTACCTGCGCATCTGTTCCTGGGTGATGCGTTCAACCATGAAGTCAGCCAGGCGTGGATTGAGCTGTCGAGCATGAGTCCGGAACCCATCATAGGTCGGAATGATTGGATCAGTGCGAACTGAGAGATCCATAGATACGGGGTCCTGATCGTCATCCTCGTCATCTCCAGCTGGACTTGGCTGTGCAGAGGGCTTGGTAGCTTCAGTGTCGGCAAGTGGCGAGGCCAGCATAGGCATAGGTGGACCTCCATGTTGTGTCATGAGCTCAGCGAGACCGGGTGACCTGCCTATGTCACTTCTGCTTCGGGTGCGTTTGATAACGTTTCGAGGACCCTTGTACCACGGCCCTGTTGATGTAGACAGTCCAGTGAAACCTGTCATATTTCCATCTTTGCTGTTACTACTCAAGTTTGAGTCAACCCGGGGCGATTTTGGACGGCCCCAACTACCGATTCGCCTCGGCTTATCGATGCTGGGTTCTCTTGATTTCTCTGGAATTGGATCGGGTTGTTGTACAGGTATGCTACTTTTGCGTTTCAGGAGACCACTCGGTGCGCGCTTGGGGAGTATATTTTCCAAGAAGCTGGGGCGGCGCTGTCGCTCCTTGCTCTTCTTCGGGTCAGGTTCAATCAGTTTGGCTACACCTGGTGATGCACGAAGGCTACCAAGATCTGACTCGCTGAGACGGCGTGAACCAACAGTAGCGGCAAGTGATGCTTGTTCGACATCCTTCGCCCGTAAACGGAAACGCATCATTGCGGCATTTGAAGTAGGTGGCTGATAGCGAGCAGAGGGGTTCGAAATCTGTGGTGATTGTGACGGCACATCTACCCATGGCTTGACAATGCCGCCAATCTTTGACATTGTCTCTTGGGTAGGAGGGAAATAGGAACTCTCGACATAGCTTGCGTTGACATCTATGGCGGCAGGTGGGGACTCGGGTTCTGCTGAATCCTCGTCATCGTAATCGTAGTCGCCATAATCGCTCCGCTCATCGACGTATACACCGGGTCCTGGTATACCACTATCGTCGATGCGATCGAAGTCGGTACGCACACCCAAGCCAAAGCTACTAACTGGAGCTCGACGCTGAACATCGTTATGGCTTTTCGCTCTCCGTCGGCCTGCAATAGGCTTGAGTAGATTGTTGGAGGCTCCAGTATCACCCGCTTCGCTTCCAACCTCGCTCTTTGTGAGCCACTCCTGCACTTCAAGTTTCTTCTCCTCCTTGGATCGCTGTTCAGCAATCTGTTCTATACTGGGTATCCACACATCTCCTATCCTGTGGCGTTGGTCAGGATTGAGGCCAGTTTGCCCGGATGATCCTGTCGCCAGCCACGAGCCATCTTCATTACGCTCTGGCCCACGAACTCGCGGTTGCCCATGCATTTGCAGTTGTGATTCTTCTTCCTCATCAGAGTTGTCATTGTGGGTGTAGGGAGATAGATGGTTCCCGGAATGTCGGCTTCCGTAACTTCGCTTGCTAACTGGTCCACTGTTGTCCGAGTGTGAGGGTGAGTCTTCCCCACTGTAGTTTTCTACACGCACGATGGGGCTCGTCATGTGCCGCGTAAGAGGTCGAGGATTCACCAGTGGCTCGTTCCCAGGGCTATTCGTCAACGCCGGACTTCGTATCTGCTTTGCAGGCGTTCCATGCTGGAATTGAGGGGTATGGCTGGGGGGCGTCGATATGCTACCTGCGTAATGCAGTGAGGGGAACGCTGAACTTTCCTCGCCTAGTGCCGGACTAGAATTGTTGGTCGCGCTGGGTGTCAGTAATTGGTGATGTGGATCCAGGGAGTTATTGTGTGGAAGTATGGATGGCTGGGCGTTGTAGGTGTTCAGCGTGCCTGGGCTTAGAACTGACATGTCAACATTCCCTTGATAGGATGGGAAATTGCTGGTGGAGCCATTCTCTGTAAAGCTAAGACCATTGAATTCGTCGAGAAGGTGTCCATTGAAGTTCGTAGTCGTAGTCGCATAGGCAGTGGGATCTTGATAGTTTGGATCACTCATGTAACCAGCTTCAGGGCTAAAGTGTTCTACCGAATGCGCAGGTGAGATATTTGGACCGTTGGCATAGTAAGAACCTGGAGAAAGACCGTAGTTTTGTGATTGATTATAAGAAGAGGGCGGGGGGTAAGACATGTCAGGGTGAAGTGAAGAGTCAAGAGAGGATCCAACATTCGGAGTGAAGATAGTTTCATGCCCAGGGGTGTTGGACGAAGCAAGTGACACCATGGACCCGTCGTAGGCCATGGATGCCGGTTCTGCCGAGAAGGCAAATGCGCCTTGCGCATCTGGCATTAGGAAGTTCCCGGCGGCAGGTGCAGGATGATAGCCGTTAGCCTGCACATCTTGAAGGTGGCGCTGCTGGCGCCGAGGATCCAGGTAGGGCTGCGTAGGGGTATCGATTGCTTGCATCGTTACTCCAACTGCACTGGAATGCCAGAGGCTGACTGGAAAGCGTATAAGATGACGATGCTTGAAGGAAGGTGGCGACGAGTAGTGTGGTGTAGGATGGTAACGTGACTCGCAGGCACTGCTCAGGGTGGCATAGTGCTGCCTGAAAGGTTACTAATGACGATTATGCGAGAGTGGAAAAGCCAGGAGAAGAGGGGAAGTGTCGCAACGCGTCTGGGTGCGCAAATAGATTGGTCAGAGAGCGAAATAGACAGAAGAAGCTATCGCGGCGTGACCGAAGGCGAAAGACGTCAGACAGCTAGCTGAAGCTGGAGTGAACTGGCGATCTGCCTTGCGCAGGGCGGGACTCTGGAGCCGTTGTGGCTAGAGGCAGTGTCGGCACTCTAGGTAGTTATTGACAGGTCCAGGGGTGGGTCGCGAGCGATCTCGGGCGATTGCGTGCGCGAGTAACAGCAAAACAGCGCGAGATTCTATGAGGGTTGATAGAATCGGCGTGGAATTGATGTCGACGGTGGAGCCAGCCGCAGCAGCCAGGGAGACGTTCGAGGCACCGGTCAAGGCTGATTCCCCCAAGATGTGCAGAATGGGAGGCAAGACCGGGGTAGAGGGGCTGCACGCCAAGCACACGCTGTTCACCTTGTCGAAACAATGCGGGCGCAGGTTGGTCTGGCGTCGGGACAGTCGTGAGAGAGACAAGAGGTGGACTGAAAACAAGCGCGACGGTACGACGGCAACTTGTGAGCTTGACTGGCGTGTCGAGGCAGATTTGCAGCTGCGTGACGGCCTCTTGGCAAGCTTGATACAGGCGATACAGGCGATACAGGCGGCACAGCCTCAGTTGGTATAGGTACAGAAGCGGGAGCCGGGGGCTGGCGGGGCGAGCGAGTGGCTATGCCTCGATTCCAGAGTGCACCAAGATGTCCGTATTGTTCAATGCCTGTGGAGCAGTTGCAGTCATGGCTTTGCGAGGGAGAGTTTTACGCTTCAGACGCGGCTTCAGACGGGAAGCAAATAGCCTGACCTCATCTACCGCCCGCGTACGCTGGCGCTTAGCACTTCAGCAGCCGATGCCGATGCTATATAAAGGCAGGCCAAGGCTGCGGTCGCAGGTCGTCTCATACACGTGCCATGACAGCAGCATTTGCTACTAAGGGAACGGAGGGATATCGAAGATGCATTGCCTCGGTCCGCTCTTGTTGCATGTCAGACTGGCAGTGTTGCCATTAGATAGGTAGGATGACCTGATTTAACCATAAGCCATGTTTGGCGATGAAGCTTTCCTAGCCACGTCGCAAGCGGGTAGGGTAGTGGCTGGCCCCAGTGCGGTAGGGTACTAGGTAGAGCCATGCCGGATAGCGTCCCGGACGATAGTGGGGCACCTCGGGAATATGGCCAAAGAGCTCCTCGACCTGCTGTCTTCAGCGTACACTTTCTTCAATGAGACTAGAGCTGGCACGTAAGCTGTTGTCTATGAGCTTGGGCGAGTAGTCTGGCGGAAATAGGAATTTCGCTTCGCCTCGACCAGCTAGTAGGAGTGAGCCGCGCACATGAATAGGTTGTGATATATAGTTACAGTGTGGGCCATGAAACGCACTGCCGGTGTTGGAGGCTATGCACTTTTACCAGCTACAACTCCCTTGGCAACCGGCAACGCGGTCGCATCTTGGGTCAATCCAAGGCATAGGCGAAAGATTCGATTCGAGGTATGTTGAGATGGTAGCAGATACTAGGACGACTGGAAATGCACAGTAATGTAAGGTTCCCGCTGTAGGGTCTCGAGCAGCATGCGGCCGTGATTGAAGAGGCTGACGTCATCAAGTTCTCGTGAACCCGAGCTTTTGAAGCTGTCGTGAATTCAATCGTAGTCGTCTGAGTCTGGGCCCTGCATCCACAATTGTTCTTCTGTACTCGGTTGGTCTCGGACTAAGATATAGACATCTAGTCGAGATATCCACTACGACGGCCGCAAGCACATAGTGTACTGCCGAACACACCCCAACGGCTTTCATCAAGTCTATCCGCGAGCCGGAAAGAGTGTTTTGCTGGACTGTTGCAGAGAGGTTTTGCTAGATGATGGATGAGGCTCTAAGACCAGGCTAACCACATGCGTGGAAGTCACACCCGTTTCGCGATCTGGCTGCGGGCAGGCGCAAGCGGTGCATCGCGCGGCACCTGCAACCTTCGGTGGAACGGAGACTAAGAGACCCAAAGCATCCACTTCACCCACGGCCGCGAAGATGTCCCGGCAATTGCTTCGCGGAGCATTTTTCCCTCTTCCCTCTACTCTGTCTCCTCCTCAGAACTACTATTATCACTTTTTTCCATCCCCGCGCTCCAACGCTTGGGACTTCCTACACACCATTGATTGCGTTTGCATGTGACAACGTCACCAGACTAATTTAACACCAGTTCTGTAACCCAGGGGACATCTCAAGCCATTGGAGAGCTGTACAACAACTACCACAAATTTCGCTCATCTCATACGACGGTAAAGCACCGGCTCTTTTAAGACGAGAAAAAAGCACCAGCATATTGCACACATACTTTGGGCCACATACCCTCTGCAAATACTCAACTTTGAGCCTTTGGAGAAAGCTGCAGTCCTCGCGATATCCTCTTTCCTTGGAGACTGCCAGATCTCCGCTTTGAGCTGTAAGCGCCACGCGCCACATCGTCTTCCCCGCACCACAGCCATGCCTGGACTGAACCAGATGATTCCCCGCCCCGACTCCAGGGAACTCCTTCCACCCCTCCTCGCCTGTCTATCAACGGCTAGTGCGTCAAAGGACGTACCTCCGGGCCTCCTACCTCTTCTGTCGCCTATCCTTCGTCAACGAGTACAGCTCCTATCATCCACTGAGTGGCTCTCGCTGCTTTGCTGGGACCAAGAAGTGGCAGGACGTCTACCACAAATCATCGAAACGATCAATGTAGAGCCGCATCCGTCCTCGGGCGAGATCGAAGTGGAGGAGCCAGACCAAATACTGTACAGGCGGTCAGATCCCGAGACACTACACTCGAAATTGATACTGGGCGAATACAACCTCATACCTACATATCTTTGGTGCACAGGTGGAGAGGGAGGGAGTCGATGGCTACTGGCTGAGCTGAGAGGGACAGCGGACGCCGAGGACGGCACCGAATGGTTTGAAAGCATCGCCGAAGCTGACGAAGCGGGATTCAGGCGAAAGCCAATCCCAGGCAAGAGCAACGGCATCAAACCTCAAGAGTTGACAATACAAGCGGAACCTGCTGTGACAGAGGAGGACGACGATGGCTCGTATTGGGCTGCCTACGATCAGACACCCGGACGTACACCGCAGCCACAACGTTCCCCTGCTCCACGAGCCAGCGGTACGACGCAAATCGGACCCACGCAATCAGAACTTGAATACTTTGCGCGCTACGCCTCTGAGGTGCAGCCTGCGCTAGACGCGCACGACCCAGACGAGGAAAACCCGGCGGCCGGTGAGTCTACTCTCAACGGCAATGCGCTCAGCTACAACCGGATGCCCCAGACGGAACCCCTGGAGACATCCAACCTTGGTCCTAATGGTTACGACTCGTCCATGCCACCGGCGTATACGAACAATCTCAATGTCGGCGCTATCCACGGCAATGACAGCGCAGTACATCTCGAATCAACCGTACAGGACCAAGGCGCTGCAACCAGTGAGCTCAGCCACCCTAGGCCCTCATCTTCTGCTTCTTCAAATTCCGTGGAGAGACTGGAACGCAAGGCACAAGACTCAAGCTCAGGCAGAGCTTGCCATCAAGCAACATATCAGCACAGATTATCAAGAGCTTGTTCCGCTTGGCGAGAGCGTCGGGCATCGATAGGGAAGAGTTTGAAAGAATCATCCAAAGGGAACTTGAGGTGCTACCGTTCCTTGAGCAGGAGATGTCGTAGATTGGATACAGGAGTCATCGCTCACATCAGCATTTTTTTGGCGTTAGTAGCATGTCATTCCTAGCTAGTAAAACTCGACATAACTTTGAACAAGGTCTTCCGATGCATTGGTGACGAATTCTGCCAATATAACTCCCGCATACTTTTTGCCGTGCTCTGAATTCTCACACTTAGAGTAGGCAATGCCCTGCCTCTCATATATGTGCATTCCCTGCTGAACCATGCACCCAGTCCTCAGCTATCTTCCTCCAAACGCACGAACAACTCCCTCACTACCTCCGCTTCTGCGCATCACCGCTCGCAAACTTGGCGCCGCTAGCCTTGAGCTGTTGCAGAACATCTATGGCATTGGAGCTGTTCAAGTTCATCGTCGTGTCCATGCCTGCGCTTCCCCGTCCAATCTCCTCTACGACATTGTTAGGGTCCGCAGCGCCGATGACCGGGACTTCAGAAGCGAGCCATTGCTGAAAGGGTTTCGCAACAAAGTAGCCATCTGCGGTGAACCAGCGGGTCATGGGCGCGCGGATGTGGAGGGTTTGCTTTGGGTTCGAGGCGTAGGGTGCGGGTGTGAAGACGACGTCGCATTCATAGATTGGGATGTGTTTCTTGGTGTGTGATGATATCCTCACCTGTTTTTGATTGGCTTGTTAGCAACTGCGCGCGGTCGGTTCGAAAGGGCTGCCACGTACCTTGCCGGTCTTGCCTTCTCCCTCGTACACAACACCCTTTTCCACGATCCAGAGCCAGAAGCTGAACGCGCCATTTAAAATGAAGTAGGCAACGACGGCCGGGAGGGTGAATGGCTTGCTGGCTTCCCAGCCGAACTTCCAGTCGTAGTAGAAGAGGGCGCCGGCGATGGTGACGGCTGTGTAGCCGAGGACTAATCGTACGTCGGTCTGGGTGTGGATTTGCTTGAATTTGAGCGAGTTGAGGTAGTTGGGCAGCGCATCGTCTGTTGTGTTCTTGAGGTCTGCGAGTAGTCTTTAGTACATACACTGGGAATTAATGGAGAGGTAGTAAGTGCTGGTGGGTCATACCAGAAAGTGAGTGCACTGCAATTTTCTGAGTCGCCGACATGATGAGATTAAGACTTTTTTTCGTATATAGACTGGACAGGATTAAAAGGGTAGCAGTGCAGTCTGGGAGCTCTTCCAGAGTTGGTAGATGTATCTTTGGTGGATGGACACCTTTCCATAAGGGCAAAGCGCGGACCCTGGTCATCCCGCCGGAGCCTCAGCGGCGGGAGCTTCAACTCGGTCGTCGTCGTCGCGCACCAACAACCCACCGACCACCTCCACCCCTCCACGCCTCGCTGCATCACGCCCGTCCTCTCCGTCCACTACCGGCACCATGGCACAGCCTGTAGTTCAGACGATCCATCGGGATCCCGCCCTGTTGTACGTGCGCCGCTGTTGATAGATGGGATGAAAGCGACTCAACTAACAATTCTACAGCTGGTGGATACTTCTCCCCATTACAGTGGTTATGGTACTTCTCCTATGCTCTGTCTCAATTCATGGACCCAATTAACAATTTCCGTTCAGGTCCTCACCGGCATCCTGCGCCACTACGCCATGACTTTACTCCAAACCACGCCCAAGAAACAGGAACTGGCCAAGATCCGGCAACAGCGCTCCCTCATCCGCGGCGTCAACCTGCGAACGAATGCCCAGGTGCTTTCCCCCAATGCCTTTGCTACGCGTAAAGCCTTCATGGTGCAGGCCTACCAAGAAGGCAGGTTTCTGGCTGAGCCGGAGCTGAGAGGGAAACCGAGACCGAATCCTATGAGCGACCCGGCGGCCATGGAGGGCATGATGGGCATGATGAAGGGACAAATGACGATGATGATTCCGCAGACGCTGATTATGGGGTGGATCAATGCCTTCTTTTCGGGCTTCGTTATTAGTAAGTCTTCCATTTCACTATGTGGGTTCCCGGGGCAGAAACCAAGGCCGCTCGTGTCATTCGACTTTTTCGTAGAGCATTCCCAATCTGGAGACGCCACCCCTGAGCGAGTGAGAGGATAGATTCGGCATCTCGTCAAACCTCTTCTCCTGCACATGTCAGCTACCGCTCGCTACTCGGGCATTGAGGATTGCGCTAGAGATTGGGGTGTTGCGATTGCATTCCTTTCGATCCATGTGGCTATGCGCTACTCCACATATCGAATATGGCAAATATGGCGGAGCGGCTGGTCGGACCATCACGTCGGATACGTTTGAGCGGGCACTCGGCAAGCATCGAACTTCGGCCCTGTGTGCAAAAAGCAAATATAGTCCTCGCTAACCGATACTACTCCACAGTGAAACTACCCTTCCCGTTGACGCCACAGTTCAAGTCCATGCTTCAATCTGGAGTGGGAACCCGTGATCTTGATGTCAGATGGGTATCCAGTTTGTCGTGGTACTTCCTTACCCTGTTCGGACTGCAGCCCGTTTATAACTTTATTCTCGGAAGCAACAATGGTATGTACAGCAGAACTTATTTCCAACTTGGGTTAAGCTAACCCCGGTGCACCCAGCCGCCAATCAGGTCACGCAACAGATGGCCATGGCCAATCCAGGCGCGGGTGGCATGATGGGTCCAGAGCAGGATCCAGATAAGCTCTTCTTGAGCGAAGCTGAGAATCTCGAGGTGCTGGAGCACCGATGGATTCTGGATGGCATTGAAGAGCGTCTCATTGCCAAAATGGGAGCGTGATATTGACCCATTGGCATAGTCAGTTGTCTATAGCACAGCCATCAAGTCGTCGATTGGCATTCGTACATATCCAGAGAAAAGACGTAAAAAGTACCATCCCACGCGCCACTGCGCAGTAGTACCTGAGCAAGATGACCGGCGCGAGATAGCCAGTTTCCATGACTGTCATGTTCATGTCGCAGTCGTACGTTTTGGGTACCACTGGTGGTATGGCTTGCAGGCATAGCCGGACATGTGCGGGGATAAGCATGTGGAACGAATGACATGTTCTGCGAGTAGCTAATTTCACATGCTTCAACACCTTGTCAATCCCCTGCACACAGAGCCGCTGGATGATCTGTTGCGATACCTGATAGCGAATCCATTCTGACGATAATCTTGTCCTGCTCACCCACGCGCTGACGCAGGGGCAGCGGAATTCAATCCAGAAGGCCCATGGTCCTCCTTTGACCTGAGACAGTGCACGCGCTCGCGCTCCGGCGCCCCAACACCCGCCATTTCCCCCCCCCCCCCCGCCACTCGCCAGTCACCAAGACCGACACGGCACGCACCGCCCCCAAGCAAGCCCCGAAATCCCAGACACGCCAGTCCTGTCGGACATGGTTCCTTTCACTAATTAGTTAATTAGTGTGATGCCTGATCTGTGAGGCAGTGACGGACGTGAATGGCTGCGTTCAGCTGTCAAAACAGCCCAGGCGCATCAATGTCGCTATCTTTGACCAGCGCTCATGAGATGACAGCTTGGTCCTGGTCGCTAGCGGCATATCCAACACCCTCCTGGCGATCTACGCCACATCACCTTGTGAGCCATGCTCCGCCCTATTTGGATGCCTAATTCGAGTGTCCTTGAGTGGAATGCGCCCCATCTAGTGAGCCATCATGCAGCGACCCCCAATGAAAAACCGCAGTACTCCACCCCTTGACGGACCATGGCTTTCCCTCTTGATCGGAACCCGGGCTCCTCATCAGCGTTCCCTTTTACGCAGCAGCCATCGGAACAAACGAGTCCTTGATGCAGGTGCGGGTGCACAACAGTGACTGACCCCGAACATTAATGCGCGGCCTCCTGATGAGATCAAGGGTGATGGGCTCGGTCTCCTACAGTGTACCGTACGTCTGTTGTTCATCTCGTTGCTTCGTTAGCGTCTGGCCCCCAACGGTCAAACTGGTGGGCCCACAGCGCTGTATTCCCATCGTATGGTCCGCATCGTCCTCCGGATGATCTAGTGAGTTGCCCAGGCCGCGGGATGCAGCTCAGAGCATGGGAGTTAGCTTTGGTCATATCGCCATACAGTAGCGATCTGCCAGAGCTTTGTCGAAATTGCCATGGATCTGCGGCTTCATCCTGGGGTTGGACACTATACGCTGTACGCGGCAGGAGCCAAGTGTCCACGTAGGACTAGTGGTGGCTGACAGCATGCGTTCCTACCGAGAGTGGCCCACCGGTCAAGCTGAAGTGCAGGGGAGTACATGTCAAGTGCAAGGTTTCACAAGATCGGTTTTTATTGGTGGCTCCATGCGGCTCTGCTGAGGGCATATAGACATAAAACACTGTAGAGCATGACGGCCTCAGAGGTACATCATACCAGGACACTAGGCAGTGCAACTCGACATCCGGTTTCTTGCTTTGCTGCCTTGAGCTGTTATACTCATCAATCACTGCTCCGCCTCCTTTGTCTTGCTATTTCTTCGTCTAGTCCCAGCGCTCGGACTGTGGCTCACGGCCAGTATTACGAGCGAACACTTTGATCGTGCTGTTAGCTTCGTTGTAAGTGATAAAAACCTTGACATGAGACATTAGTGATGGGCATAGAGTTCTAACTATCCAGTGTAGTCTTTTATCAGTACATTACAAGGTCCTCGATCTGTATTGACAATCTCGGTTTTCCGAACTTGTCGCTTCGTGTAACATTGGATATGGCTATGAACGGCCAACAGTTCGGAGACTTGCCGCAAATACAAGCCATGGACGACTCACATATGCATGGCTGGGCAGCAGAGCATTACAACTACTGGCAGCCATACAAGCAGCATCCAGTCAGCTTCCCTATGGAAGAAGCGTACATTGGCGACTTCGACTGCGGCGCGGTCAGCGTCCAACCAATGCAGCGGTTCATGCTCGAGCAGTCTCCACTTACGTCCGGCATGCTTCATGCGAACATCCCACTGGACGGTCGATACGAAAGGTACTACGAGCAGCAATGGCCTTCCACAGGTTGCTTTCGCAACATATCGCCAGACCGGACATCGTCTGGCAACACTAGCCAGAACACACAAGATGAAATACCTTCACCACAGATGTATCATACGGGCCTGCACTCGCACGGCAGTCCAATGGAACAGTACCAATTATCGCTTGCATTCAATCCAATTGAGCAGTTCCAAGGTGGATCCTATCCAACCGAGACTCCAAAGTTCCAACAGAACATCAGCCTTCGCGAGCTGGAGTATGAGCCACCAGTACACGAAGCAGTGATAGAGGAAGCTGAGGAAGTCAAGATGAAGCAAGAAGCCACCTGCGACAAGGAGGATGAGGTTGTCAAGGAAGAAGCAACGCCAGAATACATGGGCTACGCAGACTCTGCCATTGGCCACTCAGTGCGCGACGCGCAATCAGTTGAGCCTGTCGATATACCCGACGAGCCCGCATCTGATTCTGACTACAGTCCTTCTTCGTCCCGCTCCAGGAAGCGAAGACGGTCTACAGCATCCAACAGCAACTCAAACCGGACACAAAAGCGACGCGGCCACGCACGCAAAGACTCCCAGACCACTAGTCCCATCTCATCAGTAAAGTCAGAGAAGAAGTCTCGAAGGACCTCCAAGGCATACAGGGGAGTCATCATGGACACCAACACTCGAGACAGCGACCAACGGCCCTTCCCCTGTCCCCTCGCCGTCTACGGCTGCACATCCAGCTTCCCCTCCAAGAACGAATGGAAGCGACACGTCAGCACCCAACACATCAAGCTCGCCTACTGGCGCTGCAACCTCTGCGCCCCCTCCACCGACCCAAGCAACTCGCACGCCGTTTACTACAACGACTTCAACCGCAAAGACCTCTTCACCCAACACCTCCGCCGCATGCACGCCGCACCCAAAGACAAGACCTCATCCAACCATCCAGAAAAGTACCCCGTCACTGAAGACAACCTCGTCGAAATTCAGACGCGCTGTCACCTCCCCCTACGCTGCGCACCACAATGCTCAAAGTGTTTGTTCTGCGATAAGACGTTCCAGGGTGCGACATCGTGGGATGAGCGCATGGAACATGTGGGTCATCATCTGGAGAAGGATCAGAGCAGTGTAGCTAGTATGCTTGATCCGGCTACGTGGAGGGCAGATGAGGGGCTCGAGAAGTACCTTGTTGAGGAGGGGCTTGTTGTTAGGGATGCTGAGGGGTGGAAAATTGGAAGTGGGAAGCCTAGGAGGCGGCATGCGCCTGTGGAGAGTAGTGAGGATGAGGATGATGAGGAGTGAATGGGTAGGTGTTTGGCTTGGTGGAAGTTTCTTTGGTTCGCAAGAAAAAGGTGTTTGCACGACACGTTCGCTTAGTTGATACCCTTGGTTTTTGGCGTTTGGGAGATTACGTTAGCGTCTACTTTGGCTCTCTCTCGACTTTCTGGTTTGAGGATACGTTTAGTACGCTGCTCTCGTTTTCTACATGATAAATTATAGAAAGAATAACGTTCCAACACCACATTAGCTGCTAGTTCTCATCTCCCTCTAGCATCTGATATCTTAATTCAATATTTGCAAAACATCGCTATCCAGCTATCTAATGAGCTGATATCCCCCAGAACTTGTTCTTCACTCCGGCACCCCTTCCCTCACAGTCGCGAAGTCGGAACTCCCACTAAGCAGCCAACGGCACCCCCGCAAACCTACTTCTTACATGTCCAAAACATTGGTACACTAACATAAAACATCTATATTTACACCATCATCATCATCATCATCATCATTAACGGCCCCGCCTACCTACAATTCACAATCCATCCACAATCCACTCACTGCATACAACCTACCAGTCACAGCGCCTCCTGCCTCCCCTCCCCAATCCCGCCTTATCTCCACGCTTCCATCGCCACCAACACCTACAAATGCCACAATCCAAAATCTAAGAATATACCTCTCCATCTTTCACCTCGGCAACGCCATCCCTCCTTCTCGGCACTTCGTCCCGGCCGATCAGTTAGTACAGCGAGCTACTTACCCGTTTGAGCAACCATGACGCACGGGCGGAGGAGTTGTATTACGGCTGTTTGATGCGGGCGGGTGAGAAGCTTGGCGCGATTTTTGGCTGTGAGTTTGACGTGGGGGTGTGCATTTAGATTTAGATAGGGAGGATTGGGATGGGGGTGGGGGTTTCTAGATGGTGCAGATGCAGATGCAGAGGCGGATGCGGGGGCGGAGATGAGATGAGATGGCATGGCATGGGAATAGCATGTGTAGCGGAAGATGGATGGTTTTACGGTTAGTAGAATTGTAGGATTGTAGGTAGCAGGGGCCCTTGAAGGATTGTAGTGCAGATGTACGGAGACGGGAGACTTTTTGATAGAGGCAAGTGCGTGAAGGGAGGGGCTGGAAATATCACTGTGGCTGTTTTCTGCTTGTGGCTGGTCGGAGCCGTGGGGTTTGACGGACGGGTACGCATTCGGGTTATGCGTGTGAGGCGAGGCATAGCCGTGGAAAGTGCGTCCAGATTGTGACCATAATGCACATGTGGTCCTTTCACGTGACTGGTACCTATTCGGTAAGAGTCATACAAGTAAACGGGCATCTGTCCCGTATTTACCGTTGCGCCTCCTCTCACTCATACCCTCTTATCAATACCCTAACATAATCTCCAGAACAAAAGGCGAAAAATAGGCAAAGCAAACGACGTGTCGCTAACTCGATGCCTGAATGCATGTCTGCTGCCTATTCAGGCCAGCAAGAGTGGGGCACAAAGGTGAGGCTGAGACAAACCTCTGTCCTCCTGACCCGCCTCTGCAGCTACGAGCTTGATCCTCCAAGACTGCTTGCTTGCGCTTGCTTGCTTTGCTGCGCCCCCGCTTTGCAGGCCGGCTATCGGGTTTATCAATCCATGATCCGTGGCAGTGGTAGCGGTGTCTGGGCCTGGGCTAACTACTACTGTGTGACGAAATAACATGCACCTTTCCCGTTGTCAAAGGTGAAGATGGAGGACCGATGCGCGCGGGTTAGATTGCGTGATGCAGGACGCTGGGCCGGTGAGGAAAGAGGGCAAATGTTTGCCTTGAGTACTCTGTTTATTGCCGAAACTGGGTATGCGGTTATTGAATATCAACTCTGGTCCTGCGCACATACAGCGTTCATGATTCACATGAATTAGCATTGCGTCATTGAAACGGATGTTCGTATCCGATCGCGTGGATGGTGTTCTGGGAGCATGCGTCGAGGATGCGAGTAGATCCAAATCTAGATCTGAATCCGAATGCTTTCCCCGTTTACATGCATGATTGACGGGTATGGGATCCCAGGACGTGAATCCTTGGCTCGGTAGGTGCAGGACGGATTCGGGTTCTGTAGGGAGCTTGCCCGGCAAGTGGCGCTGGCGGGGGGGGGGGGGGGTTGAGGGGATGACGTCATAGGCAGTGAGGCGTGTAGTTCAATACATAGACGACATTTTGGTGGCTTTAATAAGTTTGGATTTCACCGAAGCTAGAGTGGACTTCAGTCAAGCTAGCCAAGTACTTAAGTAAGCTCGGTTCTCTTCCTCTGTCCTTCTCTTTCGTCTACAGGGTTCCAAAAGTTTATTCCAAAAACAGTGAAGAGACAACCAATAGTTTTCCGTGCGATCGCGTCGAAAGTTCTATCTGGATACCATGATATGGTTCATTATTACTTCCATTCTATTCCCAAAATCAATGACAGCGACGAACTATGTGCAGAGTCCATTGTCATGTATGATGACACATGTTCGTCAAAAGCTCGTTTGAAAATATACACGCTTCAAATGTTTTATCAATGCATCACCCAAAAGATCACTGTCTCTTATTATGCGAAATTGAAAAGAGAAAAAAACAGTTTAACAATGTTGCCACGTGCAATATACTCATTTTAAAACTCAAAAATGACCTCTGCCATGTGTCGCGTTCCTCGGGGCATATAAACTCTAATTCTATTATACCTTCTCTTCTCCTCGCACCTACAATATTTTTCTCAAAATATCTTAGAAAACACCTGGGACTGATGTGTCTGTAAAACCCGCATGAAGCATCTCATGGACTCTGCTTCTCCTCTCCGTGTATTTACTACACCTGCCAAAAAGATCCCTCTCTTCTTGCTATGATTGTCTCTGCCACCATAAAACTTCAAATCTCCAGATCGAAACACGGATCGGATTGAGTCATGTCTGGATTTGAGAAGCAAAAGTCTCAAACTCGATCTAACTGGCTTTTTACAAACAATATGTCAAAAGTCGAAAACATCAATATCCATGCCTCCGTCTCCCGGCACTGTTTCTACTAGACTTAAAATTACTTAGCGCATACGAGCTTGCGCATATAAACTCTTGACTTTCTCTCCTCTTCTTGGTTACTTCTTTACCTTACTTTCTCAAAATTCCTAAAATCAGCGCGCTCACAATGATATGTTTTCTCCGCGACCAAAAATTTGACATGATAACCGAGGACCTCGTTGAATGTCTCCGCCTGTTCTCCTCCTGCGATTCAAAAGATAATAAAAAGATCACCGTCCCTTATATGAAAATCCAGTCTTCCCCGTTTTTCCTACTTTTCTACCTCACTTTCTTCCTCATCTTCTAAAAAAGTAGAAAGACCAAGCTGACATGACCGCTGTCCCTCAACGAAAATAAAAAGTCCAATAATGGTATGTGTGCTTGTGACGCCACTGCAATCTATTTCCCCACTCTCAATAAAAGACGACGATGGAATCGAAAATGCCCGTCGCTCGAGTGAAAAAGTCAGGAGTAAAGGACGAATGTGTGCTGGATGCACTGTTCAAGAGGATGTATCCCAATCCCATGTTTCTCTCCTCTTCCTCCTCTTCCCCTCAAACCACACACACACTCTCTCTCATTTACCTAAAACCTATGCTGAATTCTAAAAAACACCCCCGCAACTAAAGGAAAAAGTCCAAAATAACACTATCACCGACACATGTTCCAAAATGAATTGGAATGTACCGAATGTTCCTTCTGCTTCTGCTTCTTCTTCTTCTTCTAAAAAACTCGAGCTTTCTCCGAACATGACGTCTCCGTGACAATACACTACTCAAAAACTAATACTACTAGTCATGATGTTCTGCAACGCCAACACGAGGATCAAAACTAAAAATCATAACAACCCTTTCCGATGTTGCTGGAAAAGCGAACTTTCAACCTCAGCATGAAAAGTGCTTGTGGATAGACATATGTGGGCGTATGCATGTAGAGAGCGATGCATGTGTGTGAGACTGCTGCGGTAAAAGGAACCCGGGATTCGGATATGGGCCGTTATTCTCAGTTGTTTGTAGTTAGGTTCATAGTGTAGCCCCTCTGAATGTGTTCATAAAACTGAGCGGAGAAAGCAACGTGTAAAAACCAAGTACAGTCAGCGGTATTTTGACCGCAGAAAGAATCAACTAAAAATGGGGTGGAGATTGCTGTCATTTTGCTGGATGTATGGACTTGAAAAATGGATACTCAGGTCTCATGTGAGGAGCATGTCTGAGCAGCGATGTTGATTAGTAGAGATGTAGGCTCAAATGACCGTTTGAAAGTGGACATAATTCGATGCAAAGCTATACCCTTGAACCAACACTACAGCTCATCTTTGTATACCTCCTCACTCCCTTCCTGAGCCTCTTCCTCTTCGCCCTTTTCATCAGCCTGCTCCCTCTCCCTCTCTTTCCCCATACCTGCACCATCATCATCCTTGCTCTTCGTAGTCTTTTTCTTCGTCTTCTCGCCAACCTGTTCGTCGGTATCAATAATACCTCGGAATTCCCTGCCGTGTGGTGTGTCAACCAGAACTAACTTCCACCCCTTCTTGCCAGCCAGCTTCTTCAGGTTGACCTTGAATGTCTCTACATCCTTGGGATCGGCAATGTTGAACTTCTTCATCTCCTCCTTGGACATTTGTTTACCATCGCTGCTGGCTACCGTGGCAATGAAGGTTTCCTTTCCACCACCGACCACGACAGACTTTTCGATGACCTTGCCTTCGGTACCAACAAGCGTCTTGGCACCGACTTCGATCCCGCCGATGATGGGCCCGCGCTTCGTAGTGCCCTCAAGGCCATCAGTCGCGTCGCGTATGGGGTTGGTGTTGACGTCATCGGCATTCTCGGTGGCGATGAGGCGCTCAGCTGCCGCTATCTTGGCGGAGGCCTGCGCAGCCGTCCACGAATCGACTTCGGACTCTGGTATGACGGGTTTGCAGGTAATGGGGTGTGCAAGGTTCTCTTGCGGTGGGGTAAAGGCGACATCGTTGCAGAGGCGTGGTGTGTCAACAATCATGAGGTAGGAGCAGGTGCTCGTCTCCTTGATCATAGCAATTCGATCGGCGGACTGTGGGTTGCAATGGAACTGAAGGACGTGTCAGCATTGAGAGCGTTATGGAATTGGGTGCGACACATACCTGAACATCAATCTTGCGGGGCCTGCCTGTCAAATCGCACTCTGTGCCGTCGGACAGACGTTGCACCATGTATCTGCTTGAACCCTTTGTTTCTAACCTGGGAACTTCCAGGCCCTTCTCTTCGTCGTCGTCCTTTACATGATCCTCATCATCGAAAGTCTCCTTGCTGCCCTGTTCGCTTCCGAGCGTCTTACGCGCGTCGCCTTTCTTGTTCTTCTCTTCCTTGGGATATCTCCCAAGCACAAAGCTATGCACGCTCGTGTCTTCCACTGGGGGGTAAATAGGGACGCCACGACCCGGCGGCAGCTGGTGGAACTGCTTGACCTCGTCCTTGTAGCAGAAGCTATAGCTCCACCAGCCGCTTAGGTAGTATATGCAGTTACCCCGCATACCCTCAAGAAGCTCCCATCCTCGATCCGTCGCTCGCATAAGCTCCTTCTCCTCTTCAGCCTTGGCTTCTGCAGCAGAGGTGGTGCTGTTTTGCAGGGTTTTCTCTGGTATCGTTGGTATGCTGCATAGATATCGCTGTCCGTGTAATACGATTGCTTCATATGTCTGCTCGAGTGCATCATCTGCGGGTGGTATATCCGCCGCTGGCTTATCGCGCTTCGAAAGTTCCTGGGTTTCCTGCGACCCTGCCGTCGCCGAACTCGAGCTAGGCGATGCGTGGGAGAGAAGGGCTGTCGCATCGTTTTCTGTCACGAACGTATCCGGCCACAAGACCTCATACTAGAAATCGCATCAGCACAGTGTCATCAGTCACTTGGTACGGCGTCATACTTGAGGGAAAGCGAGCAAGTCGTCAAAGACGCTGAATGCATGTTGGCTAGCGAGCGCAATGCGCAAGACGGCCGGAAGCGCCCATATACCCCTCATGGTTGAAACCGAATGCTACGAGAGGTGGTGAAGGAATTGAGGCATGCGACGTGGAGCTGATTGCGGACTTGTTGTATCCTGGTTGGAGCCAGATGTCACTTCCGTAACTCAGCAAGCCTAAGCCGCATCGGGTAAAACACATGAGTGCGTACACAACTTCATCAGCACTCGTATTATTTCTCCGTCTAGCGAACAAATCAATTACATCTATCGTCCACCTGTACACGAAATGACGACGTGTCCAAAAATGGCCAAAATACAAAATGACGCTACTGGTTGTTCACGACTCAGCCCACGCATATCCTCTGATCACATCGCTGTTAGCCGATGGGTGGCCATATTGCTAGTTCAGACTGGTAGTCGAAAGCCTTCACTAGGCTGTGCTTGAAGCAATGCGGGGCAGTACGTGCAGCACCAACCTCGCCAAGCAAAATCCTACAGAGACATTCTTCCATTTTCCACCCATGTTTCTCCATCACCGATATTTTTGCGCCCGAACATGTTTCTCTCACCAGATAGCGCGCGAGGACGAACGGGGGAGACCATATACCCTGGGGCACCGCTCCAGGCCAATGGTATCAGGCTCGTAAACCTACTGCCTGGCAGATGGAAAGATCCAATCCTCTGCGAACTAATCAACGCCGACCTTGGAACTGCTCGCTATCGGGCCCTGTCTTACGTGTGGGGCTCCGCTCATATCACGCGACCTATACGACTCAATAACCGTACTTACTCGGTGACCATTAACCTTGAGAGTGCACTGAGGCATCTACGAGAGAAGTATCGAGATGGATTGACCCTATGGATTGACGCGCTGTACGTAACGTACCTGTTTGGGCATCGTGGACGTCTCTAACCATGGTGCATCTCGCAATTAGATGTATTGACCAAAAGAATGTCGGCGAGAGAACACATCAAGTCAAGCTCATGGGACGAATCTATGCAGAATGTACAGAGTGTATAGTGTACCTAGGGAACAACTTAGACGACACCGCTGTTGCGTTGACTGAGCCGCCGCCAGTTCTGTACTTTGACGAAGTTACTGTGCCCCGGGTGGTAACCCTACGATCGAGACGCAAGCCAGGCATATACGACATTTTCTTACTCTTCCAAGAATTAAGCCGAGGTGGTCATCCACACGAGACTTCGGCTTTTGGTAATGCACCAGAGATACTCACAACAGACCGACGAAAAACTCAGGATCGACTGAACTTATTGGAGACTTTGAGAAGATTCACGCATGCTCCATTCACACCATGGTGGACTCGGATATGGGTTGTACAGGAGATAGCAGCTCCGCCTCGAGTCGTCGTCGTTTACGGAACGATCTCTGCACCATGGACAATGTTTGCAATCGCGGCCCGTGAGTATGTGAGGCACAGCAAGACATGCTGCAATCATGATATCAAGTTCATGCCACGGGATGAGCTGGCAGTCTTGGAATATAGTTTCGATATGATCATTTCCATTGACGATCTTCGTAGCGCACAACAGACACACAAACAAAATATCCACGACAGCGCTGAGAGGATGCAACCTCCTTTACTACTGGATTTGCTCATAGCCTTCCGTGACAGGAAGGCTTCGGATCCTCGAGACAAAGTCTATGCCCTTCTTGGTATGGCTCGGACTGAGGAAGGCAGAGCATTGGTACCAGACTATTCGTTGAGCGAAGTTGAAGTCTTCCGTAAAGTAACAGTGGAGTCAATATACGCCACCGAGGACCTTTCTCTCTTCAGTACTGAGCTGGGAAGAAAGTTTCGAGATGATTTGCCATCTTGGGTTCCTGACTGGGGTGCACCAGGAAGGTCTATCTACACATACAACGCGGAAGCCCTGGAACTTTACAATGCATCTCCAGACAAAGCTACACGCCTTTCGGTCTTACCAATCGACCAAGACGCGCTGAAGTTAAGGGCTACGCGTATCGGAACTGTTCAGCATGTTGGCGATGTTATGTGGGGAGACGATGCAGAATACAACCAGAGGACACTTAGAAAATGGTGGGATATGTTGAACGCAGTGGATTCAGGGTCTGGCATGAGAAGTGTCATTCCTCATGATCTATGGAGAGTGTTGTGTGCAGACATCGTATACTACTCTCAGCAGTCAAATTTCCGAAGGAGAACGCAGTTCACCGATGAACTCATGTTCATATGGTGGGCGAATTTCTCGCGTTTATCACCATTTTTGATAAAACCAAATGATCCAAGGTTTTGGTCAAAAGAGGCGATAATGTGGGCGGATCTGTTTACGTTATGGCCAAACGCCACGCATCTGAGCTCTTTAGATGCCGAGGATATCTCCGCTGACTTTTCCCCCCGCTTCGTGCAGGATGCATGTGATGTTTTGTCAGATAATATCAAGGAGATCACTTTTCGCATGATCTACGACGCACTCTACGAAACACCGGAAAATTACTTCATCTTCTCAAGCAGTCCAACTCCGGGATCAGCTCACCCTCGTAAAGAAGCGCCATGGAGGGACCTATTTGTCAAGGCACTGGGAAAGTTGAGGGAGCATTACGGTTCAGATGTTCAGATGGATTTACTGGAAATAGTGGGATTCTCGCAGATCGTTGAGGAATCCATACGCGCAGCGACACTCTCACGGCGGATGATTGTAAGCTCGGGAACTCTGGGGTTGGCGCCAGCAGGAACTGCGGTTGGAGACGCCATATACATCCTGACGGGTGGCTTGACGCCATTTGTGTTGCGGCAGCGCAAACAGAATTTTTCAAAGACAGAGATGTTGAAATATGAGATTGTTGGCGATTGCTATCTGCACGAGAGGATGGACGGGAACAAAAAAGACCAGGACCATGTTGAGTGGATAATGCTGATATAGAGAGACCCATTATAGGAGGACTGAACATATACCGCATCCTAGCCATGAGCTTCGTGAATGACTAAGACCATACAGTGTGTGCGATCAAGGATTTCCACATGACAGAAGAGTTTGTGTTATGTCATAGAAAGAAACATTTCCCGTATCTACGAGCTAGTATCGCGTAGTTGTAGCGTTGTTGCTGACCTCGGGAAAGCCGGGGCCATGCAGGCGCGCTAATAGGGGGGCTCCGGCGGTCCTTGACGCGTCTTTCCACACTAACGCGAAAACACGTGCCGCTGCTGCCTTGCCAGGGGCACCCCCACTAATTGGCACGGTCAGCCAATCGCGGGGTGCGCGCGGGCCGCTTGCAATGTCTCACGGCTCGCAACATTTGGGACGGTCATCTTCTTCTCCCTCATCTGCCCTCGTCTTAGGTCTTCGCTCTGGTTCTGCTAGCAAAGGTGCGTTGTTATCGTCTCAATTGCAACCGCACAATTGTTATGTGTCGCCAAGTACGTTTGCGCTGACAAATAGCCGTAGAGCCTGTTCCTAGGGCAACCCTCTGCATCCTCTCTCGTCCCACGCCTTTGCTCTGTCTTGCGTACGCGCAACAAGCCAATAGCCCTCATTTCCACGTTTACCTATACGCTGTTATCTCTCTGCGCGTCGCTGTGCTATATATTACGTCATCCCCCGCTTTCGAAGTCGCGTACCGGATCTACACATGTTATTGGGCCCGAATCAGCTGAGAATACAAGATTATAAACAAACCGCCCGTTATCGGCAATAGCCGCATGAATATCAAGCGCGCCTGACCTCTCAGCCGGGCTGCAATTTGCGAATTTGGTGGCGAAGAAGCGCATCGCATCCAAGGGTCCAGGAAACAACAACAACATCGTGCCTTCCGTGCAAACGGAGAGGCCGCGCTACATCCCATTGGGTTGGTAAACGTAGAGGAACTGTCACACTAAGCAACTTGCGACGTACATTTTCCCTGCGGGGCCAACCTGAGATTGCGCGCAATACCCCTCTAGGTGGTCGCCCTCGAGCGCACGGTCCAGGATCGTGTATTTACTCTGCCCAAGTGACCCTCCATTCGAATTGCGCGATAGCGACGCAAGGACCACCAGCGTTCCCTTCGACTACTTATATGGCCCAATTCCCACCAACTTGAACCCAGAAATCACCACACTTCCTCACGACTCTCAACTCCTGCGAACGACTACTACGAACGAACCTCCCATCTGACCCGAACCTTTCCAACCGAAAACACACCACAACAGAAAGAGACTTTCACTTTGTCAAGATGGAAGCTGAACCCTCTCAACAGACCCAGCCTGCCACCCAGCAGGTTCTCGACCCGCGCCGCCTAGGCAGGAACAACTCCGGCCTCAACGAGGGCGATATCGCAGATGTCCTCGTTATCTTACACCCGGCTACACCCACTGCCATCAGAATCGTTGAGCAATCAGCGAGGTACCGACCTGAACACGTACTGTTCAGGAACTCTCTGGATTCGATAAGTGGCTCCGTCACAGATCCCGAAGAACAAGAGACGTTCATCTTGAACCCTCCCGCAGAGCGAACAGTTCCCAGCTCACGTGCAGGCGCCGACCTCGCTCTTCGTCTCTCTTCCGCAAACAAGCTCAAGTTCAAGCATCTTGGGTTCATCTTTGGACGCAACCACCAGAGCTCTGATATCATCTTCGGCCAAGACTCCGGAAAGCGAATCAGCAACCAGCACTTCCGGATCTACATCAATGTAGACGGCTTGTTGATGATTGAGGACATGTCGACGAACGGTACATTTGTCGACGACGCTCTGCTAAAGTGCAAGGTCCCTGGCCTGCCGAAGATCCGAATGCTAAGCTCAGGATCAATCATCTATATCCAGAACGCCAACGATGCCGAGATGATCAAGTTCATCGTGCGGGTGCCCTCCAGGGTTGCCTACTTGGAACGCTTCCGAGGAAACTTGCGAGACTTTATCAATGAATGCAACCCGGGCATCGGTGAGGAACAGAGCAAGATGGTGCAGCGCGTCACCCAACAGTTTGGCGGGCCGGCCATGAAGTGGGATGGTGGCGTCTGCTACAATATCATTGGCCAGATTGGAAAAGGCGCCTTTGCCACCGTCTACCAGCTTGCCACGAAGATGACCGGAAAGCTGCATGCTGCTAAGGAGCTCGAAAAGCGGCGGTTCATGAAGAACGGCATGCTTGACAAGAAGATCGACAACGAGATGAAGATCATGCAGGGACTGCGACACCCGAACATCGTAGAGTTCACTGAATACCACGATCAGGGTGATTACCTGTACATCATCATGGAGTATGTCCGGAACGGTGACCTACAAGGTTACTTGAATCAGGTTGGCAAGATGAAGGAACCCATCGCGAGGACAATGGCTCAGCAGATCCTGAGTGCCCTTGACTATCTCCACCGGGCTAAGATCACTCACCGCGATATAAAGCCAGACAACATCCTCGTCGCCGATTTGGACCCTTTCACCGTCAAGCTCTCCGATTTTGGATTGTCCAAGGTAGTTAAGCACGAGGAGACTTTCTTGAAGACATTCTGCGGCACGTTGCTGTACTGCGCTCCCGAAGTATTCCCCGATTTCAACGGACAATCCAAGGGAACAAAGCGACGACGTGGCGCGAAAGTCTACCATTCGTACAGCTCATCTGTGGACATCTGGTCATTTGGAGGTGTACTGTGGTATGCGCTCTGTGGTGAGCCCCCTTTCAAGGGCGTCGCAGATGCCACAGGCGAGGCCATGTACCACAATATCATGGACACCACCCTGAACCCCGCACCTCTCCGCAAAGCTGGTGTGTCGGATCTTTGCATCGACCTTCTGATGCGCATGCTTCGTGTCGACCCGGCGGAGCGACCGACTGACCGTGAGTGTCTGAGTCATCCATGGCTCAAGGACGGGGCAACAATCCCCGCTGATCCAACACTGCAGTCCATCGTTGAGGAAGACGAGTCTGAGCATGCTGAGCAAGAACTATCACAGCTCAGCATCCAAGAGGAGGATGAAGCAGAGATACAAAACTCGGACGTAGAGGATGACATCCTTGGCGACGAAGAAATGATGCAGTTTGTCGGAGAGCGAAAGCCAAAGCGTGTCCGCGCCGACCCTCGGTATCCACGGCATCAGTTGCGGGGTCGCGACGATTCCAGCGTGGAGCCTTCATTTACTTCGTCGCACCTCGTCAACGACGAGAGTTTCAGGGTGATGCCGACACCAAGGCAAGCCCGTCTGTTTGGTGAGATTGGCCAGTCTGCACTGCAGAGCTCAGGCATTCTGAATGCCCATGCCAACAATGCTCTGTCGCAAGAAGAGTCGGTCGAAATGCCCCAGAATGACGGAGCTGCAGACTATAACCAGTCTGCAGCTGAGTCTGAGTACCTGGGACCATTCACAGCCCCCGCGCAGTTGGAACGCGGCAGCTCGTCGACAAGCCTCCTCGGCACAGAGTCTTTGGTACGGGACCTGAACATGACCTCGCCGCACTCGCCTATATCAAGGACGCAGAGTCCGGCGATGCCAGCGACTCCGAAGACACCGGAGGTGGTTCAGCACAGTTCCTTGGGCCAATCATCAAAAGAGTTCAGCCAAGTCAGCGAGCCGACCCCGAGGGCGAGACCTTCTGGAATGAACCGCCAGATCAACCTCCCTCTCACTCCGTCGTACTACTACGACCCAATGGATCCCAATACTCATAATCTAGAGTACGCATCTAGAGTGAGTGGATTTGACTTTGTATCCATGGGCCAGGACGCAGTGAGCGGAGCATCGGCGTATCCGGACACGACAGCATCGGAGGCGAGTACGCGCTCAGTCTCGTCCAGTGCGGCGGCAGCATCCTCTCCCGCTGCAGAGGTTGTCCCAATTCCCGTCGAGCTTGATATTCGTCCGCCACCTCGGCGACTAGGCAAGCTCATCGCGACGCCGGATTCCTTTCTGCCCAACCTAACGATCAACATCGACCAGAGCAGGACTTCCTGGGGACGCTTGCCCGGAAACACAGTAGTATACGAAAACAGTCGCGATATACGAGTTCCGAAGACGGCATTGATCATCTTCTTTTACACACCAGACGGAGATCAATTGTCCCAGCCAGGCGTAGACTGGACCAGCTTCGATAACTTGAAAGTCGGAATCTGGACGTGCGCGACCCACGGCATTTACATCAACGGCAAGCACCTCCGACAAAAAGACGAGAACGGCCGGGCACGCTTTGGTCACCTGCACACGGGCGACATCGTGCAAGTCTACCAGGACGGTCGCGGTACGGAGTGTTTGAAATTCCGTTGCGAATTCTACGTTGGCGTAGGCAAGAATCCGAGACCCCCAGGCGATCAATTCGTCATACAGGCTGGGACTCTGTTGCCACAGTAGGTCTGTGGTACGGAGGAACCTGTGGGGGCTGCGTCATAGTTATATTGTTTTCATATTTCTAATCATCTGGTGTCATTGTTGTGGTAGCTATGTGTACATGTCTGTATTTAGCGGGCGTTTTGGTGGACGCGGTTGCTGCGTTTAGGCATTATCATCTCTACTTTTCTTTTCTCGTACACGATACATATCCACTGCATTTGCAGAGGTCTTGTTCGGATAGGGATGGGTGTTGGGAATATACCATGTACTGCGATCAAGGACAGATGGCGGGGATAAAGGGAATATCAAGAGTGATTACATAGCTAGAACTCCCACCCTGGACAGGGCGGACGTAAGCAAGATTGGCTAAAAGTTCAAAGAATCTGAAAGACACTGCATCACACCACTCATGCAATCAGCGTAAAGTAACAAACAGTAAGACACTTGTGCAATTTAGTCCTACAACTACCCCGCTAACCAGAGTACCTACGCACACGTACCACTAGATCAAAGCGAGTGAACAATCTGTGTCGATAAAAAAGAACCCAACGAGCACTTCGTCTGGACTGGGTAAACGAACAGCAGTAGAACCAAGACCAAGGAAAGGAGTGAGATATGTCCAGGACTAGAACAAGTTACCAGACAAATAAAAACCTTCCACCGCCGAACCCCGCAGCCACTGAGGCCTTTTCACCTCTAACACTCACTCCCAAAGCAAGCAATACCACGTAGGTCCCAAAAGAGTGAAAAGAGAGAGAGGTACAAGGTCTCTGCAAAAAAAAAGTTTGTTTTGAACTGATGGTGATGATATAAACAAGATCTGCTATCGTGGGCAGTACGTCCATCACGGGCGCGCCAGCCTAAAGCGTGAGAGGGTTTGAAAAAAAAAAGAGAGAGAGAGGTAGATAGCAAGTTAAAGATACAAAGAGGGGGCTTGTTGTTTCACGGTGCACTACCCATTAGAAACACCTGCCAACACCGATGCTGCCCGATTTGAGAAAAAGAAAGGTTGAAAGCAAAACCACAGAACGGAACACATACGTGCCGCGTACATAGACGCGCACGCGCACGTATCATTTCAAACTTTCGAACGTCAGATGAACAATTTACTGAAAAACGGGTTGCCAAATGAGAGAGACGCTATCGCGGCCTGGTTACTCGTTGGCGCTATTCGCCCTGGGCGTAGGATCAGGATCCGGAGTTGTGGCAGCAGAAGCAGCGACTGTGGCGTATGTCCTACCGATAGTCTTTGCTTTGGGTGTAGGATCTGGATCTGGGGTTGCATCCCTTTGCGCCCTTGGTGTTTCCATGACAAAGTCGGTTACGTCATCACCAGGCTGTTCGGGAAAAATCACCGGCGGTGTAAGTGACATGGGTGCAACGGCGGGCGTACCGAGACTGCCTTCGTATTCTTCCGCTGCGCGATCCTCTGTAATCATGGGAGGAGGGGATGAAGGAAGCGTTGAGTCTGGCTGACCAAAGTCTTCAAAAGAGATGACGCTGCCTCTGCTGTTCGTTCGCATCATCTCGATGCCAAGCTTCGAGGTCGACTTGGGCCGCGTTTTGGGACTTTTAGCTCGGACAGTAGCATGTCCCAACTCATCATCCTCGTCATCACCAGACTCCGCGGATTCGTGTTTCCGCGTCTCTAATATGCGACGCTTCGCGCCCACTTGCTCTGACGATCTTTGTCGGCGGATCGTTGCCTGCTCGAGAACGGCTGGTGCGGAGTCCCCGTGGGGTAGGTCAGGTGCACCACTACGATTGGGTACAGCAGACTTGGGATCCGCTTTGGCTGCATCATCCGCGATGCCCAGGTTGGTCATGGCTCTGGCGATGGCCCTCTCGCGCCAATCGTCTGCGTTGTGGATGCGTACAGGCATATCCTCGCTTGCGCGACTCTCATTGTCCCCGAAGAAGCTAGAGCTAATTGAGTCCTCGCGGCTAGACCCTCGGTAACTACCAGAGGGTACGGGTGGGAAGCCAGAAGAGTTGGATGTGGGGCTGTCCTCCTGACGCGAAGACTCTTGTCGGAGTCCAGACGGCATCATGGACGGATACATTTGACTCGGCGTCCAGTTTGGTGGCGGTGCTTTCCACTGACACAACCTACTTAGCGTGTCTGTAAGTTTAGCAACAGTAGGGGGCTTTTCGATGAGTGCGTCGAAATAGTGGGGCGCTTGGAGCTCCTTGAGGTATCCCGTGACAGCGACGATTGGAGTGTGGGTATTGGCGTTCTTGGTATCGCGAATCATGCGAGCAACGTCTGCACCGTTGACTTGAGGCAGCCGGAATTCCATCATGATCACATCGAACTTGACTTCTCCCATAGCATAACGTATAGCTTCAGATCCATTGGTGACAGTCAACGTGCGGCAGCGCAACTTTTCGAGCAGCTTCTCCATGACAAGACGTGACACTGGATGGTCTTCGCAAATCAAAACATCCAGGGGCCGGAAGAAAGGACCGTCCCCGAAGCTGATTTGTGAAAGTCTTCGAGAGCTCTGTCTGCGTCGCTGCACGCGAAGCAGGGCCTTGGCACGAGAATCTTCAGTATCTGATGATGACGGCGAGACATCCAGTACCTGGCTTCGACGCTTGTAGTGCCCTGGTAGAACATCCCGCACAACGTCTTCCTCTTGGGATCCAAGTGTTTGTGATCGAGAGCGAGGTGAGGTAGATGCTGTCTGGCCCGACGATTGGCGCTTCTCGGGAGTCGCTTTCTCCTGAGTGGTCCCGGATACAGTTCCAGATGGTGTCGAGGGCATCTTGGAAAGCTTGATCGGTGAGATGACATCTGGAGAAGGTCGTAGTCCTGACATGCGCGAAGGGTCAAAGAAGTTCCCAGGTTGCAGCGAAGATGGATTGCTCGTTGAGTGGGACAAGGTAGACGAGCTACTAGACGTCTTTCGCCGATCATGGTGCTGTCCTGTGCTAAACTGTACAAGCAACGGGGAGGATGGCTGCGAGCCACGACTTGGAGAAGAATGTGGCCCACTGATGGAGGGAGATGATGGCCGTCCAGTAGCTCGGTTCGTAGAAAGCGTACGCTTTAGTGGACCAGGTAGCATTGGACTGGTCTCCAGTGAAGGTCCAGGCGATGTGATATTGGGTGACTGGAGTGGAGGCGCGGGTTTGTTCTGTGGAAGCATTGCCTCTGCACGCAGCTTCTGGATAACGTCTTTGTTGGCTTTCTCTAAGACTGGCAGATTCTTGTAACTAAAGTTACCGAAATCATCGGCCGCCATGGGCTCACTGAGCCTCCGTGATCTACCCTCACGTACATGAGCTGGGATGTGAAGAGGTATCAGGCCACGCTTCATGGTTGACACAGTTACTTGGGACCTTACTCGAGATAGAGCATCGTGTGGTCGATCAGGGTAATCAGCACTCGGAGTGCCAGCCGGTGTAGTTGCTTGGTCCTCAAACTCGGGGCTGAAGTTGGCCATGGCAGCTCCTCTAGCGTCAAAATACTCTGTGTCTTCAGGGTTCTCTGGCGCAGGGATGAAAGAAGCTTCATCATCGCGCAACGTATCCCAGTTCATACCTGCAAACCACGGATGGTTTCTGATTTCTTCGCCGCCACTAGCAAATTTGTCGTCTTTGTTGGCACCAAGTCGCTCGGCGGGGTCAGAACACATCAGGCGGTTCATAAGGTCCTTTGCCTCGTCCGAGATGTCATACACATCATCGTCATCCTCGGGCCAATCGATCTTTCGCGCAAGAATGTTCTGAAACACCTCGTCTGGTGTGTCTGCGTGGAATGGAGGGTAGCCATACAAAGATTCAAACAAAATGCATCCCAGAGACCACCAATCGCTGACTTCGTCTTGGCCATTACCAGCAATCGTCTCCGGTGCTAAATAATCAGGAGTACCAACGAACTTCCGATCGTTGTCTTCTGGATCGAACAGGGTCATTGGCGGAGGCGGCATTACTGACGATGAAGGAAAGGCGCCATTTTGAGCTACACTAGACTGGCTCATGGAATTAGGTGCAGGGAACAGATCTGGTGAGCCATCATCACTGAATGCCTCTTCTTCTATGGGCGATCTTCCACGAGGATGGCTGAACGCATCATCCGCTATTGAGAAGCGACGGAACATGGCTTGTAGCGCATCGCTGTCTTGGCTGTCGCTCCGAGTTCCTGATGCTCGCCTTGAAGGCTCGCGACCTTGCTGCGAATTGTCTCGGTTCAAGCTAAAGTACGAGGGTTGGCCAATGTCACCAGCAAGAGCAGGCGTCATGGAAGGCGTATTTGTAGGCGAGTGGTTGAGATCAAATGACGCAGAACGAGAAGATCCAACTGAGATGGCGCGATGGAAGGGGCCAGTCTTGAGCAGATCCGGCGCAGGTTCAACTGATGATTTGAGTGCACGCTTTTGTCGACCGATCATACCCATGCGCGACAGTCCAAAATCGGTCAGCTTCAAATGACCTTTACCGTCAATTAAGAGGTTGTCAGGCTTGAGATCACGGTGAACAATGCTCCGACTATGGAGATGCTCCACACCAAGGACAACCTCGGCGAGGTACTTTTTCGCCCAGTCTTCTGGCAACGCACCAAGGACTTTGATTAGCGAAGCACAATCTCCACCGTTCAGATATTCCATGACCAGATATAGATAGTCCTTGCTTGAAAATGTCCAGTAAAGCTTGGCAACAAAGTCGCTCTCGCCCTGCCACATCATGATGGCTCGCTCTGCCTTGACGTTGGTGACTTGGTTCTTTGCAACCATGTCCGCCTTTTTCAACACTTTAATGGCATAGTACTCTCCTGTAGATTTCTTCTTTGCGAGATAGACGCTACCAAAAGCACCTTTGCTGATTGGCTTGATGATCTCAAAGTCTTTGATTGATGGCGGAACAGCGCGGGGTTGCGGCTGAGTGGTGGGAATCAAACGAGGGGAGATGGGTCTCGGGCCATCGGAGCCAGCAGTAGATGACTGCCTACGGTGATGGTGACCCAAAGCATGTGCCATCGCAGGTGAAGAAAATTCTGTTGTGGGTAGAACTGGTGACATGATCGGTGACTGTACACCCTCAATACCACTGGGAAGACGTGGCTTCGTCGTCCGAAGTGGTGAAGATGGTGGAGGCACCATGGAACGAGCGGGTGAGTGTTGTCGACTAGACATGACACTGGGGAGAATCAAACTCTTTCGCTTGCGTTCCCGCGAACTGGCTACCCTACTTAAGCCGACGTCAGAGGCCGCAGGTGAGTCGGCTCGCCTAGGACCGGACAGAACTGAAGATCGCATGCTGGTATCACTATCAGCACCGGTATCGCTTTCGAAATGCATAGATTGACGCTTGCTTTGGGGTGCTATGCTAATAGCACCTGCGTGCGACCGTGGTGTTTGGCATCCTCCTTTCGGGCTGCTAGAACGATTTGAGCCTGCGACAGAGGATTCCCGACGTCCGACTCGTGCTGGTAGGGAAATTTCTGATTGATTGCGATAAGCTTGAACGATTGTAGAAGGGGCATCAAAAGACCCGGGGAACATGGCTTCCTCGCCTGTGGCTGTGTCTGTATCGTGAACGTCTGAGGGTAATTCCTCTTCTTCTTCTTCGGGTTGCTCGTCTTCCGACGAACTGTCTTCGCCTGCAGCGATGCGGGCAGCTTTGAGGATGGCGGCCTCGATGCATTCCTGAACCAAGATGTCAAATTCGATGCGTAGACGTTCGGAATACTCAAGAACCCGCCTGTGGCGAGTGACGGCGTCGATTTTGGCTTTGGCAAGTTTGCTGGTGTCTTCACATAGAAGTTTGAGGCCTTCTGTGTGGTCGACCGAGCCTGTTGTGGGTGACTGCCATTGCAGGACTTGCGATATACGGTTTTCTGACTGCGGAGATTGCGTGCGAACCTCGGTGGCTGCCTGACCGCGACCGGTGTCCTTGATTGCCGGTGTGTTAATTTCCAAAGCCGTGTCGCACAAGTCTAGCACTAACTCAACGATGCGTGCTAGAGGCCGTCGAACAGCAAATGATCGCGCACGATGGTGACCAAACCCAGCTCCGCGCTCAGAGCGTTCGCGGGATCTCGATGGCGGAGATGCCGGCGAGTTTCGTCCAGAAGGTGTGCCCGATGTTGGTGTCGATGTCGAATGGATAATCAGACCCTTGTACTCTGCGGGTTGCAGTGGCTGCACAGAGTCCATGGAGGCAGCCCGAGAGCGTTGACTGTGAGACTCTAGGGTATCGAGGACCTTGACAATGGCGTTGCGGTGTTCGGCGAGGGTTTCTTGGGCCATCTGCACGTCCATTTCGGCGCGGTGCTCTTGGAGACATAGCTCAGAGTGCTTCTCGAACCACCAGGGCGTTATCTGGCGCTCGCAGATTCGACAAAGGACGGGCAGTGGGGGTGCGTGGTTGCCGGGATCAGTGGCACTTTGCTCTGCGAGGCCGGTGAGGTAGTGGGCTAGCACTTCTGCTCCTACACCGAGAGACTCGACGAGAAGCTCTGGAAGGTCAATTGTCACCTCACGAATGACGGAGGGGCGTACCATCCACATGGTCTGTCTGAGTCAGTATTGGTCCAAAGTGGTCACATACGTATACATACGTGGCTCTCGGCTCCAGTCGTCCGGTCGTAAACCATGATGCCCTGTGCTTCTAGATTCAGATACTGCTCCTCGTCGTCAGAAGTGTCTGTTGGAGACATTGGCATCAGCTCGTTTCCTTCGGCAACGGCGTGCTTGGATCGTCGCTTCCGCAGTATTGAGTGGGGGCCGAGTCGCACGGCAAAACGGGCGATATGGCTGCGGGAGTCATCTTTCCTCACTGACTCGATGGTCTCGGCGAAGCCATCAACACCGCTACATATCATGTCTAGCACGGGCCGTCCAGTGACTTCCTTGGGCAGGGTACCGATGACATCTGTCCACGAAGGGCTGACATAGCGGATCTTGCCTTGGAGGTCCAGGTCCATGATGATGTTGAGGCTGTGCTCGGCCGCCTCTTTGAGGTCTGCTCGCTCGTTGCGCATGTCCTGGCTGACGGAACGCTCCATGTTCTGGCGGTGCGTCGTCGACCCCGCTGCCTCCTGCCTCAGGGCGGTGACGGCAGGCGGGGCGAGTGTCGTGGGCTTCTTGTCGTCGGCCATTGCGCCTACAGTGGGCTGCTGGGTATACATTCAGAAACGCGGTCTCTTGCCCGTCGCTGGTCAAATTTGGGCGTCTGCCCGAAGGCTGGCAGGTAGTGGGCTATGATCGGCGGGCTCCCAGGACCATGGTGGAAGGTTGCGACGGTCCGGAAGAGTCGGGGCGTGTAGATGAAGTCTTCGCGTCGTCGAAGCAAGTACGTCGGTGCTGACTGCTACGGGGATGGACCTCGGGCGCACAACGGGGGGCTAGCCTCCGCACACCAGGCTAGACAAGCTGCATTGCGGTGCGAGGCGAGCGATTGAGACGTGTAGTGAGCGACGACAGGCCGTGGCGTGGGGGGGGTGTCGTGATGGACAAAGTTGGCAGCAGTCGACACGATATTTTTGGGACGTGATGGATGGTCGGGCGGAGAGGGGCACACAATGGGCGTCTCAGCCGGCAGCACAAGCGTGGACGCTGGACGGGGCGACAGGGAGAGGTCGATGGGCACCTGCAGAAGCGTAGATGCAACAAGCAAAAACCAGAAACCAGTCCCAGAGCAAGCTGCAAGCGTGCGAGGACCGAGCAGCGCGGGCCTCGTCGTCGGCACGCTATCCAGCTGGCAAAAGTCCCCACGGCACCCAAGTACGCAAGCACGCGTCGCAGCCGTCGCAGTCGAGTGAAAGTCACACGGAAAACAGCCGTGCCAGTGCCAGGGCGGAGCCTAAGTGGGTGCGACGAGGTCATGGCCACGGCTAAGCATGAGGCCGGCCCATTCACTGCTCCGAGCGCCCCGCACGCCTGCGCCCTCCCCGACCGCCATCACAACGGCAGAATTGAGAACTGGAAACCCAAGCCAGAACTGGAACCACCTCAATCAATGTTTCACCCAGTCTGCGACGCTGCACCGTCACTCGCCATGCTTCGACAGAGGGCCGATATGTTGCTGATCTCTTATCCTTCTCACCACCCGCCCATGGTCATGTTTTCAGCCCGCAGCTCTCCCAGCCACTGACCGCCCAGAATGCCTCCTCACTGCATACTCATACTGCATGCTCCCGGCAATCCCTGGCCCAAGTGCATGGCTTCTTCTTACACTCCAACTCTGCACTCTGCGCTGCCGTGGCAGCCAACCTCGACCGTCTTGGTTGCCCACTTCTCGTCAGCTTAGGCGACACGAGACGAACCACGAACCATGGGCGCAAACACTATTCTGCAAAACCACGCTTGCAGCAAGCCTACTCAGCCCTTAGTATTCTCAGGGCCTACCATCAGCCCCTCTTGCCTGCCGAACGCCAGACAAGCTTGAACAGTGCTAGCTAAGCCATCCGGACGTTATCATCATCGGGCGACCATGGTGTGGTCGTCTCAAAACGCGTCTGCATCACATCATACCCTCCCAGACCCAAAAGTGCTCAACGTTACACTGCTGCTCACCCCGTTGCTGCTTATTTGCTCCTCACTATTCACAACAACAATGTGCCCCTCGTCAGGACCTGCAGCGTCGCCTTGGATACACGGCCAGGGAAGACATGCACCGCACCCCAGCCTGCCCAATCACATCCCTCTCGCATCCACCTCTTCTCTTTCCCCGTCGTGCGCTGATGCGGCCCAGGCCCGCTACGTCTGCACCTCAAATGGCCCGTGCCCGGCCAGCTGGGGATGATTACACGGGTGGAGCACACCTATTCCCGCTCCGTCCGTTTCCTATTCGACGTCAATCTGGTCATGTACGTTCAGACGTGAATGCTTGGATGCAATAAACATCCCCACCACTCCACTGCTAGTCCTGCCGCTAGCGATAATCGCCACCCAAGTGACGAACCACATAGTGTTTGGATGCATTAACTAAGTTTTATTGACGATAGTATGCAACCCAGATTACGTGCTACATCATCTTCCTGTGAACCGATGCGGGTTTTCCAAAACATGCGACTGCATCTGCCGCTCCCGTGTCCTCCTTGACGACCAACACTTGGTCATAGCTACCTACTCCGCACTGAATCGTGCGATACTGCCATCAACCAGGCTAGTCAAAGTACACAGCTTCGGGCTTGTGCACACAGATCTTGCCCGTCGAGTCAGTCTTCAAGACCAGCCTTGGGTCCTCCTTGCTCGCCTCGACCTTCTTTCCGTCCACTTCCTTCTCCTCATACAAGACCTCTACCACTTCTCCACTGATATAGCCGGGGGCCGAATGCCATTGCACTTTCTGGCCCTTCTGCGGCACGCGTGTCTTATCTCCGGTGGGCGCCGTCGGCTCATCGCTGATCTCACTTGAACCCTTCTGTTTTTTACTGGGAAGATCCGCATTCGCGCCTTGACCACGCTTCTTCCCTGGCCGATCATCCGGCGACGTGCTCTTGGACTTGCGGTTCTCTTCCATGAACTTCTTGTACTCTTTTTGGTTGTTTTCCATGTGCTCCGGGTCGTCCCAGTGCGTAGTGCAATCCGTGATGCTCTTTTTGTCAATCTTGGAAAACTCATTGGTGTCTTTACTGGCATTCTTTTTGGCATCGGCAGCCTTGGACGTGTTCTCAACGTGTTGTTTGCCCTCTTTGCTTCCCTCCTGCTTCTTCGCATCTGTCGCTTCTTTTTCCTTGTCGTCCATCTGCTCCCAAGCTTTCTTTGGCAGATAGCGGTGCTCTAGACCATTGGCGTCTTTTGCGTTACCACTGCCTTCTTTCGTTTGCCATTCTTCTTTGGTCCATTGGTCGAGGTGTTTTGCGCTTTCGTCTTTCTTTTCCGTAGTGTAGTCACCGCCTCGTTTCTTGTACTCCGAAGCCATCATTTGCGCCTATCATTACAAGGTTAGTACGTGTAGAACCTATCACAGTCATACTGTGCACCTTTCTAGCAGACCACTGTCCTGGCGCGCCTCCTTTATCGCTGGCCTGGATCTCCTCCTTGACCACGTTGTGAAGCTCTGGATCGGTGTACTTGTCGTCTGTCTTTGAGGGCATACTGGTCGCGAAGGAACGAAGGGGGATTCGTGAGGAAGCTGTCGTTACACAAACGCGATATAGCAATTGGTTCCGCGGAATAAGCGTACGATACATCCCGAAATCGATGAGCGTGCAACAAACAGCTATGTACCCCAGATTTACCTCCACTGACGTAGAAGAAGGTTCCTGCTCAAGCTCGCCCCCTTTCCGTCTAATAAACCAGCCACCCAAATCACGTACATCATGAAGCCTTCACCGCGCTTTTTGCGGCCAGAGCACTCTCGGTGATGGTCCAGCACGTTTCAATCGTGTCGCAATGACATCAATGACTTTTCGATAGTCCGCTTCGGGTTGGCCCAGCGCACGGACTGGATGTCTAACGCTGGTGGGCATAGAGCCTGGGGAAAAGAACTCTCCTCCCCTTAGTGTGGAGTTAGCTACGCTCGAGAGAAAATGTCGTGCAACACCAGCCACTCCAGTATTTTTGCGACGGCAATATCGTCCTGCAGCTAGGTCTGGCTCCCTTGTGAGACTTGGCAACCCCGCTCGCTATATATGCAGAGTGCTCGTGTGTGCTGCTGCCAAAATTGAATGGCCGATACGAGCTACGCTCCCCGAGCCGATGATGGACCGGATCGAGAGAGGCGTGCGACGAGCGCTTGCCACACTTCAAGTGCGGACAACGGCGGGACATGCTGTTCACACAAGCATTTCTATGGACTCTGCGACGCTGACACATGTTGATGGAGAAGCTGCTAAAAAAGCGGTGCAGCTGCTGGTGTGTCACCTGCAAAAGTTGTGTTCGCAATGCTGATGGCGATGATGCAAAAGCTTCGTTTTTATTTAATAATAAGAAAGTACTTCATGCTGTGGTCATGGAGCACTTTACGATTAAGGAGCAAATCATCGCGAGTGCAGTTGTATCCCTTTATTTGCTTGATCATGCCCCCTATTCTGTTCCATTACGCTTTTACTGCTACTAATATCCACCCGATGAAATGGATATGATATCTATTTGACATGAGCTCCACATCCTCGATGGAAGATTTTCGATCTGCAACGTATGCCATGATTTCTGGAACTACAGCCTCTATTTACTCTCATTATCATCCAAATTAACCTTTTCCTCCCTTGAACTCGTCTGTATCGTTTCATCAATCGTAAAAGTGACATGATTGCGGTATCAGCGCAACATCACAACTCCCACATACTCACATCAGCAAACAGCCACCACACTATTCCAGAACCTCACACACAGCAACTACCTCACAAACTCCAAGATCCCCATATCTCGATCCAACATCCAAGTGCGCATCCCAGCCAATCGATAACTAACTTCAACGGCGGTACGCACTACCCTAGCCCCCTCCACCAAAACAACCCCCTCTATCCGAGAAAATCTCGCCGCGCTCGTACCACCACGCATCATAGGTGCCCACAGAATTCCTTTTGACCCATCCATACAAGAATACAGGCCACGCTGTCAATGAAGTCACATCCACAGTCGACGTTGAAAGTTGGCCCCACACTCCAGTGGGGAACGCACGTGCCCACGGTCCTGCACACGGATTGTTCACAGCTCCCAGCGTAAGTCGGTAAAGCCTTCGTCGACGTGTTTCTCGAGTGAGGTTTTGGAACAAAGGATCGTGGGGACGGGACGGTGTAGGTATGACGCCACTACGGGAGACGGGGGAGGTAGTATAGTGGATATCCATCGCGCGTAGTTAGCGGTGGTATAAATCTATTTATCTGATATCTGACATCCTGAACTTCCCAACCTCCATCGTGATCCGCATCCAACACAAACAACAACAATGCGTGTCCCACAACTCCACCTCCCTGCACTCCTCCTTCTCGCAACAACAACGACAACCGCGCTTCCCCTGCCCGCCCTCTCAGTCCCCGTAAACCTCCTCTTCGGTATCCGTATCCAAACCAGCACCCCGCCCACCGCCACACCCCCCAAAATAATCTTCTCGGGCTTCGAAATCCCCGTCCCAGTTGCCGCGGAATCCGGAGTTTTAATCTCCTGGCTCGGAAATTACGCAAATAGTATTGGCTACAATACGCAATTCAACGCGTTTAACCCGGGCGCTCCGCAAAATGTTACCGCTGATGCTGGGATGAGTGTTGATAGCGCTGCGGCGCTAACAGATGGACAGCTGGCCCGTGTGGTAGCGACGAGTTATTCTGATGGGGATGCTGTTGGTACTGCGACTAGGGCACTCGGTGGTGTACAAACGAACGCCACGAGCAATTCCTCAGAGTCTGGTTCAGATGGCACGGCTGTAGCGTCTTCCTCGGCTCTCGGTCGGGTTTTCATCGCTACTGCGTCGTCTGCCAATGTCACCGCAGTGTTAAACACACCCAGCTTCCAAAACGCCAAAGCCGCTGAAGCCGCAGCAGGGTTTTGCGGCGGAAACTCTAGTGTTTCCACCGCTCCTACTTTAAACAGCGCTTACATCCCCATCAGCACGACTGCGGATGGTGGACAGCAGTCGGTTAAGAGCGAAGCCGTTGTGGGTTGTGAGCCTGGTGTTGAGGCGCCGAGGGTGGATGAGAGTCGTGGTACGGCGAGCTCTGAAGGGGCTGTGTTGACGGATGTGGAGGGCTGGGTGAGGTGTGATGGAAGGAGTGCGAGTAAGGTGGGGGAGAGTACGGTGTTCAGGGTTGCGGTGGTGGGGGTTTATACGCTGGGGAGGGGGTTTAGTGGAGCGGTTGGGGGTGAGAGGGTTGTGGGTGTTGAAGGGGAGTGTTAGAGGTCTTCTTATGATGAATATGTAGGTAGGGGCTAGAGACAGGGATAATGTTGGATGACTTGAAAGTATAATGATAGAATGATTGTTTGGTTTGATGTATTTTATAGTTATACAGTTCGTGGGATAGATTGTATGATTCAATGATAACTGTGGGTCAGTTCTTGCTTGCTTCGGAAAGTACCCTTCTTTGAGTGGAATGCGTGTATGAAAGTTTTTGTCTGAGTCTTTAAAGTCAAAGATGACGAGAAAGCTTATTTTTTACGTTTTGGTCAGAACGAACAATCGAGCGAGTCCAGGAACTTGCAGTCGTGTATGCTTTTGCGCTTTTTACGCCGGGGTTTTCTTCTATGATTCGGCAGGTTCGAGCTGGTGGTGACAGTAGCATGCGTACGAAGCCGATTCTGACTAACAGCGTGGGTGTCCTGGTGTTGCAGTGTTGCAGATGCCTAGATTTGTGTATGCTCTTGCCATCGGAGGAAAGCATCAAGGCATGCGCACGTGCTCACGTGTGAGGAGGTTCCTATGTCGGTAACGCAAAGCCAAACTGTTGAGCTCTCTTTGGATAGTTTGGAAACCGTGCCGGTCAACGTCCATGCTTTACATCGGTCTTACTCCTCTCAATCAATTTTTTTTGGGTTAATGTCCTTTTACTCATCTGTGAAGACGATTACAACAGCTTGCATGGGAGGCTCGGGTAAGTATAGCTACTGCTGCTATGTGGCGCAGTTATAACCCACAGCGGTTACAGCGTTGGATCCGTCCTACCTTCTTCACGATAACGCGAACAGTAATTATTCGCAGTCACCTAGCTTCAATGTCCTGTAATGTAGCTCGAAATACCATAGATCGCGAGCAGTATCTTTTTTGCCATATACCTTGGTATATCCTTTGGAGACGTAGTTGCTGGTGACAGCACCTATGACGCAGTTGGTATTCAGCCTTGCAGACGGGAAGGATCGACACATCTCGAATCTACCTTCACACCGGGTATTCCCTCGTGGATAACTGTACACCTCTTGAGACCAAAAGCCGAGGCTTTAGTAAGTCTCTTTTCAATGTTTGAACCAATACTACTGAGAGATGTGCATTCTAACGACGTCGAGATCGATATCTATATGTACACCCCACGATCCTAGCCAAACATGCGCCTCCTAGACGCGACGACACTAGAATTTCGGACGTTCACCGATGATCAGTTCCCACCTTACGTTATACTGTCCCACACCTGGGGCGATGAAGAGGTCACCTATCAAGAGATGCGTTTCTTGCAGCAGTTCGATGCTTTACCTGACAACTTGAAGCACAACACAGCTCTGATTGCCGCTATGGAAGCAGCGGCTGGACTAAAAGTTTCTCTGCGAAGCAGTGAAATTGTCAAACATCGTTCGGGTTACAGGAAGATTGTAAAAACAGCTAAATAGCGAGGAACACTGGGCGTCCCTACTTCTAGATTGACACATGCTGTATCAATAAGAGTAGCAGTGCAGAGCTACAGGAAGCCATTAATTCCATGTTCACATGGTACAAAAGGTCCAATTTTTGTGTAGTGTATCTGGAGTCGGTCGATCGACTGTGCCGAAGCGGAGAAGAATTTCAGACAGCTCTTCAAGACTCAAAATGGACTTGGCGAGGCTGGACTTTACAAGAGCTCATCGCACCAATATCGGTCAAGTTTTATAATGGAGATTGGGTTTACATCTGCACGAAAGACGAGTGGGCACGCCACATAGCTGCAGTAACTGGCATTTCGGAAATCATCCTGCTCACAGGCGACTTGGATGATGCTTCAGTCGCGCAAAAGATGTCTTGGGCGGCCACTCGACAGACGACTCGGAAGGAGGACAAGGCCTACAGTCTGATGGGTCTGTTTGGCATACATGTGCCTATGCTCTATGGCGAAGGCGACAACGCATTCTTGCGATTACAAGAGGAGATCATAAGGACATGTCTTGACGATTCAATATTTGCGTGGAGATCTCCTCAAGGGTCAGTGAATAGCCACCGTGGCTTGCTGGCAAACTCACCAGAAGATTTCAAGGACTTCAAAAACATCACACGCGGATGTGGATCGTTCGCCGGAACAAACTAGGGATTTCAGATGACAGCGGAACTTACAAACATAGCCACAGACACAGGAATGGAAGTCATGGAGGATATAACTCTGTACTTTTGTGCATTAAAAGCCACAAGAGACGAAGGGGCCATAGTCACGCTGATGCTGCGGCGCTTGGGGCCGTGTAATTTCGCCAGAGTCGAAGCTAACAGGTTTTTCAATTGGTGTGGGTCTAGCCGGGAAAGGACTTTCTACATTGAGCACACACCAGAGATTCTACGGCAGTTCAGAAGCGGGTTTATGCATTGCTTCCATCTTAAACCTAGTCCTACTGAAGCCGACTACAAGTTCATACCGGAAAAGTGGGCACTCAAAATTGAGAACGTCAGGCCACAAGATTTATGGGACCCGGAGCACCATGAGCTTAGAATTCCGGAGCTTCCTCACCGTCTATGGGAAGAGAAGGACCTCGCAAACTATCCGTTTTTCAGCAGTACGATTTTGGTGTGGCGGACAATGGACCATATTTCATCGGTATGGTCTGGTTAACCAAGGTAAACTTCTTAGATGGACCTGCCCCAGACATGATCCACATCCTTCTAGGCTACAGTCCATTGTCTGGCCAAGTGTGATGTAAGATCCTTCCAAGGGCTAGCCCTTCCAACATTTACCCTAGTCCCGACGCCCCCACCGAAGTTTGGCGCAAAGCTCTCCACATGTTTGACAGCTTTGAAGATTTCAATCAGCTTGACACCTCAAGTAACTTCCGGGTCACCATAAAGCCTGGTCAGTCACGCGGCGTAATTTCACATATTGTTGAAATTCCTGGGTTGTTAAGGCGCACGAAGAGCTTCGTACGCAGAAAGATTTAGGTTACAAATCATCCTAAGCCCCATTTGGGCTAGGAGTTACACGCTCTGTTCAAGCCTCGCATACGGTTGTTCTTTTTTTCTTTTCAACGAGATAGCTGTGGTCTATTCTTAAACATTTCCTTCGATGCGAAATTACGCATACGCCACCGGGTTCTGGTGGCGTCAATTTGTTACACGACGCTTACGTTTCCTACATTCCAATCAGAGCATTGTCCAATGAGCGCACTCTGAGAAGTTGTATTAGCCAATACTGGCGCCGGCCATGCACATATTCTGCACACATATGCGACTTCATATTGCCGGTTATTCTGCCTTCCTTATTTGTAATTTCAATGTGCGCATGACCCAGCCTATCTACCGTAACCGACATCCATTGGAGCGAAGATAGAAAACCAAGCGCCGGAAGAACAAAAACTAGGCAATCGAATTCCGAATCTATATAACCGATCATCTAAGATCGTCCCAGCGTATGCGGGTAGTGCGAGTACCCGCTGCCAGGTACGCCCTCTGCCAAGCGATCGCGGCCCGTGGTAGACATCCATGGATATTAGCGCTTTCATACGTTTCGAGCAACAGGGCGGAGATACCTTAATACAGTAGTGACCTTCTCCTCCTGAAAGATGACTCGCATTCCTTACAACTAAAAATGTCGATCCTGCTCCCTCTCTACGTATACCCAAGCGCGGGCGCCTGGGACCCGCTATACGCAGCGTAAGCGACCATCCCCCTCAACAAGCCAAAAAAATGATTCTAACAAACCCCCTCTTAGAGCAAAAGCATACCGAAATGTCGACTTCAGAGTCATCCTCAACCCCTGCTCAGGTCCCTGCATGGGCTCCCTCCCCGACCAAGTCTACCTCGACGAAGTCCCCAAACTACACGCCTACCCCAACATCCACACGCTCGGCTACGTAGCCACAGACTACGTCTCCAAACCCATCGAGTCTGTCTTGGCAGAAATCGACACTTATGCGAGCTGGCCCTCTGTGACCAAAACCCCAAACATGCGCGTCGACGGCATCTTCCTCGACGAAACACCCAGCACATACGACCCAGACGCCTACACCTACCTCGAAACCGCCAGCCGCGCAATTAGGAACTCCTCTAAATTCGTCGATCGCTTCGTCGCACATAATCCTGGTCTTGTAGCCCCGGTACTGCTGAACTCGCCGACTGTGCTGCAAAATTCTTATCTCAATCTTACGGATCTGACGATTATATATGAAGAGACGTTTGATAAGTGGCTGGATAAGGATGTCATGGGTCCGCTGCAGGCGCATAAGTTGAGGAGGAAGAATTTGGCTGTTATTCTGCATTCGCTGCCGGATGTGAATGATGAGACATTGGAGTTTGTAGTGCAGCAGGTGGAGGATGCGGCAGACTGGGTGTTTTTGACGAATACGACGGATAATTACTATCACGATTTTAGTCCCATGTTTGAGAATTTGGTTAAGGCTGTGAACATCGGGTGATAGGAGGGGTTAGAAGAGAGTGGGCGGGCTTTTTGGTAGACGGGATTGGAAATAGATGGGGGGTATCATTCTTCGTGTGTTGACTTTCTATATAGTAAGACCATTTCAATATATCAGGTTCGCGCCGCTTCTTCTCTCGCCTCCTTTTCTTTTTCTTTTGCTTCACTCTGAAGTTTTTTCTTCTCCGCCAACTTCTGTCTCCATTTCATTCCATTCCTCATAACCCACAGTACAACACCCAACAAAATCACATAGATAAATGCGATAAATGTAAACGCCCACCCGGGATTCATCGCATGACACATGGGTATAATCGCTGCCGTGCCTCCCGCACTCATAAAACACCTCGCAAAGTTCACTGCCGCCGTCGCCGCAGCCGGTTGATCGCGATGCAAATCAATCAACAACCCATTCGTAATATTAAACGCTGTCGTTACACCAAAACCCATCACGAACAGCGCGATTTCCGGTCCCACGATGTGCGTCCGGAACTTGAGTGTCCAGCCAAACATCACAAGACCAAACATGCCGAGGATGTGCCCCGGGATGAGGATTTGCAGGCGAACGCGCTCGAGCGGGAAGTTGCTGAGATCCTGTTGTTTGCCTTTTGTTATCGTCATGCCGATGGCGCGGGCGTAGCGGCGGAAGTTCCAATCTACGACGCGGCCCATGGTTAAGGAGGATACGAGTGCTGCGACGCCGTTGGAGATGTAGCAGAGGCCGATATGGAGTTCATCCAAACCGTAGGCTTCGTAGAAGAGGGTGGGGATCGCCGAGACGGTGACCATCATCCCAGTGAAGAAGAGGCCGTTGTACATTAAGAGTATACCAGATTCTTTCTCAGCTAGGATACGGAACGTGGCGAGGGGATTGGGCCAGGCAATTTTCTTCTTTTCGGGCTTGGTTGAGATTTCGTCAGGGGATAATTTGGCGAGTTTGCGTTGTTGAATGCAGCTTATGACGGAGCGGTTGACACCTTGAGGGGGTATAGAGCCGTTGCCGACGACTTTTCGGCAAGTCTCTGGGAAGAGAAAGACAAAGAGAACGAGAAGGACTCCGGAGAAGATGGCTAGGAACCAGAAGATCGATCGCCAGCCTAGGTACTGTGCGAGGAGACCTCCGATTGCTGGTCCAAAAGCTGGGCCCATGAGGATACCTGCTTGTGCATATCTGTCATTTGCGTTAGCCATGCTTCTTTTAGATGGTATGTCTAACCTACCCCATGTAAGTTCCTCGCTCAGCCGATGTCGAGATATCCGCAACAACTGCCATGGTCAAAGCAATGGCAGCTGTACCACCTACTGCTTGCAACATGCGCAGGATGAGTAGGGCGGTGTAATTTGTTTGAAGTGCGAGACCAATGTTTCCAATACTGTATATGACGAAGCAGATGATGAAGGTCAGTCTCCGTCCGCTGTTGTCGGATAAGGTACCCAAGAATGCCGGAGCTATAGCTTGCGCAATCTGAGATCGTTAGCTCATTCTCGTACAGTATATCAATCCAAGGATACAGTGATGGATCCAAATGCTAAGGGTTCTCGAGAATCTCAGCACTATCGAAAGAAGACGGCCCAACATACCATATACGTCGTGATGGAGATATTGACTTGCGAAGGAGTAATATGCAACACATCGGAAAGCACATTCAGTGCCGGTAAAAACATGGAGGCGCCAAACGGTGATATCAGTGACGAAATAGAAACCAGGAAGATAATCCATGTCTTCATTCCCTTGCTGAACACAGAGTACGGCGGTTCGGACAATGTTCGTTGCAAACCGGGCTGTACCCCAACCCTCTCCACATCAACATCCGCCTCTTCACCTCTCTCTTTCTCACTATTCAGATCCACATGCTCCTCACTCGCAGCATCTCTTGTCGAAGCCATAACCAGCCCGTTCACGTCCCCAGATATGTGGCGGAGTAATCTTTATCCAGTCCAAGTGTATGTGATACAAGACCGTATCATGCACGAAATCGATGAATAGATTTCTTCGTAAAAAAGGAATGGGTGAGGTTGGAGAAGAATACCGTTGGAACGATCCATCTTGGGGTTCCCTCAACCATTAATCCACTTCGCAACCACTTGCTGGTAGCGACTTGCGCTAGCCGGCCACGGACGTGGAGAAAAGGATGCCGAGATCCACCCAGTCTGGCTCCACAAGTGCCTCACAAACTCCAGGCCCTGGCTGGACACATAGGTTAGGAGTGCGAGGTGGTTCCGCTGATTGCAAGCATTGCAAGCCCAAAAAAACTCGGCCGATCTTGACCGGTGGATTCCAACCATTTGTTTAGAATGCTATCCGGTGACGAGGGGTTTTGTTCTTGTGATCAGTGATCGTGAATATGATAGCACATTGCTCGCCTTGTGGATCCATGACGCAGATTGCTTGGTGTTGGTTGGATGAGGCAGGTGAGTGTCGGAAGGCGCCTTCCGGGGATAAGATCGAGAGTGCTATTTCCGTGCCTCGCCCGGCGTTGAATGTGCCGAGGGATATCCACTTCTGCAGTATCAGTGTGTTGAACATCAGATCGGCATCGATTGAGAAGTCTAGATAAGCTTTTTTTTCCTATGGCTGATGCCTGCGATGTAAAAATGGATAGAGACGTCAGCAATTAGTAAGGCCGCGCCGACGATATCGAATATGCACGGCGAGATATCCAGCTCAAAGATTCACCGCTTCGCGGGTAGCCGATGAGGCGGAAGGGATACACCCGAGGTGGTGGACCTGCTGCAACTAGACGCCCAATGGATATATGACCGAAGTCCTTCCTTTGGCTCGCTTTCACGTCGGTGTGCACACAATCTAGACTTGACAACGAAGACTTTACTACCTAATCCACGCAGCTCTTAATGTTCGTACGAACGTTCCGATGTAATGATTCTCAACTATAAACCTATCGCTGCCAGAGTGTGTACAAGTCGAAGTATGCTACTGCTCACCCCTGAGTGGGGCTATGAAAAGATTCCTTAGTACTCGCTACACCTATGCTCCTCGCATGCTGAAGGTGAAGGACCAACTCCAAATTTGTAACGGTTTCTGCCAGTACCGCTCATACCCATTTTTAGAAACACTAAACGCAAGCAAGAAGCCGACCCATGCTAAACCTTTCCTCGCAGATCTTCAGAATTCACGCCCTCATACAAACTCGTCATCATCACCATGGAAGAACCTCAGCACAGCCTTAGCAACCAACAGCCCATCGTGCATCCAGTCCGCCCTCAAAGCCGCCTCATTAGCATCCTCCTTCTTCACACTCCCACTCTCCACCCTCATCTCCAACTGTCTCTTAACCAACTTCTCATCAAACTCCATATGTCCTTGCGTCGTAAACAACCTCTTTTGGATGTAAACACCCTGTACACCGGTATGATCACTCGTACCCCAAACATGCACCTTGGTACCCTCCTTTATCAAATCGGTAGTCTCATGTGACGGGGCGTTGACAACGTGGTCAAGATGCATTTGGTGGAGATGAATCTTCTGTGTGTTTTCTGGCACGTCGAATAGAGAGCGGCCCATGGCGGATAAATGGATGGGTTGGTGTGAGAGCTCCCACTCGCCGTCTTTCTGCGGCTTCACGGTTGAGCCGAGGGTGCGGCAGAGGATTTGGTGGCCAAAACAAATTCCTGTAAAGCGGATGTCGGGACGGTGGATCCATACGTCTGGTAAGACTGTTAGTGCTTGTCACATGTTGGAGCGGTCTGTGCCTGTGGGTTTACCTCTGATAAATTTCATGAGCTTGAGTATCCATTCGTCGTCGCCGTGTGCGTCCCAGCAACTACCCGTGATGAGAATGGCGTGTATATCGTCTCCTATTTCTTCCAGTTTCGGTATTGCGCCACCTTCTGGTTCAACGACATATTGCATCGCTGTTTCGATGCCTAGACTAGGGTTATGCTCATCTCCAGCCTTTTTCAGAAGTTCGCCTAATACAACCCCAAAGGAACCAGTCTCTTTTTGAGTGTCGGGATGTGTCTCATCTGTCTCAAGAACAAGCATGCGCACCTTGTCGGGATGCGACGAGAGAAGTGTGCGGTTTTGTGCGATTGGCGGAACCATTCTTGCTGTTGTTGTGTGGAGTTGGCGTACTGTACAAGATGGGAAAGGTTGTGAAGTAATTGCCTTTGAAGAAGTATTATGTCTTCTACAAGGTCCCGAAGCTCTTTTCGAAAGAAGTGTTGTTCGTCGAAGGCTACAATTCGTGAAAGCAATTGCGCGCGAAGGCTTGTACATAATCAGGTAAATTCTATGGAGAAGGTTCCAAATGACGCACACTGGCGCGCCGCCCAGGTCTGCTTCATATAGTACATGTCAAACTGATCATCTTGGCGTTGTCATGTTGTTGGGTTCGATGACGATTTTGCCTTGACGTTGTGGTTGTTTTCGGTCCTAAACTGAAAATTTAACGTAATAGCAAAGTCTTGGAAGCCTTGATCGATTCCGATATCCCGGCGAATTCGGAACAGCGCAACGCTAGCCATGCAGGTACGTGGAATCGGTGTGGCTAACGTGGCTGAGTGTAGTAATCTAATTCGTCTATCTATCTGGAAGACTAATATTTTGATGTGGCTGAATGTCTACTCCACGCCTTTGCCCTTCAGCTTTAGGTCTTCGGGGTCATGCGGGGCTTCAGCCAGTTTTCCCTCTGACTCTTTACCCGTTAGGGTCTCAGTGAAGACCTTGCGCAACGCTTCAATCGCCTCTTCCCCAATTTGGTAGTGCACGACAAGGCGACCACCGCGTATTGTTACGCCGTACTTCTCCCCTAGCTCGATGAAGTTGTTGATATTAACCTCATGAGCTTCAAGATCTAGCCACACCATGTTGGTGTCTACAGGGTACTGCAGCTTACCCCCAAGATCAGTCCAAATCTTGGCAATCTTCTTCGCGTTCTCATGAGACTGAGTGAGCTTGCCACCGAGGAAGGTCTCTTCGATGGCGACACGCATGGGGGCAGCGACAACACCAGCCTGGCGTAAGCCCCCGCCAATGGACTTGCGAATCCAACGGCTGCGCTTGATGAAGGCCTTTGTGCCCACGATGATGCTGCCAATGGGCGCGCCAAGACCCTTACTGATGCACAGACTTATGGTGTCGAATTCGGCGCAGTAGTCTTTGAGACTACCCGCGCAGCAGCTACTGCCTCCCATAACCGTGCGCGTCAGGTGCATTATGATGTCGTGTCGCGCGCCCACGCTGATATCCGCTAACTCAGCAGAGCATGATGCTCCATGAGTGTGTTCTCGAGGGAGATACGCGTGTAGGCAGCTTGACATCGTCGGAGATGACAGCGTACTTTTGGATGTCTTCTAGGGTGAGGTATGTGCCGTTTTTCGCGTCGAGCGGTTGCACCATGGCTTGGCTCAAGGTCGCCACTCCTCCTGCCTCATAGTTGATGATATGACCTCGCCGATCGCAGAGAACGGCATGTGGAGGCTGGGCGAGATGTGCTCGCAGTGCAACCTGGTTGCCCATGGTACCCGACAGCACCAGAAGTGCGTCCTCTTTCCCGGTGAGATCGGATACAAATCGCTCGAGAGACTTGGTCGTCGGGTCTTCCATCATGACATCGTCAAGCAGAGAGCACTCCTGGATAGCCTTCAGCATAGACCTGGTTGGCGTAGTGTGCACGTCAGAGCGAAAGTCAAAGGCAGCCGGGTTCTTTTTGCCGCCCCAAGCCGAACCATCGTGAGTCGCTCCATTCGTCACACTCTTGCTGCTCTTTGCAGTGTATTGCGAGAACTCGGACATGGCGATGCGCGTTGAGTGTAGCTGACGTACAGGCACGAGTGAGGGGTGGGAGAGGGGTGGGACAAAGGCTCGATTATGGGCAGTCAAGGTTTTTGCTGGGAATATAAGAAGTCAATCGCACAGTGTGTGGTCGGGACCACGTACTGCAAGCGCGTGCGAGCGGATATAAGGGCGATGGCGGCATTGCGAGGCATGTCGAGGTGATCAAAGGGCGTGAGGCAAGCCGAAGATAGGCGAAGGTGCGGAGAGAACGCGGAGAAGCCTCGACTGCGATTCGCGATAGACGCCCCACCTATGAGCTGGGTCAACAACGAACAATGGCCATTATCGTTATGTTTATTCATAAATGCAGACTATTACGCAACATAATCTCATTCTCGAGGCACACTTGGGCATCTAACGGCTGCCACCGGAAGTATCATCATATTAGGCGTGCGATGCATATTCGTTGTACGAGCATGCTACTCATATGTATTTTTGTTGAGCTAAGAAGCAAGGCTGAGATCTGATTGAGCCAAGGCTTCATTCGACAAGTGACATCTAAGCATACAGACAAAGAGAGAGTTAAGTGTAGGCAGCATGTCGATGCAAAAAGCACAATCCAGTTACGGAACTCAGAAATCCAAGAGACGAGACCGTCTTGATAGCAAAGCAGGTTCGGCGTAATTTTACAGGTACGTACGAAGGATCCATCGATCCACACCTTCGATCCACGGACACATCTACCGTTCCTATCATTTTGATATCGCTTGTAATTGCTCCGATGCCCATTTTCTGTCCTCAGTTATTCAAGCAATCGTCCCGTTGTGGTGAACACAATGCTACAGATCCTCAAGGCACGGATATCATGTCCACCGGCTACAAGGTTATTGTATTGTATTAGCTCCATACTAAAAAGCACTTTAAAACCAAAAATACGAGCACTCTTTGACAGCGCTAATAAGCCGAACTACAAAGAGCATGTCGGTGAAGAAGAACTTGGGCGTGATTAGGTCATCGAAAACGTCTGGCTGGTGCGCATTCGGGACTAGCGCGCCAAACAACGGCTCCCCACGCATCTTCCATCTCGTCCAACACTCCTCGCAACCATTTTTTTTGCTGCACTGCGTTGTTGCGCAATGAATGTGTGGTAAGCTTTTGCTTACTTACAAAATGCCATGCATGCAAATCATAAAGCCCTACTGCAGTTCACATGCGTCTTGTTCCGCTGCAGGGACGGGCTAACAAAATGACTAACCTCCCAGGCTTCGGACTCCGATGCTTGCCTGCGGGAAGTTTTGGCGTCAGTCTAGGCGACATATACGGGGGATATCCCCCGAGTTCCGAGACTTCTTACTCCTTTTGTACTTAGTATACAACAACCACCGCTTCAACACTTCCCATCTCTACATAATACTAGCTATTGCAGTTCGAATATTTTTTGTCACCATCTTAGATTCAGCAAGCATTCCACAAGACGCCAAAATGCCTTCCAAATACTCAAAGGCAGTGTCAAAGATACCGGCTACGATTCCAGACACGAGACCCTTGCCCCGAATCCTCTGTCTGCACGGCGGTGGTGTCAACGCTGCAATCTTCGAACGACAATCACGCTCGCTCATTCGCCATCTCCAACACTCCTTCCGCCTCGTATGGGCCGACGCTCCCTTCTTTTGCGACCCGCATCCAGACGTCGTCGATGTTTACAGTGATTACGCTCCCTTCCGACGCTGGTTGCGATGGCTCGACGAACACCATGAACTTGACGAATGGGCTGTCATTGATGAGATCGGCTACTCAATGCGAACAGCCATGGAGGACGACGACCGAGCCGGAGGGAGAGGAGAATGGGTGGGCCTAATGGGTTTCAGTCAAGGAGCCAAGCTTACAGCTAGTTTGCTCCTTGAACAACAAGCAAGAGAAAAATACGCGGACATGGAAGGCACAGAGGTCCCTACAGGCATCACCGGAATACCAGGGCTGAACTGGAGATTTGGTATATTATTGGCTGGAAGGGCACCGCCTATCAACCTCAACCCTGATATCATTAGGAGTGAAGCGCTGGTGAGGGCGGGAGGTATTTCAGAAGGCTTTGAGTTCTGCAACGAGGGCGTTGATGAGGATGCCACACTTCGCATACCTACTCTCCATGTCCACGGCATGAAAGACCCCGGTCTGGCTCTACACCGTATTCTTCTTAACGAGTATACCGCACCTGGTACTGCCAAGCTAGTGGAATGGGGAGGTCCGCATCGCATACCGCTTAAGAGCTCAGATATTGAGAATGTCGCTGGTGCGATATACGACCTCGCTTCCAGTACTGGAGTCAAGGTATTCAGGACTGTGTAAAGCACTGAGTCTTATATAGGTTTCTAGTTCCGATTTTCGGTCGCTTCTATTTACTATTCGGAGTTCGTGTGGCACATTTGGAGATTTCAGTCGTATTTTAGAGGGCGTTGGAGATACGGACGCGCGACTGTGCGCAAAGTTTGCTTTTTCTCTATGCGTCGTTGTGACTTTGCTATGCTACACTGTAGTTTAGATTGTTATCCTAAATTCCCACCCTTTCAGGCCTGCTAGTCTTTCTCCTGGTCATTCTCAAGAAGTTTTACCAGACCCATCAGAATATATGAAAATCCATGTCCGACATCCTCCCAGCCCGCCACTCCTCCACAGCCTGCCCCTCCATAATATCATGCACATAACACTCCCCGACCAACCTACAATGGCACCCATCCCTACCCACTGGCCTCAACAAGAACGGCACTGAAGCTCCCAACAACACCGCCACAACATCGCCCTCCTGAACCCTCGCTGGCCCTAGCCCCAACATCCCCGATTTCGTAACAAAGAAACGCCGCCTTGCCACAACGTTACAAACCAAATTCACAAGAGTGTTAGTCGTCTCCGAGTACTCTCGCCACGACTCCTTTCTCTCACTAACATACTTTACAAACTCGCGATAATCAGCCGTAAACGCAGCCTCCTCATCCTCGCCTTCCAGTACAGCTAGGTGCGCACCTCCTCCGGCCGTCAAACTCTTCGCTACCGTCATCTCTTCAAACGTGCCCTGGAAATGGTTTATAAACGCATTGATAGCGTGGAGCCAACCCTTCCTCTGGCGTGATAATCTGGGAAACCCGTACGATTTCGCCGACGGCTTCCTGTCAAAGATATCCGCGGCAAGATACTCAACGGTGTCTACTACGATACCACCAACGGAGATCGAATCGAAGCGCTCGGTAGCGCAAAACCGGCATCGCGGTTCGTGCACAACGGGTGGAGTGTAAGCGCTTACTTTTCTGCCGGCCAAGGCGTTGGAGGAACGACAGTGCGTCCAATCTGGTACCCAAGAGGCCCAGGTATCTGCTAGTGGGGAGCCGGGTTTGACGTAAGCCAAGATATCGATCTCCTTGCGTTCTAGCAAGAGGCGGCGTGCGGTGGTGCGGTAGATGTTTGCGACATCTAAGCTGTAATCTGGGGCTAAGGGGAAGAAATTGTCGTCGCCTCTGTCGCTAAAGGGCAGTTCGACGAGAGCGAAGATTTTGTCGCGCGGGTCCGTTGCTTTGCGGTCTTTGGTCAAGAGAAGGGTTTTGAAGAATGTGTTTGTTGTACCGTCGTCGCGTTTCATGCAGTAGATGTCGTAGCAGCTATTTATGCCCGAGCTGGCTGTGGTGTAGTGCGCGACCTTGCTATAGTGGTATCCCCTTAGGCTGGTTACGGCTTTTCCTAACAGGTCGAAGCTGAAGCTTGCGTTGCCCCAGAGGACCTCTGTGGAGGTAGATTTGATGTATTCTTGGATTACCCAGATGCGTTGGAACCAGGCGGTTTCGAAGAGGGGGCAGATGTGTTTCAGGGAATCGGGCTTGTGGAAGGAGATGTCGGTGGTATGGGGGTCTGGGGTTACGAGGATTGAGCGGGAACGGTCGTCGCTGTACCATCGATAGTGTGGCGCTGAAAATTCGGGTGGTGTCTCTTGTTCAGTTGGAAATTGTCTGAGATGCGTGGTTCCACTAGTACCATATCCATTACTGGATGTCTCTGGCAGCAGACCTGAGGACGACGACTCTGTGCCATCTTCTTCAGCAGCAAGTAAGCATAGCATGTCTAGATTTAGGAGAGCCTGAACAGGCTCAAAATGACCGAGCCATATCAGGACCTTTGCACCACAAGCATATATTCTGCCCATCATTTGCACTTGGATGGTCTTCTCCTCTTGGTCGTTTTGATTGATGCATATCCCATCTGCCCTTAGAACCGAATTAGTATGTATATTCAATACAACCCATGTATAACTACTCACCAAACAATACGTGCGCCGCCGCCTGCAGGGCACCGGAGGACTTGTAAAGCCTCAAATAGGGATCTAGTAACATTGAAGGGTACGCCCTTGATATAGATCTCCCTCCGGTGTGATACATCGCCCCATACATATGATAGCGTTTCATACGGACTATCATCGGGAAGATCAACTGTATTTAGATCAAAAGTAGATAACGTGCACTCGATGGGGTCGGTCCAGTTTCCCGATTGTAATTCGATAAGACGAATAAAAGGGCTATCTATTCGCTCGTACTCGTATTCATGTCGTACTTCACTGGCGGAGGTTTCTGGCTCGGCTAAGGGGGATGAATTTGGAGAGATAAGTCGCACATGTTCGTGGGAGATGCCGTTTGTTTGTGAACTATAGTTGGGGATCGTCGTTGAACCAATGGAGCTCGTCTCGTGCCCAACGGCGGGGCGAGACCTCCAGTTCTTCCGTTTTGCCAAAGGCTCTCGGAACTTGTCCAGGGTCGAATGGGATGGCATAGTGCCAGTAGCTGTTGTGTGCGCTCATCGATTATCTGGTTCCTTGGGATCAACATGTGCGGCTGAGGTTAGGCAACTTCCAAAGATGACAGTTCGAAGGATTCGGAGGATCCAAGCTAACCACAATAGGCATGCGTGTCACTTTGCAATCACAGAAGCTGTCGCATTCACATATTCCATTGGTACCTTCATACACTTGAACGAAGAAACATGCTGTGCTAGCCTTGACAAAATATATTCGTTGTAAGACTCATTACGTTCCACCAACTTAATGGCCAATGTACGGAGTACATGACAATAAACTATATACACCAGAATTGTACGTCAAGACTCCTCGTACCGGGATTTTGTAGAGAGCCTACAGGACAGTAGCGCTGGTAACGTTCATGTAGAAGTACTCGTTTTGCACAGTGACGGGGTATTGGGAGCCAACAAAGGTCCATTGCTCGCCATCAATGGTGATAGTTTGTTTAATGGTAAGCGCTACGTTTGTCAGACTATGTCCTCAAAGAATGGATCACATGATGTTATAACTTACTGCTGTTTTCGTAGGTCCAGTCAAGACCCAATTTGTCGCAGTCGTGTCCGGAAGTGAGGGGAGGGTCGGCACTGGGGTCGTAGATGCAAGTAGTCCCGTATCCATCAGGGAAGGTGTATGCACCGTCATTGTAATATGCGGTGACTAGGAAAAGCGAATCGGGCGAAGAGCCTTGGTTGAGTTTGATGTCCCAGTAACCATACATTCCATGGGGTGGTGCAGTAGGACCCCCCGACGCAGCAGCGGATGCGGTGGCAGCGAGGGCGAGGGCAATGGTAGAGAGCATCATGTTGGGTGTGGTTTGTTTGGTGTTGGTAGTGATGAGTGGTGGCGGTTTCAATAAATGGGATGAGATGGACCAACTTATACACAAAAATGTTGATGCCGATCACATGCTTCGATTGACGTTCTTCGTGATAGTGGAGTCGGAGTACAACGGTTGCATTAGAATTGTTGCTATTTTTGCTGTCGAATGCAAGGTGACCCCCTGACTGAACCGCGATGTGGGGAACCCACTTTTCTGAGTTCTGCCGTCGCCGTGTTCAGTTCGTGACCCCTAGGATGGGAAATACAGTACACTGTGCTTGAATACAATGTTATGAGGGCGACGTCGATTGCACCCTGGTTATTCAATGTTGTGATGATGCGGTACGACAGAATAAGAAATTTGACAGGATCTCACGATCGGCATTTGCCCGTGCATGCCTAGGTAGTAACAAGAAATGCATGTCTAGATAAACTTGGTTAGGTGTGCCTGCTGCTATGCGTTGGCCACTCGTATTCAGAAGAGCATCCCTAGGAATTCGATAGAAAGTGTCGTTTTTGGATGTAACCACCCGGCGACGGAGTGGGCCGGGAAACGGGAGTGAGGTTTCAAGCCGTGCATACGAAATCACGTGAATCGTGGCATATCCTCGGCAATGATAAAGGTACGGGGGCGAAAAGAGACGATGCAACATTTCTTGGGAGAAGACATCATTCCCGACGACATACAAGGACTTAGAGCACTACAAGACTGTGCTATCGGCGGTTCGTTTATTAAGCGCAGACAATAGGCGCTTCCGTGCCTTGCTGTACGTCATGCGCTAAGTTAGTGTTGGCTCGGGGGTAATGAGGGAATCAAACCTTGTTGAGCAACTGTATCCATCCACACCGTCGCATTCGTATACCACTCCATTATGGCATGATAGTTCGTTCATCGCGCATTATCACGGTCGAGGTCGTATCTTGTTGCGCACGTTGTGTGACTTGAAGTAGCTTCCACGCACACGGGTGTTTGCAACCGATGACGTCGACACGTTGCCACCGGCCTTCAAAATAGAAGGGGAATTTTGTCAATGATCTTATTGAACGCACGCCTAAACATTTTGAATCGGCTTAAGATCTTGGGATGAAGCTTGGGGTGCGCAATTACATTGTTGTGATCCTAATGAGGTCCGGATTCTGCCATCACCTGCCTTGGTCAATGCGGGGATCTACGGTACAAACGCATGTCGTTTACAGGAGATAGACAGCCATTTTGTAATATGAGATTCTAATAGCGCCATCGAAGGTTACAGACTCCTTGATAGTAAAATTGTCTGCGACTCACTATGCAGGTATAACACCACGTCTAGGCGCAGAGACCCAAGGTACGAAAACATTCGCATCGCTAGAAGACGACTATTCAGCCTGCTTTGTCGTAACCTCAATCTGATCATGGCCAAAGACATCTTGCTTCGCGGTCTTCAACAATCCTACAAGTGTACTGCTTGAACTTCCGTGCCGGAACACCAGCCTCAAAAATCTCATCCAGTTCCTCCAACGATCGTGCCTTGGTTTCTGGGAGGAAGAAGTAGAACCAAGCAACGCATATGAAGTTGGAGCCTGCCCAGATGTACGTGTACTGTGGGCCCTGCAGGTCTGTCAGCGATCAAGCTACTCAGAGAACACCAAGGAAACGGTGCTTACCCAGTTGAGATTTTGAGGATTGATAAAATACGGCGAGCAAAAGCCGATGAGCCACGCGAGGAAGTAGCCAAGGGCATTCGCGCTGCCCACTGTCCAGACTCTGAGTCGCGAACTAACCAGCTCCGTAGCAAGCGGACTTGTCGCAATACCCACGCCGGCATTATAGAAGAAGAAGAAAAGGGCCGTAAACGCCACCAACACATTCCCAGTAGCCTTGGAGCCAGGTGAGACACTACTCGCAATCCCGCAAGCCAGCTCGCATAACCCGCACGATATCGCCCCTACAATCATTATAGGCCTTCGTCCAAACAGCTTGTTCATGCTGTACAGGCCAATGTGGACACTTATAAACCCAAGGCAGGAGTTCATAATCGCATATTCAAACGCTTTGGTGATTCCAGCAATGGAGAAGAAGTACGTCTGATAGGCGACAAAAAACCACACTCCACTCGCAGACTGGCTTGCAATTGTGCCCCAGCAAAGCATTGTGCGGCGTAGATTGCTTCCCCGGAAGAGATCCATGAAGCCGGATGCCCTACTTAAGCGCTGTTCCTCTGCAACCCCTCGGATCATCTCCGCCCACTCGAGTTCTAGTGCATCGCCGTGGTCGAAGCGCAGACGCTCGAGGGATCTGCGTGCATCCTCGTAGTTGTCGTGGTGGAGAAGCCACCGCGGGCTCTCTGGAACGAAAAACAGCACTATGCCGAGCAGGATCGGCACAACATACATGCAAGCGAGCGGGATCTGGTACGCTAGCTTGTTGAGATGGACTTTGCTATAGTTGTCGATTACGTTGCCTATTATGGTACCGAAGGTAACGTAGAAGGAGAACATGCCGACCATAACCCTAGCAATTGTTAGCGTCCAGCCACAGCCTAGGTATGCGGGTAACTAACTCCCGAAGATGCGCAGGCGCGACCTCACTACAGTATATAGTGGAGAATACGACGAAAAACGCATTGGCGAAACCGAGTAAGAGACGGCCAACATAGAGCCCTGCTTTGGATGTCGAGCCTATCTGAACCGAGACCGCGGCTAGGCAGATCACGCATGCGAGCCATAGTCCCTTTTTTCGACCAAAATGCGCCCCAAAGGCGCCGGCGATGATGGCAGAGACGCAAGACCCCAGGTTTAAAAGCGAGTTCATGAGCTGTTGTACGGTGGACTAAACAGTTTGTCAGCGACGTCTGACCATGATTTCATAGCTACTCACATCGATACCATATCCTAGGGGACTCTCCGGATCCTCATACCCAAAAACCATCAAGAAGCCAGGCATCGCTTGCACACCTCCGATAGCCGTAGTATCAATACCATACTGCAAGCTCGCGATAGCAACAGCCGAGCACACGAGTAAGCACTTACGATTCGCCCATAGTGTAGTTTTGTTGGCTTTCGCCATCGTGCACCCAGAACAACAAAAGTTGCTATGACAGCAATTAGGTAAAAAGTAAGAGCGCTGGACCAAGCAAGTGGGGGAACAGCGCAAAGGCCCCTAGAGTTACTGGAAGACGTTTTGTGATCGCTCTTACTCAACACTGTCTTGTCCTCAAATAAGATGAATGATGAATCTCGCTGTCCGTGTCATCTTTGTAGTGTGGGGGGAAAGTGAGGAACCGCAGTGGTCAGACTTCGCGCGACAAGGGTGCGCGTCTACAAACGTGTATGGGAACGCCCGGCGCCTTGCCATATCTAGGCAAGATTAACGTGTTGATTGGAAGGTGAAGATGCAAGGCGGCCGTTACAGTTGGCGGCTAAAAGATTCGCTCCCCAGTGTATATCTCAACACTTTGCTGGAAGAAGCGGGGTTATCCTTGATAACCATGGTAAGAGCAGAGACTGACCACTGTGGTCATGGAAACAGCTTATTCTAGATGCGACCATCGGCTAAGCTGCTGTATAAGATGCGCGTTTTATAGTCATGTGATCGTCATGGTTTCGGCATCATTATGATGTTCTGTCAGACGGACGGCTGCATTTGCCCTGCATGGTACACGCTTCGCGGAAGAGGGAGCGAGAGGAAATTTCGTGCACGGTGGTGTGTCTATCCTGGATCAGGAGTCGATTGCACAGGGGATACGGGTGGTTGTCAGCACTAGAGTTTCCACTCGCTCAGTGTAAAAGTTTGATCCGCGAAGGATGTTGAGGAGGGATACTCTTCTTGTCTATAGAACTCTGTTGCTTGAAGTTGGAAGACGTCTCATGGCGAGAGGTGACAGGTAGTGTATCATTATTTGGGGTTGAGATAAGGTGAGTGGGTGTGCAGCTATAGGTGCTAGAGTATCAAGGGTATCCCAGTGGGCGCACATGCCAGCATTGTACCTTGCCGGGTTGACTCGACTTCATTCGTAGAATTGTACTGAACGTGTAATTGGACTCAAATTCATACTTTTCGGAATCCCGGAAAGCTGACGCGACTTCCCAGAGAGATCGCCAGTTTAATTTCATCACAGCCTGTGGAATGGCGTGACGTTTGGGCGGTGTTGACATGGAGTTGGAGTCATTTTTATCTTCCAGAAGCTGATTCTTTCGATATCTAATTGACATAGGAATTTCGGAATTAACTCGAAAAGTCATCAGTGACTTCTTCATCACTGCATCAGGTTCAGGCAGATATTATCAAAGGTACAAACGGGGCTTCGGCACCATCGCGGCAACTGTTCTACTACATAGCAGACAAGCTCCAATAGCAAACAGCCATGACTGCTTCGTTCCAGACCGATATGTGGTGGGCTCGATCCTTCTGCAAAATTTTGTGAAAATGGCAAAATTTCCGTCACTTTCGGATCGGCTCTTATCTCCACTATCCGAAGTATCCGCTACTTGACCAGACCAGGATCGGAAAACTTCCGTTCAATGACATGGATAGCCATGGCAACGAATCAGAAAAACTTTGTTCTCGGGTATCTTTAAGGTTTACCCTAGAACATTCGTCCCAGAACTTCGGGTCGCCAGTCGCATGTCGCCTCCACACACGAGCCTCGCAGGTCCCCCTTTTCCTTCTCATCAACAAGGCGCAAAACAAGATGCAAAAGGACTTGATGTTCACACGACACAAAATACTCGTGTTTGGAACATTGCGACATTGAAAGCCGGCAAAAGTGGTGGCGCCATCGGATATGTCCCCGGTATCCCCACACATGCACCAGTCCTCAGCGGGGGAACTCGGGAGTAAGCTTTGTTTCTGGGGTAAGTGATCCTTGCGCGTCGTCCCGTGTCTCCTACGGTACATGTCTTGATCCCGTACGGCAGTTTTGTTCGGTAAGATTGCCGAGGCTGTATTGGGTTGAAGTGCTGCATTGGGTAGCAAACGATGGCAAGGAACAAATTTGATACCCTTACCTAATGCAATCTCTACACTAGGTACTTTGAGTGTGGTCTTAGTTTCGTGCAACGATTACGTAATATGGTGGATGTTTAAGGCAACAGGAACTGTAGATTGTTTGGGTGAGCGCAAGGCCGGAAGATCTGGTCTTTTGAATGATGTTCTGTAACACCTATCCAAGACTAGTTCTTCGTATGTGTGAGAAGTATTATGTGAGATGGATTAGATAAGAAGAAGCAGTCAAGTAAAGGTTGCATTCATAAAGTATCTAAATAGCTAACGGTACATTTGATATTGACAAAGTCTGTAGCTGTGTTGACCATTCGTTTCTGCGGACGATTGTTCGATCTGGTCAAAAAGGAGAAGCTGTCACCAAGTTTTGTCTTCTAGGTTAATTCGTATAGATATGTATTCCTGCGTATGAAAACGCGGTTGCGCTCATATCAACTCGACATTGTGAAGATGATTACTCCACTGTGATCGCACTAGTAGTGTATCTGAAAATGTTGTCTGACGGCCTAGAGCATTTGAAGAGTCTTTGTTCTCCACCAAATACAAGCACATTGTATTATTTACAAAGTTCTCGAGACAATTGTGTTGTTCGAAGCCACAAAGAGATGGAAGATGGAGTATGAAGGACACTGTGTAGTTCGCTGGAGACAATGCCCTTGTGTGATTTACGTGATAAATAAAGTGTCTGAGTAGGGTATAATGATTCAATTCATTACGGTTATATCGAGCAGATATTAAACTGAAATATAGAAAATACAACCTATACACGATAAACATGGCAGCAGTTCCCCCAAACGTACCAGCGGTACCTCTAAATGTACCAGCGGTGCCTCAAAACGTACCAACGGAGCCTCCATCCGCGCCAGCGGTACCTAATTGCGTCCCAGTTGCCTTCCCAGCACCAGAAAACAAAGAAAAATTCAAGTTTAAAAAACTTGATTCCACTCTTACCATGACCCGAGACGTATACCAAGACTTATACAGCCGCGGCTGCGTAGATGTAGATCCCATCCCAGCAATGGACCTCCAGAACGAGATCCAGACTATTTTCCGACCTGAGGCCTTCAGGAACCTTACAGCTGAGCAATACGAATTCATTCGACCCGCACTAACACTGGCGTCCAGGCTCATCACTGAGGATGCATATATGGAATTCTGGGTTCATCTCTGCAGTGCGGATCCCGTTGAAGACAGTGGACGGAAGCGGGGCGCGGACGAGACTAAAATAGGGGAAGTTCTTTGCGCTGACCCTAATATACCTGCTAACGAGGCAGTGGCAATGGCACGTACTGCTCTTGGAGAATTGTCACACAACCTGACTTTCTTCTCTTTGGACAATGCGTATTCTGAGAAAAGAGACAACGGGGCGGGAGAGTTTCGTTGGAGATATGCATAGAGTGCACCAGTGTAATGACGTCTTGAACAACGGCTGCGCAGCGGGTGCTTGTAGATGGTGTGATGACTGGAAAAAGGGGCGATGCGCCGGCTGTGGAGGAACCATGTATGATGGCGAAACGGCAGCAGAGCTTGAAGAGGTAGCGCGAGCCCGCGGACTAACAACTAAAGCCCGAACGATAAATACTCTTAGAGCAGCATTGGAGCTAGATGATTTAGTAAAAGATGGCATTCCATCCCAGGAAGCCTGTGGGCTGGTTCCAAACCGTGACAACATGTCTGACTTGCAAATAGGTCTGCACCGACACATGTACCAACACATCCAAAGAGCCACTGGACCCCAACCCCAAGAAGCCTGGTCTCGCAGCTCAGAACTCCGTTTCCAATTCTCCGTCGCAACTACGCTCTGCCACGAGCTCGTCCACGTAGTCTTCTGGTGGTCTCAGCTCCGGTGCCAGTACGGCGGAAGGGACGAGCCGTGGTGGTCCACAAACCAGGAAAAAAATAAACCTCGGACCCGAATTAGGCAACGACTGGGAGTGGTGGGCTCTCGGATCCCGTGTCCCAACAGCAGCTAAGATCTTGGAAACCCCTGAAGATCAAGCTACAACCGCCTTCTCGCTTTCAAACTTTTGCCACACTTTCCAAACAAAAACAGGTGGAAAAAGCTACTACAAAGACTGTGTCAGCCACATGTTCGTCTTTCCCGTCGAATGGATAAACTCTTAGTTCCAAGAGTCTACCTGGGCTAGCATCCGCGCCAACGGCCGCGAAGCTGGACGTCCCATCCACGACAACCTAGTCATTGTATCTGAGCTTGGCACTGACGTGGCCGATGATGACACCTTTAATACCCTCCAGTGTGAAATCGAAGATTACAGCCATGCGCAGTTGGTGGTACAGGGCGGCTTTGAAGATGACAAGATCAAACCGGCGTTGTACGGCAAGAACAAGATGAAGAGCAATAAGCAAGTGGTGCAGTATATAGATAAATTGCTGCGGAAGGAGGTGGAGGCGAGGAAAACAAAGGTTGTAAAGGCGGGGAAGAAAGGGACGAAAAAGACGGCACCGATTAGTACGGATAAGTTGACTACAAAACAGGAGGATGAAACAAAGATGGATGAGTCATGGTAGGGAATGGATTTGAGCTTCGCTTTTCTCTTTTACTCATACAGTTTTTGGTTATAAATTGCTTCTAATGCGGACTGATTGGCAAATAAAAGAACAAAAGAACAATTGTTGTAAGCATGTGTTATTGTGATATGCTAAACGCTTTCGTGCCTGAATACATTGATCGAGTAAATAGGGTGCTAGGATAGTGTCTTGACTGCTTACTTGTATTGTGATTACCAGAAAACCGCATTGTGCAAGTGGCGCCTTTTAGAAATCTAGAAAACATAATCGAATTGTAATGAGTATGTTGAAAGTCTCGGAGTCTTCGTTGGTTATGTCGCATGCAAGGATCCGAAGCGACCATGATGTTTATACCGCGTAGTGGAAATCTGCTACTAAGCATTAGTGTTCCTTATATATACCTTCGTAAGGATGCGTTTGAGGGATTGTTGACTGGAGTAGTCTGCTAGATGGTTACCTGATGATTGAAGAGAAGTAGCATACCAGAATTGACGTAACATGCACCCCTCCACGTCGCGAGATGCACGCCAAGGTGAGACGATTCTGTCCTACACTCGATTACACGAATCGGCATACCATAGTTGTCGGTCTACGCTCTGACTAATTAGCATTATCTCTTTAGATTCAGCTATGCATGCGTTGTGTTGTTGAGATTACAACATCGCTCTAGATCCCTTTAGGAAAACCGACGCGGTCCGAACTAAAGCTATGATCCGTTAACGGAGTTGCTTACGAATACAGTCTGAAAACCATTGACATCCCACTCTCTTTACAACCCACTTACAACCCACTTGCTGTTCATCTACTATAACAGATTACACTTGATTTCGGATCCGGAGTTGACGGTTCCCAAACACCCAACGCCATGGCTACCTCATCATCTGTTCGTACGATGGAAACTCCAACCCCACGAATAACTCCCGTGAATGAACCTGATATCGAGCTCGATGCGCTGCACCCGCAGCTTCATCAAACGCATCCAGCAGAAGCAGGTTTCTCCCTCCCGCCCGTTGACGGAGGAAAAGACGCATGGTTATTCCTCTTCTCAGCTTTTGTCCTGGAGATCCTCACCTGGGGTAACTATCTCCTCTACCCTTCAAATCAGGTCAATCTGAACTCGACTAATTCTTCGCAGGTTTTCCCTTTGCATTCGGCATCTTCCAAGAATACTACAGCTCGAACCCGCCCTTTGCCGGTTCCCGGAACATAACCCTCATTGGAACATGCGCCTTGGGCGTAATGTACCTCTCTTCACCATTCGTGTTCGCTTTGTTTGCGTGGTATCCCAGCTTCCGGCGGCCGTGCATTTCGGTCGGCCTGGTTCTCATGTGTCTTTCTTTGGGATTGAGCTCGTTGTGCCAGACGGTTCCGCATTTGATCGTCACTCAGGGATTTTTCTATGCGATTGGGGCATCGATGTGTTATAGTCCTGCTATTCTGTTTATGGATGAGTGGTTTGTGAAGAGGAAAGGATTGGCCTTTGGGATCATGTGGGTTAGTATACATCCATTCAATCCTGCAGGTTCTTGTCTTCCTTTTAGTGGATAGGCTTTTTAGCTTTCGCGTGCGTAAGCTGACTCTGTGACAGGCTGGGACTGGTATCGGTGGTGTAATAATTCCCCTGCTCTTGCAGTACCTCTTGGGAAGATACGGCTTTCGCACTACCCTTCGTGTTTGGACTGCTGTCCTTTTCGTAACCACCCTTCCCTTGACCGTATACGTCAGGCCGCGTCTTCCCATTGCGCAAGTCACCAACCGCCGAAGGTTGGACCTGTCATTTGTCCGCAACAAATCATTCCTCCTTCTCCAACTCGGCAACGTTCTTCAGGGGTTCGGCTATTTCGTACCGTCCATCTATCTCCCTACCTTCGCCAGAACCCTCGGCGCTTCGAGCACTGTCTCCGCCGTCACGCTCATCTTGGTCAATGTCGCAACTGTCTTCGGAAGCTTAACCATGGGGGGAATTGTGGATCACTGGCACATTACAACATGCATTCTTCTGTCAACCGTTGGATCTACGCTCTCTGTTTTCCTACTTTGGGGGTTTTCTACAAACCTGTCTCTTCTCCTCGTCTTCTGCGCTGCGTATGGGTTCTTTGCAGGGAGCTATGCGACGACGTATCCAGGTATCATGAAGGTGCTGAGTAAAAGCGAGCGGACTACTGATTCGACAATGGTGTTTGCGTTGCTGGTAGCTGGAAGAGGTATTGGAAATGTGGCTTGTGGGCCGGTGACCGAGGCTTTGATTACAGTAGGAGAAATTGGAGACAGGGGCTTGTATGCGAGTGAGTATGGGCCGCTTGTAGTCTTTACTGGTATCAGTGCTGCGTTGGGGGGCGTGAGCTATTTTGGGAGGACTTTGGGGTGGTATTGAAGGGAGATAGGCCGTATGTTCAGCTTGAGATCAGTTCAGACTGAAGTAGTAGTAGTAGTAGTAGTAGTAGTAGTAGTAGTAGTAGTAGTAGTAGTAGTAGTAGTAGTAGTAGTAGTAGTAGTAGTAGTAGTAGTAGTAGTAGTAGTAGTAGTAGTTTGAAGGGTGTGTGGAGATGGAATGATACATACTAATACAGCTTAGCGGGCGCTGTTCTGTTTCTGGTCTAGTGTGAGCGCATCGTAATGTCGCAACAACCCGCGACACGCGTATATGCGGCAGCAATTAGGCATTCCATAGCCCTTGAGCAGGCGCTGACGATTCTCAAATTCTCCCAGTAGATGCGCCAAGTGTGACTGCCACTATGAGTGCTGTTGAGAGCCCAGACGACGCGTATCATGTTCGCAATGGCTCCAATGGAGTGAAGCGTGAGCCCCCACCCACCTGGGCACCTGCACGATGCAATGCAAGGCACAGTCCAATGTGTCCACACGCTAACAACACCCAGGCCGACGAGGCTCGACTGTTCTCAACCCAAGAACCTATGTCAAACGGGAGCTTTGGACACAGGCTCCAATATTAAAGGGGACTACCAAGTTCGAGCCCCTCGATGACGCGAAAAATATCCTGATTACTGGAGGAGCCGGCTTTATGTACGTCGCAACGAGACCACGGGAAGATGCAAGCTGTGCGTCTCTAGACTTGTCTTATGTGAGGTGTGAATTAACGGTTTCGCAGTGCTTGTTGGTTTGTACGCCATCTAGTTCTCACGTATCCACACTACAATGTCGTTTCTTTTGACAAACTCGACTACTGTGCAACGCTCAACAATACGCGAATTCTCGACAAGCATGCGAACTTTACGTTTGAACAAGGGGATATAACGTCGCCGACTGACATAAAGCACGTGTTACGAAAGCACAAGATCGACACCATTTTCCACTTTGCAGCGCAATCGCACGTCGACCTTAGCTTTGGCAACTCGTACGAATTCACGAACACGAACGTTTACGGAACACACGTGCTGCTTGAGAGGGCAAGGGAATATGGGATTACCAGGTTCATACATATATCAACGGACGAGGTGTATGGCGATGTGCCGGTTGGGGCAGCAGACCTGAGCGAGACGAGCATACTGGCGCCCACAAATCCATACTCTGCTAGTAAAGCTGCGGCGGAGATGATGGTCAGCGCATATCGGAGTAGCTTCAAGTTGCCTCTGATTACCGTTCGGGCAAACAATGTGTATGGACCACATCAATTTCCAGAGAGTACGTCATTCTCTTGCAGTTGAAGCAGGCACCCAAGACTAACATTGGAGTAGAGATTATCCCGAAATTCATTATGCTCCTGCAAAGAAAGCAGAAGCTCCTACTTCACGGCGACGGCTCACCAACACGACGTTACATCTACGCAGGAGACATCGTCGACGCACTCGATACGATACTACACAAGGGCGATGTCGGCCAGATCTACAATATTGCATCCAAGGACGAGATATCGAACACGGATATCTGCAACAGACTGCTGGATATCTTCGATATTCCTCATACTTCGTCTGCTGAGTTATCCGAGTGGGTAGAGCATACGGAAGACCGACCGTTCAATGACCAGCGATACGCGACGGATGGATCCAAGCTTACGGCACTAGGCTGGCAACCCAAAACCAGCTTTGAAGAAGGTCTCAAAATTACAGTAGACTGGTACCGTACATTTGGCGAAACATGGTGGGGGGATATCAGTAGGGTCTTGACATCTTTCCCAGTGGTGGCAGGCAACGAGATCTGGACAAAGGAGGAGCACGAGGATTTGCCTTCTTCTGATGGTGAAACCATGCATGAGGAGGATAGCGCAATTTGGACCACATAGCAGGTATAGAGGTGATTGGATAGATGATTAGATCGAGATACCCAGATAGTAATGCACGGAAACACTGACCCGATATTCTTGATGCCCGAATGGACCTCTGCTGGGCGTGAACAGGGGTACTGCAACTACATGCAGGGACCAAATCATGTGGGCCCAACGACATGTCGACCCAAGTTGAGAAGGTGCAGAAGAAATTTAGGGGCTAAAGCGGCGATTATCCCGTGCGTGAAATCAAGTAGCAGTTCAAGTGAGGTACAAAAAATGTTTTATGTAGCCAAGTTTTCCTTTGCTGGTCTATTAATATGACGACTACAGCCACGCGGTGGCGCGTACCCTTAACTCCGCCTCGCGCTAGCGTCAGCTCTGGGCGCTTGATCGGTTGAAACACTCTACGCTCCGGGCGTCGACCGCTCAAACACTCATGCCTCTTAAGTCGTGACGTTCAAACACGCCTTAAAGTCGCTTCTTTGCTTTGCGAGGCCCCTTCAATTACTCGACACTGCACATATTAAGTTCAAAGACAGCCGGAAGTGCAAAGCTTGGTTGCGCAATCGATAAACCCACCCCCACAATTCAGCTAGCTGCCTCCTCGTAGCCTCAAACCTCGACACGCGACCATATCGAACAGTCACCAACGACATCTCCAAACATGGGTCTCTTTAGCAAGAAGAAGGATAAGAGCGGAAAAGAAAGCCCGGCTCCGGCAGCCCAGAACCCGTATGCTGCACCTCCAGCAAAAGACCCATACGCCCAACCACCTCCCTCATACCCGGGCGGTGCAGACAACTCATTCCGACAGGAGAAGACACCAGCCGTCACGGGACCTGGTCAGAGTTATGGTCAGAGGCCAGGCGGATATGGCGCTCAGGGAGCAAGTTACGGTGCACAGTCAGGGTACGGCCAGGATGCTTATGGTGGAGGACCGCCTCAGCGTCCCGGTGGCTATGGTGGACTCGGTAGGACCCCTTCAAATGATACCATGAGCACCGAAGCTGGCCGCAACGAGCTCTTCGGAAATGCACCAAAGCGCCAACAAGCTCAGCCAGCACAACCACCACAGCAATCCGGTGGTTACGGAGGTGCGCAAAGTGGTGGATACGGTGGCAGCGCTCCTGGCGGCTATGGCTCGGCGACACCCGGTGGTTATGGAGCATACGAAGACCGTCAACTGACGGCTGAGGAACAGGAAGAGGTGAGTGACTCAGGCACTACTTGCGGCTGGAATACATGCTGACTCAATCTGTAGGAGGACATCGAAGCCACCAAGCAAGAGATCAAGTTCATGAAGCAACAAGATGTATCCAGCACACGAAACGCCCTCCGCCTAGCTGAACAAGCCATGGAGACCGGTCGCGGCACACTCTCAACCCTCGGCGCACAAGGAGAGCGCATCCACAAGTAAGCCCAACCAACCTAGCCATCCTCCCGCATCACTAACACCCCAGCCAGCACCGAGCGCAACCTCGACCTCGCCTCCATCCAAAGTGACCGAGCCAACGGCCAAACCAAAGAACTAGCCCGCATCAACGCTAGCATGTTCTCCATCGTCCCTAACCCCTTCACCGGCAACTCGAAGCGCGAAAAGGAAATGCAAAAGGCAATGGACCAGCACGCGCGCGACCGCGAAACTCGCGAGGCCACTAACCGCGCCGCTTGGCACTCTGCAAACCGAGTCAACGAAGCCCAGCGCGGCATCGGAGCCGCTGGTGCTGGTGGCGCGAACAGCGGGTCTAAACTCAGCAGGATGAACAATTATCAGTTCGAGGCTGATGACGAGGATGAGGATATGGAGAAGCAGATTGATGATAATTTGAGTATGTATTCCCGACCCCTTATACACGATATATATGCTAATATGATTTTCTCCACAGCGCAATTGCACACCATGGCCAAGGGTCTTAACCAACTCGGTCGCGCGATTGGTACAGAGGTCGATGCCCAGAATGAACATATTACACGTATCACCGGCAAGACTGATCAGGTCGACGATAAGATTGCTAGGAACAGGCTTAAGCTTGAGCGTATTCACTAAGGGGGTTTGGTTGGAACGGTCTGGATGATAGCTTTGCGTGTCTGTGTACGTGTGTGTTTTGAAATAGGGTAGATTAGTCGACAACGGAAAGTTGCGGCTTTGATGGAGACTCGGGTAGGAGACTTTGGCGTCTGGGTAGTACAATGTGAACAATGATTCTCTCCATCCATTGCTTCCTCTTTGTTCAGGTGATGGGGTATGTTGAATTTACGTTGTATGCATCACTTGGTGTTGTTGGTGATATCAGTGCTCGAAATGATCATAAATATTCATAACCTGCTACCCACGCAAACCAAGCGCCAGCGGTACTAAACTAGAAACACATCCCCACTACTCAAGCACCAACTTGAAAGTCGCCACCTCAAACGCCCGAATCTCAATCGGCACACCCTTCTCCTCCATCTCCCCATCCTTGACACTAACCTCTCTAATCCCCAACTCCTCCTCTTCATCCTCCAACGCATTACATTTAACCACCTTCTTAACTTTCAAGTCACCCCAAGTTAGCACACCCTTACTCTTTCCACCCAGCGAATCGTACACCCTCAGCACAACACAATGGCCGTCTTTAACAGGCAACTCACCCCTCGATACATCCTCGTCGTCCTCACCGCGCTTGATGGTATCCAAGACGAGGTTGTCAGCGCCGTAGATGTGGAAGGGGTTGAGGAAGCTGGTGTGTGCGGTTGAGAGACTGGTGTTGCGACCGACGATTTTGAGGGGGTTGTTGAATTCAAAGGCTTTGCGGACAGTGCGCTGGTCTAGGGGGCCCTTGTGCGGGAAGATGGCGTAGCGTGTCTTGTGGGAGCCCATGTCTGCGTGGGCGTCTGGGGCCTTGGAGGAGCGGAGCAGCGAGAGACGCATGACGTTTCCAGCGACGGCGAAGCCGTATTTGCTGTCGTTGAGAATGGACACACCGTATGTTGCTTCAGATAGGTCGGCCCACTTGTGGCAGCAGACTTCGAACTTGGCCATGTCCCAGGATGTGTTGTAGTGTGTGGGTCGGCGGACGATGCCAAATTGCGTTTCGTAGCTGGCTTCTGTGTTTACAATGTCGACGGGGAACTCGACCTTGAGGAATCGCATCGTCTCGTGCCATTCAATTTCCGCATCAAACTCAATTGCTGCTGGTGCTGAGCCTACAGCTGCGGCGAGACTCATTGTCGTCTTGACCCAAGATTTGTCAGAGATCTTGGTTTCAATTTGCAGGCTCACGCGGTGAATGTTATTCTCTGTGACTGTAACCTTGCTGGGCTCAAGTTCCTGACGCGATTGCAAATGGTACACTTCGACATCCCATGCCTGCCAGTACAGAGGCTTATCATCGAAGATGACGAGCTGACCGGCCTTTGCGCCCTTGGGGATCAGCTCGCGGTCGGCAACTATGTCGTAAAGCGACGTGATTGCGCCCTTTTCAACTTGAACGACAAACTGTGAGTTGCGGAGCTCGTACACGTTGGTACGGATTTCTTGGATAGACACCTGGTTTGCCGAGAACTGGGATGCTAGAGGGAGGACCTCTAGAGCGCCCAAGCCCTTCTCTGTCCCATTTCGATGTGCAAGACCATACTTGGTCTTAGCAGAACCGTATCTTGCTTGGCTTGCTGTGCTCGGGAGTTCCACAATCTCCGTGCGATTCCATGGCAAGGTGTTCATGGCGAAGAGCTTAGTATCTTCATTCCAGGCCGACTCATTGTCGTCGAAACCGAGCTCGGCCAGCGCATCAGACAACAGTCGCTCTCCAGTAGCGAATACTTCGGCATAGATCTAGAAGAGTCAGCAAAGTGTCGCACAACCAAAGCTGTCAATACTTACGCGATCGGAGTCATCGTAGCACATTTCGATCGAACTTCCAGGCAGACAGTCGTGGAACTGGCACAACAGCACATTCTCCCACATGTCGTCAATATCCTTCTTGGGATACTTGTACGAGCTGCGTTTGCCAAACCCGTTCTTGATCGTAGCGAGAGTCGCAAGGTACTCAATGTCCCTCAGCATGATTTCGGACCTTCTGTTGTTGCGCTTGTTGTTGGATTGCGTAGTGTAGGTACCACGGTGAAGCTCAAAGTACAGCTCGCCGTACCATGTGACAAGCTCAGTGCCATTCTCGACCTTCTTTTCTAGACGATCGAAGAAGTCATCTGCAGAGTCACCAAGCTTGAGTCGAGGTAGCAGTCCTGCCGTGTCACTGATTCCGCGGCATCGCCTAAGCTTTTCAAGGTGCTGCCATGTTGGGCCACCGCCTCCATCTCCCTTGCCAAAGACAATCAAGGACGACTTGTCTTGGTCAAGAGACTTGTGTTGGGTGACGCTACGCTTGACGTCGCCAAAGTTGGCTTCGCAAGTATAAGTCTCCGATGGCGGCATATGGCAAACGACCTGGCTGTTGTCCAGAGCGACCCAGTTGAAGGTGGTGTGGGGGAAGTCGTTGATGTTGTTCCAGCTCAACTTCTGGGTCAGGAACCTCGTCATCCCAGAAATGCGACAGATCTGCGGCAACTGTGTGGAGTACCCGAAGGTATCCGGAAGCCAGAATGTGCGACACCGCTGGCCAAATCTACTCTCAAAGTAACGTTGGCCGTACAAGAATTGCCTGATGAGAGACTCTCCGCCAGGCAAGTTGGTGTCATGCTCAACCCAGCTACCACCGATAGGTTGGAAGCTGCCTTCCTTGACCTTCTTCTTAACACGGTCAAATGTGGATGGGTAGTATTGCTCAAGCCACTTGTACTGCTGTGCCTGCGAACAGCAGAAGCGAAGTTCGGGGTATCGGTCAATGAGATCGCACTGGTTCGACCAGGATCGGTTGACCTTGCGCTTCGTCTCGTCGAACGGCCACAGCCAACATGTGTCGATATGGCAGTAACCGATACCGTGCACGAGAGCCTCTTGGTCACCTTCGTACACCTTGGCGGAATCCACATTCTTTCCGACGTATTCGGCAGCAATCTTGCGAGCCGCCTTGAGGCTCTCCTGGCTTCCATTACCGGCAATAAATGTATCCATAATTCGATTGCAAATCTGTTGGGCATCATGCGCCTGGGTCGAGTCCGAAGGGAACTCGCGGGCAGCATCCGAGATCTCCCAAAAGTCAAAGTAAAGAGCTCTTGCTTCTAGGTTGACAGCCTGAACCTCGGCAGTGTGTAGGGTGTAGTACCTATCAGGAGCAGGCGGCTGGATTGAATCACCACCGGGAGCATTTCCGAACATTCCGTTGCATGCCATCTCAATGTAGAAGGTATGCTCCTTGCCGTCCCGGAACGCCTTGGGTAGTATCCATTGTGTCCGCTCGCCTCCGCCAGTCAAGCCATGTACAGTGTGTCCATCTTCCGTCCAAATTAAGCCCTCGTTATCCGCGTCCCAGACAAACTCAAGGTGCTCCTTGTCCAGCATGTGCTTGGGGAGAGTAAGCTGGACCTTGAACCAATGCGTCGACCAGCTGGGGCCGAACTTCTCGCCGACTTTGGTGGGCTGGAACGCGTGCGAGGTTGCATCTTTGAAAAGCGGACGTGAGAGGTTTGGAGGTGAGTAGACAGAGAGCTTAATCCAGTCGGTACCGGATGCGGTAGCCTCGGTGAGCTTGCTGTATGACGTATGAGCATTTTTGAAGCTGTAATAATGCTGCCTTACAGTATATACAGCCGAATAAAGCTTACCCTATAAGACTCTGTCCTCTATATTGTCCTCCATCCATAAACTGCCTCAAGCGACTCTGGTAAATACTGTGAATCTGCTTACCAACGGGACCAGCCGCCAGTTTGGGGTATTCTTTGGCCACAACTGGGACCGGTACATTGCGGTGTGATTCTCCGCCCATGATTGAGGATGGTTTTTTGTGAGAAAAGCTGGTTTGAGAGGGATTATGCTGAGATGGATCAGGGGCGTCAGCTGCAAGCTATAGCTGTTGTGGTACCTTGCATGTGCTGTCATGTTGGGGAGCTTTCCCCGCATCTTGGCAGTCGCGGCCCATGCTCATGCTCCATGATCCGCTCATCTCCACTTGGTGGCCGCTTCCTGTCCGACTCGAGTGTCCACGCGTTGAACGTCACTGCTGTACATGTATTGCTGTATGAGAATCTAGTGGTATGTATTTCGTTCTTGGTTGATAGATACAAGACGCGTTCCCCTCTTCAGCCGACTCTACAAGGATGCCTTGATGCTTCTTCTATCATTTCCTCACCTTCTTCCCCAATCCCCTAACCTCCCGATCCTCGTCCTCTCCACCCCTCTTCCTTTTCAGCCTCCCATCCTCATAGTACTCTCGCAACCTCCTATGCCCTTCTGTACCCCCCGTTCCCTTGCCTATCGTCCATGTACCCTCCACTCCGTCCCTCTCCCTCCCACACTCTCTACTACTGCAATACCTTCCAATTGCATCTCTAAGCCTTCTATCACTCAGCTTCAAGGCCAACCGCTCATTCAAGCCCTTTTTCCTGTCAAGCATGGTCTGAATACGGTAGAATTCCTTGTACTATTCCAAATCCTCCTTCTCGGCTTGTGACTGAATGGTGGCTGCAAGGTAGGTGGCGTACTCGGGATCGTAATCTTCTGGGTCCTCCTGTTCGGTGTCGAGGAGATTATGGGCGGCGGTCGACGTGCTGTTAGTGGAACCTGGGGAAGACATGGTCCCTAGTAGGTGGCTTACAGAGAGGTTGTGATGGGCCGAAGCGCCCGAGGCTGTGGTGTTGGAGTCCACTTCTGATGTCCGAGTGACCTTGTATTCGTGTCGCAAAGGACTGTGGCCGCGCCATGAATAGTATGGGTCCTTCCATGAAGCCTTCGGTGGCGTGGGCGGTGTTACCATTGCGATCGGTGTAAGTCTCAGGCACGCTAACAGGTCTATGTTCTTGAGAAGATATAGCTAAAATGGTGGGCTGCGGGTATAGTGGGTTGGAAGAGTGCGGGGGTATACAGGTCGTGGTGTTGTTTTGTTAGTGTAGCTATTGCGACAGGAGAATTATTGCCCTGACGTAATTGCACGTCAGAAGTCTAGTAAGTGAAAGTGGAAGTGGAAGTGGAAGTGAAGGTGAAACTGAGTCATTGTACACTGCGCCTTGGAACAACAGCCACGATGAATGAGCGTGAATGAAATTGTGCGTTCTTTCAATGTTCCCTAATAGGACACTTAGGAAGGAAGCGGCTATAGGTGCACAGGAATCTCTTTATCAGTGCTCAATACTCTCAAAGCTTGTCGCGCACATAGACGCGTGAAAGTTCCAAGGCCTTCGGTCTAACACTAGATGACCAACGCATCCCACCCGTCCAATGTCTCACAATTATTACAATTGGACCACCACCACATTGGTAACCTAGCACGTCGCTGTAAAGCACACCACACCAGGAAAGTCAACATTCCATATCCCATAAAACTACCGCATAACAAAACCCACCGTAGGAACCACCCATAGCCATGACAATCCAGTCGAATACATCACCGCAGTCTTACACAGCTGCAACGCAAGCCAGAAACAAACCGCCGGTGTACCAAGTTTCCTATCCATCCCGCATAGCCCACCCCCAAGAAAGCCCACTAGCGCCTCACAAAGGGAAAACACGTAGACTACCATTCTGCCCAACAGACGCAGCGCACTAAGCAGTATCAACGATGTCTGTGCTGCAGGAGCTGACATGGCAAGTTGCACACCCGATCCATCTCGTAGTCACAGTCCCTTAGACCCCGACCAAGAATACAATATTCCAGCCAACAGCAAACAAACCACCAACAGCAGCATCTTGACTTGGCGGAGCTGTTCGGCAACAGCGTCATTTCCTGCATCTCTTTGTGACGGCGGCGGCACATAGGTGTCTCTGTTTGGCTGCTGTTCCAGTTAGCCTCAATGTCCAACCTGAATGACATGGACGCCGTGTTTGTACCTACCTTTGCTTGTTCCGACTCTAAAGACCATTTTCTGAATTGTCGTACCGCAGCGCTGACGGCTAGTGTGAGTGCGATTCCTCCGATTGCCATTGTGAGGTAGCTTATATCTTGATCTTTTTCTTGGATCCGAGGACTACGATACGATGGGGGGGGGGGGGGGGGGACGCTTGATTTCGGACTAGGTTCGACTTGTAGAGATAATTCGAGGGCTACGATGTTGCGGTGATGTTTCGTTTGCGGATTCTGTAAACTCGCAACACAAAGAGGCTTGATAAAGAATTCAGCGAACACTCAAAACCCTGAACACGTAGATAATCCTTCGATTTAAACACAACCCGAACTCTAGATTCTTCAACTCTTCCTCTCAGCTTGCAGTTTCGCCTACGCGCGGCAGCTAAGCCTCCCACCAAGCTACCTAGTACCTACACGTAGTACAGACTACCTATGCAAATACGTCTCAAACGAGATCGAGGCAGTGTACCAAACACGCGAGGCAAACTGACTAAACCATCGGAACAACTCGCGAGTAGTAGGAGTGTGGCACCGCTGTGGGGGCTTTGCAGGTTTCAGCTGCGGCTGAGGGCTCTTTGCGTGGTCGCTACACTGCTCAGCCTGCGCCTTCAGTCAAGCATGGCGGAGAATAACAGTCGGTTAGTCGGTTAGTTGGGGCTTTCAGCGGAACCGATAGCTATGTTCGGGTGCGAGGGGTTGGCAGACGAGGTACGCAAGTCAGCCTTGCGCGACTTCAACATGTGTATGAGAAGTTCAGCCGATACCTTTGGACTCACCTTAGTGATAAGCGAATGTTTTTGGTGGCTTGTCCTCACGCCCTATGGCGTTCAATATTTTCTCTCGGCTCTAGGTTTCCTCAATGTTGGGATGTGAATAATACTTCAGTTGTTGCTACTTGCTGCATAGCTCGTCTTGCTATCATGCTTTTGAACTGAAGATTCAACCTACAACATCTAGCCGCCAGAATCGCAAGCATGTTAACCATAAATCTCCTACAGCACCGCTCTAACCCCCTCTCCACCCATTTCTGCCCTGCTCTCGGCCTCATACTCCTTCCACCTCTGCTCAACATCCTCCTCACATACATACGTAAGCAACCAGCTACCAACCCCACCCCACCTCCACGCCAATGGATCATCTTCAACTTTCAACCCCTTTGCCTCATATTCTTCCTTGCTAATCCTTCCCTTGCCGTTGAACTCCCCAAAAGCACGGAGGGTGCGATCACGTTCTTGCTGCACGGGACCATCATGAACGTGGTAGAGGTATTGCTGGCGATTTCCGCGCGAAACAACACGTTCGGTGCGTTCGCGGCGGCAGCGCTCGTAGACGGCGAGGGCGCGCTTCTTCTCAGCCGTGGATTTGTTCTTTATCTTGGCGAGACAGAGGCCTAGGACATGACCGTCTTCCAGAGACATGCCCGCACCAGAGGCAAGGTATGGTAGGGTTGCGTGTGCAGCATCGCCGAGGATGGTGTACGCGCCGGATTCATGTGACCAGGTAGGATCGAGACCAGGTCGGATCATAAGACGCCATTTTGACACTGATTGGCATAGAGCGAGAAGCTTTGGTATCCGTGGATCCCAGTCTTTGTAGAGGGAACGCATTTCCTCGACGTTTCCGGCGAGTGTATTGGCACCTGCGGGCATGTCGTCTGGTACTAATAATACCATGTTGAAGAGCTTGCCGCCACGGAGTACATAGTTGACAGCGTGTGCATCTGGCCCCATCCAGTAATTAACCTGGGGGTCTTCTACAAATCCTCTTAGCTCGGGATCCTTGAGCATATCTTCTGTATTGAGCAGAAGTCGATAAGCCAAATCGCCTGTTAGGAGCGGTGGGTCTTCGTGGCCTAGTAGTATCTCTCGGCACTTGGAGTTGATACCATCCGCGCCGACCACTAGATCAGCCTTGTAACGTGTTCCGTCCAGACATACAGCAACAGCTCTGGTAGAGCCGTTATGCGCATCATGCTCGTATTGCACATCCACAACCCTGGCCTTGGTAGTCATCTTCGCACCCAGCTCAACGGCCCTCTCTAGCAAGCCCATGTGTAGGTTGGCCCGGTGGAAGTCCCAAAATGGTGTCCCACACTCCTTCTCATACTCATGGAAGTCCATTTCGCTTATCTTGTTCCCCTTCCAGCCGATCATATTGCATAGTCGCGGCATGGTGGCATGCTGTGAGAGATATTCTTCGAGGCCCCAGGAGATGAGAACTCGTGATGAGTTGGGGAGGCATTGGATTCCAGCACCAATTTCGCCTATCTCAGGCGCGGATTCGAGAATGTGAATGTTATGACCGGCGAGTAAAGTCGATATGGCTGCTCCGAGGCCACCGAGACCAGCGCCGACGATGATAACCTGGTTTTGTGTCAGTTTAAGTCGTCTGGTTTCAAGAGAGACGGCTTACATCGAGCTTGCTTGAGTCGTCTCTGTATTGTTTCTGTATGATTTGAGGTTTAGTACCGGGTGCCATGATGTCACGACTTCTATACACTCAATGATGAACGTCAAGCTTCTCGTAGCAACAATGCTGTAGATTAGTATATGCCGGTGCAAGCGATACACAGTTCATCAGATATATCAACGTATATCAAAAGGGATATGGCTACTCAACCGTCACCGCTTGCCGCCATCCTCACCCACCTATCGGCATCACGACGCGTGACAACTAGCTGACAGCAGCTAAACCGATGCATGAGATTCACGCTTATCCTAGGCCTGCATCTCGATGCATCGTCTAGCCTCGCATCCAGAATGGGGAACCGCTCGATTGGTGGAGACCACAATAAGGTCGCGTTTACGGCAGGCCGATTACGCGTAGACGCAAGAGTGGGGGAAAGATGTCGGGTGCTGGGTGGAGGCTCGATGGAGGCGTGAGGGGTTTCCATGGATCCGCGGACATCGGCCGTACTTAGTCCAGATCTCAAGCTAGGTTCCGATATTTCCGACATTCCGAATGAGAGATGAATAGTAAAGACATTTGAACGACAACGGATTAAAATCTTGATAAAAGTGAGCATTTGTGATCGTTTCAGCATCTTATTGGTACTACTGCGGCATAGGGCCGTCGTAATCAACCAGCGAGTACGCCTTGCCCTCTTTCTGCAACTTCAAAATCTCACCCCGTGGGGCCGGCATCATGGCACCCTCGGGTACCTTGTTGTTCTTCTTGAAATCATCTGCCATCTGCTCCATTGTCACCCATTCCACACCCTCATGCTTGTTGATATGCTCGATAATCCTGTCACAAAGGTTAGTATCATGTTCGGTACTTGTCCAAGCTGTCCAACAACATACCTTTCATGCATCAGCACAACGTGTGGCCTGCCCGAAACATCCGGATGGATTGTCATGGGGAAAACAAACTCATCGTACTCGCGGTAGAAGTAATCAAAATGATCCATCCATATCTGTTCAACATCCCTTGGGTTCACCCAGCCATGAGAGTTTGCGCTCTTCTTCATGAACATCATCGGTGGGAGATCATCGATATACCAAGATCCCGGGATCTCTACAAGACCTGTCTCCTGTCCTTTGACTAGAGGCTTCATCCACTCCTCGGCTTTTTTGCTGTAGTCAATCTTCGTCCATGAGTCGCCCGTGCGTAGCCAGTAGCAGCGGTGGTCTTCATGCGACATGGAATGGTCGTATTCGATACCATAGCTCAGCAGCAGCTCAGTGCCTTCTTTCGAAGTTTCCCACCAAGGTGCTACGGAACCACGAGGTGGTTTACCATTGCAGAAGGCGGTGAGTTGTTTGTAGGTCTTGTCGAGAACATCACGTTGCTGCTCAAAAGTCATATCCGCCGGATTTTCGTGAGAGTAGCCATGAAGACCAATCTCGTGACCTGCGTCACGGACCGCCGCGCAGTCTTCGGGAAAGGTGTCAAGAGAATGGCCAGGCTACAAGCGTCAGGAAATTTTATACAAATGTAGCGCCGGGTGGCTTTACGATGAACCATGTTGCTTTGATATTGTACTTATCAAAGAGCTTCAGTAGACGCTGGGTTCCTACTGTTCCAGCCCAAAGACCTATCGAGTATGAGCTACCGGTAGAAGATCAATGCTAGTAAGGCTTCTTACCTCTGCTAATGTCGCTCGTAGAGTCTTCCCCTCCGTAAGATCCAAGCCAGCCAGCAACGGCCTATATATCTGCTGTTTAGTGACCGCTCGCGTACAACTTGTGCTAGGAGATCTCACATCGATGTCAACGCCATAACTCACGAGGACCTTCTTTTTGCCCATAGTTTTTGATTTGAAAAATGAAAATCAATTGACTATCATGAAATCCGAGAAGGGAGATTGTGGCGAGGAAAGGATGATGTGAGGTTTGCTAGTAAGAAAGGCAGTCGCACAGCTCACGATAGCGTGTAATTACAGCTACCCCGCTTATTGTCGGAGCTGTCGGTGCAGCTCAACCTCGTGAACGGGGCCATTTCGCTACTCAATTGGAAGGTGGGGGAAATTATGATTCATCGTGCCTGCCGACGGGCTTATCGTCGCGTGGTCTACATGTGCGCTAGCGCCCATCCTTCGTCCAACGTCGAGCAGTTATGGGGAAAGTGCAATAACAGTCTCTACATTGTGAATGTTGTGATTACCACGGGAGGAGCGTCGGAGACTGGAGAAAGCTATCCCTTGTGTGAAAATTCCCAATTGGTATCTAATAGCTCTAAGACGTGCACTTCAATATGGTATCGATAGCCTTGGCCGCACCTAGCGCCTTCTCCTCCTGCAACCTGCGTGATACTATCTGTACGCCTATTGGCATTCCATCCATCGCATCCAAATCAAAAGTGTTCCAATTCCATTCGTCTAGCGTATTCCGGGGTTGGTATAAGCCCATGAGTCCTGCAGCCTCGCCATCAAGCTCTTTCGATACCTGGCCAGCGGGTAGCACTACAGCGGGGTAGTCGACAAAGTTGAACACCTTGGTGTACCCAACCCATCGACACTTCCGATGTGGAACTGCGGAATGTGGCATGACTGGTGTTAGTAGTACATCGATTGGCTTGCCGCTTTTCTCTGACTTGGTGGAGTTCCAGAGGTCGAGGTAGCGCTTCTGCAGTTCCAGTTTCTTCTTGTTCAGTTGCCAGTACTCGTATACAGAGACGGGTTTCCCCTTGTTGATCAGGGCCTCCACGTGTGGAATAAACGGCTCGCCGCCAGCTTCGACGTCCCGTCGGATGTCTTCACCGCCGTCTGCCGTGTAGTACTGATCCTGGTCAATGTCAGTGACGGGATGCATGGGTTAGTATTGGCAAATATACCATAATATCAATGCAATTTTGATGAAGACTACCTGGGCTCCATGACACCACTTCATGTCCTGCCTTTTCTAGCTTTGATGCAACCTCGTCTATTACGCGCGAGATGGGTGGGTGGCATTTGACAACGCCATCATCCCGCATGACCGCAACTATCAACGGTCTTGACTGAGCATCTTCGTAGACTTGAGAGCGCCAAGGCACGGGACAGCACTTTGGATCTTGGTCCCAAGGGCTTGCATCAATGACGGCCTTGGTGACTGCAACGAGGGAGTCCATGTTGCGTGCCATCGGCCCTATGACGGAAGGTACGTGCTCTTGGCCGTCGGTTGAAACTGATACGCCTTGGTAAGGAAGCCGTGTACTACTCGGCTTAAGGGCGTATAGTCCGTTCATGTGGGACGGTATTCGCACGCTACCTCCAATATCAGTGCCCCACCCAACCATAGAGCCTTGGAGGGACAGAAGCGTCGCTTCTCCCCCGGTAGAGCCTCCGCAGGTGAAAGCGGGGTCTTTGGGATGAACAGTGAGGCCCCAGAGTGGATTGTCTGTCTCGCACCACTACCAAACGTCAGCCCAACAGTCCTGAGGGCTGATTGCGGAAACATTTCCGCGTACCATGATGCTCTGTGGCAGATTTGATTTTGCAACAATGATTGCGCCCATTTCTTTTAGTAAGGAAACCAACACACAGTCTTGCTGCGCGGGCTTGAAGGCGCGCCCGACATAGCCTAGTGTGCTATCATATCCCTTGACATCGAATTGGTCTTTGAGAGTCATGGGCACCCCATGCAGTGGCCCAACAAGCCGGCCATTTTGCTTGAAGAAATCGTCCAGCTCATTGGCCTGCCTGATTGCATCTTCGAAGAAAATCTCTGTAAGACTACGCGGGTTAGTATTGCAATCCACGCTCGAAGTAGGATTAAGACCTGCCAGTTTGTCTGTCTATGTCAGCGAAATCTGGGGTACAGAGCTTGGCGTAGGGGCGGGCCGTACGCGTCGATGTGCGTCTATAGCGCTGACAAAGTGGTGTGAGAATGATACGATGTTTCAAGAGGCTGCTGACCTCACCGGTTGATGTAGGCATAGAGCAGCTGCGATGCCGTCATAGCACGAGTTGTGATGGCGATCGAAACTGAGTCAACGCCATCAACTGCCGTCAATTCACGAAGATTGCCATTCGTATTTTGAGACCTATTAAGCTGCCGTCGTCGTCAGCTTGCTCGGTTGTGTCGCAGATTGGCGGGTGTACCTCGGATTGTATTGTTTCAGCATCAACGAATCTCTGTATGGCTTCATCACGTAACTGTTTCTTTTTGGTAGCCGTCTGCTGCCATTGAGGGGCATGGGAGATGGTCATGATTGTTGAGGGAGGCAATACTGGAGACTGGAGTGGCGCGTATGTAATGTGCACCCGTGGACTCTTTACTACACACGGTACCTATCAACGAGAATACACTTGGCTGAAAAGCGCTCGATAATCGGGCCTCGCGGGGATTTCGGGCTCAGATATGGGCAGCCTATGCAGCGTTGTGCCCGTATCTGCGGCTCTTGAGGTATGAATAGTGGGGGAGGATGCAGGGGAGCCAGCGTCGACGGGGGAAGCTGCCGCCTGTTGCCGAAAGTCTCGACTGGCTCACGACGGCACGCATGCGCCCATGCCTGTCCTTTGCACAGCGTCACCCCATTACAGGGAAACCTTTTCGCCGCCAGCAGTACATGAAGGCAGAGTCCGCGGCGCCATGGCAGTCGTCAATGGGTTGAAAATGGGCAGCAGCTCAGCAGAGAATCAGACGTTGCCCCTCCATCTTCCTCCCGTACCTGTGTACCCCCATCTTTGCCTTAACTTAGTGGCCGACTATTACTGCATACAGCCGACTTTAAAGAATGGCTTCAATATGGTCACTCATGAAGCGCTCAACGTCAACGTCGACCAGTCCACCTACGTCAGTCAGGCAGAAGATGGCTCCCGGTGTGACCAGCCGAAGCAGCGTGAGTGAGTCCCGATCGACGGGGAGCAGCTTGGAGGGGACGCCGCAGTTTGTACACGCACAAGATACCGACTATTCGAGCTTCATGAGTGATGTCATGGTCGTCGGCGCAGGGCCCGGTGGCCTCATGCTCGCGTATGTGTTATTGTAGTGTGGGCCGCAAGACTCTCTCTGACCGTCACAGCGACAACCTCGTCCGATTTGGCATAAAGACGCGTATCATCGACGACCGACCCGATCGAACCTCGACCGGACGTGCCGATGGAATCCAACCAAAGTCGATCGAAACGCTGCGCCAGATGCGTCTTGCCGAGCCATTGCTACGAAAGGGCGTCAAGATCTACGACATTGCTTTCTGGAAGTCGACGGCCGAGCAGTCGTTGCACCGCACTGGTCGTGAGGTCCACTACCCCCCAGTGGTTGACCTGCTCGACCCCTACATCCTATTAGTACACCAGGGAATGGTGGAAAGCGTATTTGAAGATGACTTGAGGGAACGCGGTGTTGTCGTTCTAAGGAACACGGCCTTTGTTGACTTTGAGTACACGCCAATGTCCATCCGTCCCCTCACCGTCAACTGTCAACAAAACGTCAATCACGTGAAGAAGACCTTCTCCGCGCGATACATAGTGGGCTGTGATGGTGCGCATTCCAAAGTGCGCAAGTGCATACCGGGAGCGACGCCTGTGGGCTCTTCGACCGATGCCATCTGGGGCGTATTGGATGGCGTGCTTGACACCGACTTCCCTGACATCTGGAGCAAAGTGGTCGTCCAGCACGACACACTCGGATCAGTCCTCATGATCCCCCGTGAGAGAGGCCTTACCCGGCTATACATCGAGCTACGGCCAGACTCGACCGAGGTGGCTGGTGCAAAGGAAACCACACAAGAGTTCGTGCAAAAGCGAGCGCAGACGATATTACACCCCTATCGCTTGGAGTGGAGGAATGTAGAGTGGTTCAGCCGCTACAGGATCGGACAACGGGTAGCAGCGCGCTTCACTGACGACCAACAACGGGTCTTCATCGCCGGCGACGCGAGCCACACTCACTCGCCCAAGGCAGCGCAAGGAATGAACACATCGATGCACGACGCATGGAATCTTGCCTGGAAGCTCAACTTCGCTACGCGCGGTCTTGCGAAGCCTGCACTGCTCGAATCCTACGAACAGGAGCGACAGAAGATTGCCAAGGATCTCATCGACTTCGACTACGAGCACGCTAATGCTTTCCACGCCGGTGACCCAGCAGCGTTAGCTGCAAATTTCGCTAAGAACGTCGCCTTCATCTCCGGCTATGGCGTCAACTACGATCCCAATACCCTCAACGTGCTTGCAAAGGGCTACAACCGGGGTCACTTGAAGCCAGGCTTCTTATTACCGCCTGCAAAGGTCACCCGCTTCATCGATGCCAACCCGGTAGACATCCAGACGGATATCCCAGCCCTGGGCCAATTTCGTATCTACTTCTTCACTCACAACATCCGAAATTCCATGCCTTTCCTGGAAACTGTGTGTCATGCACATTCGGGGAACAGCTCATATGTTGGCCGAGTAACCGCTGCTGGCAACGCCTCATACACTGTTCAGCCTCCCCTGGCAGCACCACACGATCAATTTGTCATTCCCGAACGATACACTCCAGTTAGCGGCGTCTTCACATACGCCCTAGTCACCGATGAGGACCGCAACAACTTTGAGATTAAGGATCTGCCTCCGGTGCTCCGCGAGTCATCTTTTACGTTGTATCTCGACGACGTCCCGGAAAAGGATACCCGTAAGCAGACATGTATGCAGAAGTGGCTGGACGGGCTTGATGAAAATGAGGTTGTGGTTGTTAATGCCCGGCCAGACGGTTACGTGGGCACTGTCAAGCGATTTGCAGATGGAAGTAGAGACAATGGTACTAGGGCTGTGCTCTGGATGGACCAGTACTATGAGCAGTTCATGCGGGATATATAGAGCATGCTCATTGTTAGATTTAGTTCGCATTGCTTAGAAATTGAAGAATAAAGATACAGCTTAAACATGTGTTTATCCAACGTTCATTGCTCGAGATGCAGCAGCAGTAGCTACTAGACACAATCAAGTTGTGCTAATCTTCATCGAATGAAATCAATACACGTTACTCCACAAAGGGACCACAGCGCGGGAACCACGAGTGAAATTCAATTGAAGCCCAGGCTCACAAGCGACACGTGATGATGCACGAGCCAGCATCCGTACTGCCTAGACTGCCATCATAATGCGATTTCTCACCAATCTCGTACAATAACCAGATTTGCGCAATTATTCTGGCAGATCAACAAAGCCCTGGAATTGAAATGGGTGTTGTTGTATCGATCCTACAAGATGCATTCATAGTCCTCGTCTCAACAGTCTCCCTTCTAAAAGCTTTGTCTACCGAGTTCAACCAGGCTTTGAAGCGTGCATCCCAATCTCCCGGTCTTCCAAACCCCAAGCCATCCCAAACATACTGGCTCAGCGACCCTCCACATCCCGAACTCGTCAATGTAAGCTCGCCCGAGTTACCGAAAACCGCGGATGTGGTTATCATCGGTTCTGGAATTGCGGGCGCTGCTGTCGCGCGGTCGTTACTACACGAGCGACGTCGCCGCAACTCCCGTACGGATGAAAAGGTGGTTGTTCTCGACGCTCGACAGCTTTGCAGCGGTGCCACTGCTCGGAATGGCGGTCATATCAAACCTGCGGCGTACGAGTCCTTTTCTCGGTTCAGCAAGCTTTTTCCAAAGGATCGTGCTGCTGCCTTGACGCGTTTTCAATCTCGGCATATTGAGTGCTTGGTTAGTTTGTGCGAAAGCGAAGGCATTGAATGTGCCGAAGCTCGTAAGGTCGAGACTGTTGACCTTTTTTTGGACGGCCAGAGTTTCGCCAAGGCTGTCGCTAATGTTGATGAATTAAAGAGATGGTTGCCTGAGGTTGGGATTGCAGTGTGGAGGGGAGATCAAGTACAAGAGGTTTGAATATTACCTCAGGTAACAGAAGAAACACCAAAACTGACAGAGATAGGAGTTCGGTGTCAACAATAGCGTCGTCGGTGCGCTGTCATACCAAGCAGGTGCTATCTGGGCGTATCGATTCGTTGCATCTATCTGGAACGGCCTTCTAAATGATTTTCCTCATAGCCTCTCTGTTGAGATAAACACTCCTGTAGAGTCAATAAGTCTTCCAGAGGAGGCTCCGAAAAGCTTCCCATACGCTTTGAAAACCTCCCGAGGAATTATATTTGCCCGTCAAATAATTCACGCCACCAACGGCTTCGCAAGTCATCTTGTCCCGGGACTGCGCAGCAAGATCGTGGGTGCACGAGCCCACATGTCTGCCCAGCACCCAGGACAACGGTTCCCATACGCCGGCGGTTTGCACTCCTGGGGTGTAGTTTACGGCGAGGGCTTTGACTACGCCACACAAAGACCATCGAAAGCAGATGGTTCAAAAGGCGATCTAATGATTGGAGGCGGCTTCATGCGATCGCTGAAACAAGGTATTGATCAAGTCGGTCTGTACGACGATGGCCCCCTGCTCGAACCTCTCACCGCCATACACATTGCCGGTATCTTTCCCGCGATCTTCCATCCCAAATGGGGTGCTGGTGCCGAGTTGAAGCAGACATGGTCTGGCATTCTCGGTCTGACTGGAGACTCTCTTCCACTAGTAGGCCGCGTGGACGCAAAATTAACAGGACGAGACATCAAACGACGAAAACGCATATCAAACGACGAGTGTGGAGAGTGGATCGTGGCCGGTTTCGCCGGCGAAGGTATGGTATGGGCATGGCTCTCGGGAGCTGCTCTTGGTATCATGATTGCTGGATGCGAAGACGAAGACCTATCCGAAGTACCTGGTAGGCCAGGTGGAAAACTGAGAGAGTGGTTTCCACGCGAGCTGTTGGTGTCACAGGAGAGGATACGCAGTGCTGATATTAGTAATTTGGCCAATCAGTTGTAAAGTCATGCATTCATGATTCATTTAGATACATTTGCTTGCGAGAGACTCCGAGTCCTTCATAATGACCAGCTGGCGCGATATATGATACCAACACTCCCCCTGAGAGAGTTCTGCTCCAAGCACTGGGCTTAACCCCGCCATCGCGTGTACCTAAGCGAGACCCAAAAGCTTTCAGTAACTGCAGGAACCCTTGGTGTACTAAACTGAGAAATCCTCGATTACATGATTTAGAAAAGAGCTCTATGCTGCCTAGCAACCGAACCTTGTAACAAAAACCCCAATGCGGACCTTGTCTTCGCATGCAGCATGGCGGCCGTTCTGCAGTTGGCACTTATCGTTGAAGCACTCGTTGTAAACGGCAAAGAAATTCGTCGTTTCACAACGCTGGTTGCCAGAATTGTAGTCCGAGTGATCGATAGCATCGCATGCTGCTTGTGTGGCGGTAGGGTCGGTGTTACCCGTAGCCCCGTCAACGCAGCGGCATTTTCTGAACCCGGCCTTGGCGGAGACGGTTTGCAGCATCATCTGGACACCCAGCAGAGCTGTGAGAGACTTGGAAAGGTACATATTCTTCGCTGTAGTGGTATATATATTAGATGTGTAAATAGCGTATTTTTGATTGGCCTCACTTACACCTTTGTTGAACTAGAGTAGGATGTGTTGGTTATAGACTTCGATGAAGTTGGCTGTTTGAAGGAATAGTAAAGAAGTAGTAGCGAATTCACTTTATCCTAGGTACGGGCTGGAAGTCAAGTCTAGGAAAAAGGTTGTTTTTGATGCTAGAAAATTAGTTATTTCGACGAAAGAAACATTACAATATATAGTTATAGGACAAACTAGGAAGAGCATGGCCGTTCCAATCTCATGGAGGCTTTGCCGGGTTTCTTTTAGTCCAAGTTCTTATTCAGGAGACTTTGCATGCTGAGTGCGTTCATGCTAGAATGACTAGTGCAAGGGTGATGCGAATACGAATGAGCTGTTTTGGTATAACTCGTAAGCTGACATGTCACTCCTCTTCTCACATTGTATCGTCGTGATTAGCTTCATTCTTAGTTTCTTGGTCTGTAAAATCATAGCAGTTTGCTATTGGCTTGGGACGTACCTAAGTGCTCACCTCCTCGAACCGCGAGTCCCATAACGGCGCGTCTGCGATATTTAAGGATAGACATGGCATGTATAGCGAAAGAGAGTTCGGCCCTATACCACTCATCGACGCAGCAAATGTCAACCTAATAGTATTGCAGTCCATATTTATAAGCTTACTCACTGCCTAGGTAGATATAGAAGCAAGTTTCTGAACTACTGTGTACTATCTTGCGCCTACTTTAGTTTGAACCGATGTCTGGTTGAGCATGCAGGCTAACCTTCTTCTTTAAAAGGACTTGTGATCATGTAACCGGGCCGATATGGTTATTATCGCCTACTGCTACTTTCGCGAGTGTCGCCTTACCATATCTATCTGCCCCTATGTAGGTGAAAGCATCGTACAAGGAGACTTAGTGCAGTTAGTCGAAGCTGGGGATTGTGAAACCGCTTTGCCTGCATAGGTACCGCTTGCTCTTCTCGAGATGCCGCCACTAACGTGTCTGTGCGCGTGATGCCCATAATCGCGTGCCGCACACCCCACCAATATCGCGACGACGGCAAAGTTGAGGCTGTGCAGCCACGTACAATAACTATTATCGCGAGATTTTCCGGTGTATTGATCTATAGACGTAGCTCTACAACTTTGTCTATCTATATTTTGCCGGAGTATTGACGGCCCGGCCGCGTCGGGTGGTTGTTGGTGGGGGAGCCGGTGCAGCCACCTCAGCCAGAGTGCCACCGCCAGCACCACCCACGCGTCGTTTTTTTGGCTGTTGCTTTGCAGCGGGCTTTGAAGCCTTACGCTTGCCCGATTGGGGTTGTTGTATAGCCTTTGCAGCGTCGCGATCGCGTCGTTTGGCGTCAAGTTCGGCAGCCTTTACAGCCTTGGCTTCATCCCGCACCTTCTTTGCCTCCTCACGCGCCGCCCGCGCTGCCTCTTTGATCTTAAGTTGATAGATCCTGTTGTTCTCCTTTGCCTCTTTCAACTCTATCTTATCAAGTAGCTCTTTCTCCTTCTCCTTCTCCTTCACTAGCTGCCTGAAGCGGGCCTCTCGAAGCTTGCACGGCGACCACCAAACTGCCCCTGAATGGAACGCTTTTCGCTGCTGTAGATCTAGGGGAGGTTCGTGCCGATTGCGGGGCTTCTGGTGAACGTGTAGCGCCGCGCGCAGTGCGTCCTTCTCGTACTCGGCGATCTCTTTGGCAGCCTGGAGGCGGAGGAGTATTTCTGAGAGGTTGTTGGCCGCAATAGAGCTCGGATCGTAGGCCTGATTAATGAGGTTCGTGATAGTAGCTCTACTCACGTTCACTAGTGGCGGCGGTGCTGTTAGTGTTGACTTTCGGAACTTTTTAAGTACTACTTCGGGATCTATAGGAGCTATCCCAGTGGCTTTAAATGCCTTCAACGCGTGCTTCTTAATGAAAGAGGAGTCCCAGGCAGGCTTGAAAAGACGGTAGAAGTCATCCTTCCTCACAGCTAAGAGACCGTGGCTCGCCTGGAGGTAGTGCTGCAAGCTGAGTGAGTACGCGGCTGCCAGAGGTTTGAACATTACCACATCGAGTGGCTGCAGCGTATGGGTACTATGGGGGGGTAGTATGAGTAACATAATATTGTGGGCGATCGCATAGTCAATAAACTCCATAGTAACGTGACTCCCATGGCCGTCAAGGATGAGTAAGCGTGTGTGATTGCCGGCCTTCTCCTTCGTATGGCGATCAAACACCTGTTCGAGCCATGCCAGGCCTACCTGATCATTGGTCCACCCTGAGGGACTTGAGGTAACGTAGACTGGATCGTCAATTGCGATATCATCAACCCATCTGGCGTACATGTTGCCCGAAGTAGCTTCGTATATAATCGCGGGCGGTAACGTACTCCCATCAGCACATATAGCAGCGATAACAGTGATCCAATCTCTGTTGCCGTCCTGTATCACTTTCTTAAAGCCCCCAGTCTCATATTTCTGCTTACTAAACACTCTCTTACTCCTCCCCGTCACTCCAATAAGGAATCCCTTCTCATCCATATTATATACATCCTGCGCCCGAATATGGTGCTGAGCCATTTTAGTAGATAGTAGATCAAAGTACGACTCGTACTTGTATACAGAATCAGCCCGGTGGCGATTGCGGTCCAAACCAGTTGACCAACGTGATATAATCGCGTCGGGATGACGGTGAAAGAAGCGCGTCACCCAGCTTTGGGAGGTAGCCCTTCCGGCTATAGCACTAGCAAAGTTCTGGATCATAGTCCTCGTCGGTGGTAAGCCAGCCTCAGTAAGCTCGTCAATGTGCTCTAGAAGCTGTAGCTCCTGGTGTGGGTGAAGGAGTTGCTGATTACGTGATTTGGCTTCATTTGAGCCCCGGATCTGTTGATGGCGTCGCGACAACGTAGAGCGATCAACACCAAAGCGGCGCGCAACCTCAGAGTATGTAAATTTATCTCCGGGATCACGCGATTCAATAGCTTCAATCGCAGCGTTGATACAACTCATGGTTGTGGAGTTATGGGTGGTTGAAGTGGTAAGGGTGGATTGGTGTTGATGTTGCGGGGTGTGCGGCACGCGATTATGGGCATCACGCGCACAGACACGTTACCACCGAATGTGGTAAGTGTCCCCACTAAACTATCAAACTCGGATTTCCTTCCGAGTTTTCCTACCCAAGTAGCAACGCGATTGCCAATATCACACCAAAATACCAGCTGCGCCTCTTCTTGTCTAAGATCTTTCCGATCCGTGGTAAGAATCACCGCAGCTCATATCGTCCTCCATGCTTTTTGACGTTGCTCTGCGGCGTTTATCACGAGGGTCCTGCGTCTATCCTAGGGCTCGAAAACATGTAAAATTTTACAATCTACAGCGCCATGCTTTGGTCAATCATAGCAACAGAATGTTCTCGTATTGCGCGACTCTGAATGATGCTTTGACTCTGGATACCGATGAGACACCAGATTTTGCTACGCCCACTGCAGAACCATCTGACACAGCAACATCGACGGCGAAGCAAAAGCATGCGAGAAATTACCCAAAGTATCTGGAGCTTGACAGCTCTGAGACCCAGGCGCGTATGAGCGCACTGCCCAAATATCTCAGAAACGCAGTTCTGAACAACGGTATTGAAATGAGGAGTTTCAACTGGAGAAGTAGCCTCGATAGTTTGAGTTCTAGTTCTGAGAAAGTGAAGGCTGCCACAAGCCTGATGTGGTTCATACGAAAACGAACTGCAAACAGGATGCGGAAACCGGTTGAGCCTGGATTACCGAACCGAACATGCATGCCTATGAAACGACTCAACATCCTCCTCAATACAGAGAAAGACATAGGGGCGTATATCGAGAGACATACCGTCGGTCGGAAGTCTGCGAAACAAATGGCGAAAACTCGAACAGTAATACAGCTACCAGAGACGGTAGAACATGGACTTGTGAGCGAAGAATTTCTTGAGGCTGGCTGGCTTGAGCGTACGGTCAAAGACTTGGAGCCTGGTCAACAAAGAGAAGTTATCAAGTCGACAATAAATATCCTTACCGACGGAGTACGGTCGAGCATTGAAACAGTCGGTTTGAACGCTCAACGTCAAAGGTTTCTTGCAATTATCGCCGAGGCCAAATCACTTTACAAAGAGCTCAATCCGGATGCTGCGGAGCTGACCACGGAATTTGATATCACACGTAGACGCAGCCGCAACCCATTCACCTGGAAGCTACATGGTTCTTTGGAGGGAGAACGTCAAGCGACCTTGAAATGGCAGTATGCAGAACAAGCAAGATTGAATCGATTATCCAAAAAGTTAGACTCTACGACAGACCTTGCTCCAGAGTTGATAAGGAGCTTGCAGGAGATGTATAACACAACTGGTATGAAGCTGAGAGCTGTTAAAATATACTTGGAGAAACTGGAGCTGGAAAATGCGCCTGTTGAATCAGAATCTCTCAAACTCGCCACGAAGCACCTTACCATACCATACCGAGCGCAACATCACATGCTCAAGGACGTCTTGAGTCGCTTCAAGGTTGGCTTGTTTGAATTTGGCCAACGATTCTTTCCCAAAATCATGCAGCGGGAAGGCTGGTACGAGCCCGAGGGCCTTTCTATTACGGAGTTCGGGGATATCTTAGACCAGCACCGCAACATGCATGATTTCTACAAAATCTGCAGCAAGCAATGGGACTCCCTCCGTCGCATTCGCAATTCATCCGTACATGATATCCCTCAGATGAGCGTCGCGCGTCTCGAAGAGCTGCTGGATGACTGCAAAGATCTTGCATACTTCATGGAATGCCCCGGTATCGACGTCTTGGTCGACAGGTATAACTTCCTGCTGAACAACTACAAGGACGATTACATGGGATTTCTCACCTCTCACGAACAGAAACTCCGGGATCAACTGGAGAAGATAGACGAAGAGCGTGATGCTGCACTCAGTGATCTGGATACGCTGGAGTGCAAAGACTTTGAGGAAAGAAATGAGAAGCTGAGAGAGGACTTTCACGAGAAGAGACACATACTCATGTTGAAATTTCAACGCACAGACCGCGATAGAAAGCCCCTTTTCACACGCGATCTTGTGAGATACTCCGTCTTGAGCCATATTCGCCATTGTTTGGATTCAGAAGACTCCGCTTGGGCTGCAGAGGCGACAGGAGCTTTGGCCAAAGAGTATGCAGGACGTGGGTACTTGTCGCAAAAACCACTCGAACGGGAGGCGGAAACGGACTCTCAAGATGGATGAAGGTATACCTTAAGATTGGCAAGGGAGGAGATACAATCTTGTGTGAACACCAAGGCATTTCCCGACAGCGATTGTGGAAGCTGGAGATGTATTAAACATGTTCATAATCATTGGTATCTATTGCCACCCAAACAACGTCATCAATCATATCTCCAAAAAATCAACCCGGTCTATCACGGTCCACCAAATCCTGCCCCCGCACCGGCGCCACCGCCGACTAATCGCCACTGCACTAATCCCCTAAGCACCATCATCCCATCATGCACAACCGCCCATCTCACCTTACTCAAACACCTACTCACTACCGCCGCCAACCCATTCGTCCCCCTCTTCCCCACGCCCCCCGAAAAAACGCTCTTGGCCCCTTGCTCCAGCAAACCCATCGGTTCACTCTTGAGAATGCCCTCCAACAGCGTCTTCATCTCTGTACTCGGATCCCAAACCATCTCATCCTCCTCCCCATCGTCGCCGTCCAAATGGCTGAGATGACTGGGCAAAGCGTCCGGCGCGGGCGGAGGAACCGGCCGCGCATACCACACCCCCCACACCACCAGCGTGCCTAGATACACAGTCCAAGCATGATGCCACAATCTCGCACTCCCGATATCACTAGCGCTGAGCTCGCCATCTAGAACATCCACGCCCTCGCTTACAATAGAAGACGCGTGCCACACTGCCTTACCCGCCTCCTTACCGTTCTCCAACACCCACTTCTTAACTACACGCTGCGAGCGTGCATAGTCGTGCCGCGCTACTGGGCGACCCAGGATATGTCTCGCGCCCGCGTAAATCTGCAGGTCGATAAATGGGGTGTGGAGTAAGATGTGTGCGGCGTGGTAGAGGGCCAGAGTAGCCGTGCGATGGATTTGGAATTCTTTTGCGAGAAAGTGGGACGGTGAGGGTAGTGCGGATAGGTACGTGGTGCAGAAAGCGGTGTAATCTGCGTGCCAGGATGTATACGAACTCGCGAGGCGAACTTGCCAGTTTCCCAGCGGGTTGCTGGATTCCAGTACGCCGAGGGAGGTTTGGTCGCGGCGTTGCATGTCCCAGGCTACAGACATGAGACCGTGGAGGAGTAGAGCGCGGGATAGGGCGTTAAGGTTCTTGGGGATCTTGGCTGCTGCGTCGGGGTGTAGGTACATCTTCAAACACGACAGAAAGAGCGGTGTTGTAGGTTGTTTCTGGCGTGCTTGGTGCCAGGATTCCGCGGAGTCTGCTTCCCAGACGGCTTGGTCGCAGGGCATGTTTGAGCGCAGTTCAAAGGCCGACATGCAGAGAGATTGACAGAAGAGCACGGCGTGCTGCGTGTCCCACATGAAGCACAGAAAAGCCAGTCTGTTTAGAGATGATTACGATTTGTTCTCAGGCAGGTGAAGACGTAGTGAAATCCCGTTGTTCCGGTCGTAGAGCGAGAAAGAGAGAGGAGGGTTTCAGTTGTTGAAGACGTACCTCTTTTTTTCCTCAGCCTCGCACCAGGTTCGCCAGTCGTCTTCAAGATCATCTGTGGATTCGTCCGGGGTGGGTGGTCGGATGCTTTGGCAGTCGCTGCGGCGGATGAGGTTAATGAGGAGTCCATGAAAGAGATGCGACATATCGTGTTGCTTTTGGCCGGCACGGCTTTTGCCGAAGCACTCGACAAGGAGGATAGTTTGGAGGACCCAGAGATCAGGCTTGGCAGAGAAGCCGGCGTTGGCAAATATTTGGGGACGGAGGACGTCATGTATACACACCTGCATTGTTTCGTTAGCTTTGATTTCATGAGTGAGAGGGTATTTGTTGCTTACGGCAAGCTGATGTGCGTCTTTCTCTCCGTATGTAGCTCCAAGTAGAAGCACGGACGCGAGAAGTAGGGTATCAACCTCCGAGGGGTCGAATGTTGACATGTGGATAAGCGGGTATGTGGTATTGAAGCGTGTGAAGAAGAGATCGCAGTATGTCTGCAAACACGACAATGAGAGGAGTGGGTGATCTCGCATGACTATACTCCCATCAGGCATGGTGGGTTGTATGATATCGACGAGATCAAGCAACTGCTGGCGGGCTAGTTCATCGATGACTGGTAAGCTCCTCGATGGCCGAAGCATGGACATTGGGCGCTCGATGTCGGGCACAGAACTAGCGGCATCCACCGAAATAGTCTTAGGAGAGACCGCTGATGTGTTTTGAGTTTGTTGTTGTGGCTGGGAGATGATATTTGGATTATCGCCGTGTTCGTATAGCGGAGGGGTGATCACTGGTGGTGAAGACAAGTGGCCTTGTAGAGATTCAGATATCTGAGACTGTAGCGGTTCATAGCGATTGAGTGTCTCTGATGGCTTTTCAAAGCTTGTATGGTCTAAATTCAAGTCGAAAGACTGACCAGGCTGCGGTAATGGCGAGGGGTTGTTCGGGAAAGCAATCGTGGGGAATGGATCTTGCATGTTTAGCTGCTGAGAGTGGTCGGTTTTCGCCCAATCCATTTCAAACAACCAGCTGTAGTTGCTTATAGTCGTGAACGGGGCGTTGAAAGAACTCGCTGTATCCGGGTTGAATATGTCTTCAAAGGATGCATCGTCAAAGGCGGTAGAGGCAAATGGATCAGGCTGAGGCTGTGTGATATCCGCAGACCAGAATCGTTGGTCTATCGGCGAGAAATTATCTTGAGCTGATAATGTCTTTGGGTCCAAGCCAGCAGGTTGGTAGTTGATCCCTATGCCGGAGTCGTGATCTTCCACGGATTGAGAAAGTGAAGGGTTATGCGATGTTGGTGGTGATATTGGAAGGCCTTGTTCGTGGGTATTGAAGTATGCAAATTCCGGTAAAGACTGCAACCTACCTTCGCTATGTGGCGATGAGGCGGACTGAGAATTTGACGCGTTGATCGATAGTGCAGGTTTCTTTGTTACTATTCTGCCTTCTGCATCCTTCCACATGCGTTTACGAGTATTCAAGACTCCACGGCCTTCAGCGCCAGCTTCTTCGTCTTTCTGACGATGGCGGCTCATATGGCGATCTATACATGCTTGTCAGCGCAAGTCGCCTTCAAATGATGACAGTATGAAGTTCTGTAAATAATGCCATGCATCGTGGCATGTAGTCGGACCGCGAAATGGGAATAACTCGAATGCTTGGCATGGCGGCTCATTCTAAGTTTGACACTCATTGGGAGGCATGACCTCGCAAGGCTGGCACCACCAAAGGGACAGAGTAGTCACAAAGTGCTCGAGCACTTTAAAAGCACGTGCATTATAGTGGCTTCTGTATGGAGAAATAAAAAAGAAACATTGCCGTTATTCTTACCAAGAAGGTCTCTCCGTTTAAAATGAGCCCTGCATCTTTCGCACGTGTACTCGCCCGTAGAGTGATTCAAAAGGTGGCGTTGAAGATGCTCCGCCCTCGTAAAAGAGCGACCACAACCCTCATTCGAACAAACAAATCTCTTGCCGTCCGGCTTGCTCGTCTCCTTTCTTTTCCGGCCCCTAGGCGGCACCAAAATCGTATGGTCGGGCGCTACAGATGACATAGCGCACGGGTCACTGTGTATGTGTGTAACAATGGGATTGTGGATTTGTTGAAGGATGGGGCAACTTTGAGGGTGACAATGGGGTATCCAAAAGTCAAAGCACATACGCCTGACAGGGCTCCACACGTCTTGGTATTCGGAGGAGGGAAGTGGCTTATCGGCGTCTCAAGTTCCGATTATCACGGCCGAGTTGGAGGTGTTTGTTGTGCCGCTAGTGAGCGGGGTTGCGCGCGACAGCGCGTCTCTTGGGACCGAAGCTCCAAAAGTGGGGGTGAGTTGGTAGGCAACCAACACAATACTTAGTGTGTGTGGATGATGATTCATCTCTATGTTGTCATGGCATGTGAAGCAGCCTCTACTCTGTGAATTTAGTAGATTCAAGGAAGTCGCTGTGCCCTAAATGCCAGGCGATTGAAGCGGAGGAGTGCGCTCGCGTATCCGCACAGGTGCTCTTTGCGGCAACCCGCCGTCCGTGAGGAATACCCATGTAGGGCAATCGACTTGGTATAGGTATCCACCTTGATGAGTGATCCTACGATCGTTGTTACAGTCTGCAGTATAGTAGTTGCAACGGTGTTCGGAAGTAATCGTCGCTTCATCGGAGATAAACCCCTTGACACATTGGCGGCCCGAGCGTTAGTCATAACCCTGGCACCTCGGCCTACCTATGTAGATTGCCGCCGATAGACGCCAATGTGTTCCACCTTCTGAAGCTGATGTCGGGAGAGGATCATCGCGGTAGCTACAGCATGCTACCATGGAAGGATGACGTTCACATTTTGAATGGGATGGGCCCAATTAAGCTGGCGATACATTCAAAGAGTAACGGAAAGCTTCAAGCGTAATCATGATAGGGCAAGTGTTCATTTGTAGACCAATCCTTACGCAACAGCAACCAAGAAACCCTTCTCACCCTCCTTTCTCACCGTTTTCGCCCTCTCCGCAAGCTCATCTCCAACTGCTAGTCTCAACCTCTCACACGTGGCAGGACTATCCAGGTTCCAAACCCCTGCGTCCCCACCAACCTCCTTTCCGTTCATCCTCCTAGCAGCAATTACTGCCTCTCGTAGTGCAAAGAAGACTGTACTGCCTAGGAATAGGGGGGGTTCCCCAATTCCCTTTGAACTCTGTACAGTCCTCAGATGATGCCAGCTCAACGGCTTGCCCTCGTTATCGTTGCGTAGCATGCTGGCGTTGAAGATCTGCGGAATATCGGAGAAACCCGGGATCTTGTAGGTGCCTGGGCCGCGGGTGAAGAGTTGGCCAGACTGGGTCCAGAGACTTTCTTCGATAGTGAAGAGACCTTGGCCTTGAATGAAAGCGCCTTCGATCTGGCCGTAGTCTATCGCTGGATTGATCGAGTTGCCAACGTCCTAGAAATGTGTTAGTAGGCAAGAAGAAAGGGATTCAAATAAAGACATACCATCATGATGTCACTTCGTAGAACAGTGTGATCGCCAGTGAGAAGGTCGAGCTCAACCTCGGAACAGGCCGCTCCTTGGGTCCAATAGTAGTACATGGGTTTGACTGTCTCCAAGTTCGTGTCGCCCCAGGTGTAGCCAACCTTTGGCATTTTCCAGAATCCGTTAGCAGCGAGATTGACCCGGTCGACATAGGCGGCATGTGCAAGCTCCTTGAGTGGAGCATCTTTGCCCAGCTTCTCGCGGTAGGGTTGTAACCTTTTATTGATCTGGTCACAGGCGTCCTTGACAGCCATGCCGTTGAGATCAGATCCGGATGAGGCAGCGGTAGGCGAAGCGTTAGCAATCTGGTACGTCTGGCTGTCCTGGGTATAGATAGCATCGAGGGGAGTACCGAGCTCTTGTGCGGCTATCTGGCACATCTTTGTGTATAGCCCTTGCCCCATCTCTGTTCCTCCGTGGTGCAACAAGACACTCCCGTCGTGATAGATCTTGACGTATGCAGCAGCCTGGTTGAGATGCAGAGCTGTGGCGAAACTGAGACCAAACTTGGACGGAACAAGACAGATGCCTCGCTTCCTCCATCGGTTCTTTGAGTTGAACTCTTTGATTGAAGCCTTTCTCTTTTCGTAGTCGGATGATCGACTCAGTTGGTGCAATAGCATCGGTACGTGCCAGTCCTCGTCAATCTTTTGGAAGAAAGGCGTGTGTTGTCCAGGCTTGTACAAGTTCTTTTGTCGCAGCTCATCAACATCCATGCCCAGACCTTCAGCGATATTGTACATGATGGTCTCGGAGAAGTACATTCCCTGTGGCGCACCGAATCCTCGGTAAGCCGTGTTGCTGTGGATGTTGGTCCGACATACATGACCGCGCAAGAACACATTCGGACACTCATAAGCATTATCGATGTGCGTCAAGCAACGATCCATAACGGCTCCGCTCATATCCTGAGAGAAACCGCCATTGTTGTACATGTCGACTTCGAGAGCGATCAGCTTGCCTTCCTTCGAGACTCCGACCTTCCACTGTGCCTTGAATGGATGTCTCTGGCCGCTGAGCAGCATATCTTCATCTCGATTCAGCATGATTCGCACTGGTCGTTTCTCTTTATTAGCAGCTATCGCGGTGTAGACTGCAAATGGTACGCTTCGAGACTCTTTGCCGCCAAAGCCACCTCCCATGCGCTTGACACGGGAATTGACGCGATTGCTTGGTATGCCCAAAACCGAACTGACAAACTCCTGAGTTTCCATGGTGTTCTGGGTAGATGACCACACCTCGATAGCCCCGTCTTCACCAGATGGTATCGAAAGCGCCGCGTTGGTCTCCAAGTAAAAGTGTTCTTGGCCGCCCAACCGGCTCATGCCCTCAAAGATCTTGTCGCATTGCGCGAAGGCGTCCGCCATTTTATCGTCAATAGCAAGACCCTTGCGCAAGAATTTTCCGTGCGGAAAAAAGCTTTCGGCCGCTATAGCTTCATCGATGGTGAGAATCGGAGGAAGGTCTTCGTATTCGACTTTGACGGCTCGAGCAGCTGCTTGGGCCTCCAGCGCTGTTTCAGCATAGACCATACCAATGACCTGACCATGCGATAGCACCTTGTCCACGGCGAAGAACGGTTCGTCTTTCTTGATCGAGCCCCAAATGTTGGCCTCGGCGGAGATGCTGTTCTTGTCAATGTAGCCAGCGACACCAGACATTTGGAGCGCTGGCTCCCAATCGATGCTTAGGATCTTCGCGTGTGCTTTTGTTGACATGACGAGACCACCAAATAATTCCCGGTCTACTCTTGGCATGTCATCGACATACTCGGCCTCTCCCGTACACTGCTTCAAGGCGGACAAATGCGGCACTTGCTTGCCTACTACACGTTGTTCATGCGGGTTGTAGTCATCTCGGGTACCACTGGAAATCTCGCGGTGAATTTCATCGATAACCTGCTCGTCAACCTTGCCGAGGCCAAGATCAGCAGCCGACTCATGCCAGAAGCGGAAAAAGAGCGAGAGTGTGAGCGTCTTGCGGTAGTCCGCCATGCCACCCGGAACGCCGTAAGGAAGATCGTAATCTTGTAGCAACGCGGTAAGGGCAGCATCGAGCGTCTCGGAATGGAACCATGGCTTCCCCAGAAGAGCGCTCTGTGTCTTTGGTGACTCCTTCGTCATAGGCGCCATTCCACCGAACACAATGGAAGAATCCTCTACCAGACCATCTGAGTCGAGGCGCACGCGGAAGGCTGCTGTGACAATCGCAATATCGTCGTCCTTACGCTTTGCCTGCTTGTACGCTTTGAGAACCTCCCGGGAGCCTTGCAGGGCAAAGGGTATTCGGATTCGGTGTAGAGCTGCGTCGGGGGGAAGGGTCGTCGTTCTATAAGCAATGAAGAATTTCGACATGGGAAGGTCAACACTGCCATCCTTCTTATTGACTGCCTCTAGTGTCGCTCCCGCCGCAATCAACACGGGATTCGCATCAGAGATGGGCGAGGCGGTTGCGATATTGCCCGCTAGCGAAGCAACATTACGGATCTGGCGACCAGCAAAGTATCGCAGTTGTTTGCGCAATGCCTCAAGAACCATTGCTCGCTTTCCGAGCTTCGCATAGATATTCTTGCAAAGTTCTTCCAGCTCAGTGAGTGGCGTGTTGGCCGCAATGACCAGCTCCTTTGCCACCTCGAGCTCAGCATCCATTGGGAGTCTAGTCTGCTTCAGTTCCGGGATATCAGAAACGTATACAGACACAGAAAAGTCGGAATTCTTGAAGCGAACTTCCACTTGCACCTCACTAGCGCCGCCCACAAGCTTCGCAGAAGGGTAGGCATCTTTCAGCTCGACCAACTGCTCAAGCCTGGTGGGCCTGAACCAGATCTTCTTCTCGTTCCCGTAGCAGAGAGGTTGTGGTTCATACTTCCATAGTGCAGGTGGAAATATGAGCTCCGTTTCAGGAACATACTCCAAGAACTCAATCTTGGGCACGCCCTTTTCCGAGTTCCCCGCTGGTGCTATGGTGGTAGATGTAGCAGTCTTGGACTCTGCAGCAGCACCAGTCTCTTTACTTTTCAGCGGCTTCGCATAGTCGGCGCCACTGATGGCAGCATCCACAGACGGCTGTTTCCTTGCGTCAAGGATGGCGGGAACATGTTCATCTTCTGAAGCTGATGTAGGCTCAGTTGGTGGTGACGAAGTCTCTGACTTGGTGTCTGTTGAGCTGCTATCAGATGGTGTATCACGGCAGCAACCGCCTGGTCTTCCACAGGAGACCTTGGAGGGACCCGCACAGCCGTTACGCGTGAGATCAATGACATCTTTCTCATACTTCTCGGCATCCGCAGTGGTTGGCTCGTCTTCCTCAGCTAGCTGGCCTTTCAGATCCTCGGTGACGAAGGTCTTTGCAGCTTGCAGAATCGGCTTATATCCAGTGCATCGACACAAGTTGCCATCCAAGTGGCCCTCCATCTCGATCTCGCGAGCGCTAAGATGGAACTTCTTCGTCTCTGGGTCATAGGCATTCCGCACTACCGCATAGAGACTCATGACAATTCCAGGTGTGCCTTGAGCATACGTTAATGTGCGTACAGTGGAAAAACTCTTGACTATACTTACAAAAGCCACACTGGCTGCCATGAAGCTTCGCGATTCTCTCCTGCAAAGGGTGTGGTCGACCCACATTGCCGATGCCCTCAACTGTGATGACATGTTTGCCGTCGATACCAACCAGCGGAAACAGGCATGCATTTACCGATAAGTGCTTGATCCTCCTCTTCTCAGACTGCAGATCCGGGACCTGGAGAACAACTGTGCACGCGCCACAGCCGCCTTCGCCACACCCCAGCTTGGTCCCCTTGAGGTTTGGTTGCGCGCGAATGTAGTCCAACAGAGTCCAGTGCGGGTTCGCATTACTGATGACTGTTCTCCGACCGTTGATGTATGTTGTAATATCTGGTGTTTTGTATGTCGATTCGATCAGGGGCGTGAGGGCCTCGGTGGCGGAAAGCCCGCGCGCACTGGCCGCACTGCTTTTCGGTGGAGACGGCAAAGACATGTTCGGACAGGCGTCAAACCTCAACCACAATACAGTAGAACCGTAGAAGGTGCGATGGGCTCCTCATAATATGATGGACAAATACCAATGACCCCTCATCTTCTGCATGCAGCAGTATATTATGGCTGTCTCACGTAATGGCATCGCCGATTGGCCTGGTTGATTGACTTGTCGGTAGATGCTCACTAAGGCCCGCCGATAGACGCTCTCGCCTTCGTAAAGACTGGGCCCGCACCACCCCACTCTTGAACCACCAACCTTCAGCTGACAGTCCAGTTGTACAGATGGTCGTTTGTTACCACACCGCAAACAGTAGCCTCGCTAGTCCCAGCCTAGTCTCCCCCCATTTCTGCCACTCTGTGCCCTGGGAGATGCGGCTATGGAGACCATCATCGGCTTTGGCGTTAGCGCCAGGTACATAGAGCACCCTGAGTAGTCACCATGTGTGCCACGTAGTTTTTGGAAGACTTATGCCACGGCCCCAATTCACTTCACACTGTCAAAGACATCAGTTTTCAGAGGTAAATCGACACTCGCAAGCATGCCAGACTTCAAGCCGCTCAAGGAGACACCGCTCTTCTCACCGTTCAAGCTCGGTCCTCTCAACCTCGAGCACAGAATTGTGCAGGCACCGTTGACACGTATGCGTGCGGTAAAAGAAAGTGACGGGGTGTTTGTGCCAAAGGACCTACACGTTGAGTACTACAGCCAACGTGCGAGCAAAGGCGGCTTGCAATTGACCGAAGCTACTGATATCGCCAAATATGTCAGTCACTCGCTCTTCCTGTCGCCAATAACCATGTTGACTTGTCTAGGCCAGCGGATATCCCGGCGTACCCGGTGTTTTCTCGGATTCGCAAATTGCGGGCTGGAAGAAAGTCACAGACGCAGTACACGCAAAGGGCGGCTACATCTTCTGCCAACTATGGCACACCGGACGTGCCAGTCCGCCATCGTTCCGTGCTGGAGCGCCGACGGTGAGCTCAAGCGACGTGCCAATGGAGGGTAGCTGGCTCGATGGTGTGGCATGTGCCGACCACCCACCCAAACCGTTGGGTGTCGAAGAGATCCAAGACCTCGCCAAAACTTGGGGAGAAGCATCGAAAAAGGCGATAGAAGCTGGTTTCGATGGTATTGAGATCCATGGTGCCAACGGATACCTCATCGACCAGTTCCTACACGACAACGTAAACAAGAGGACAGATCAGTATGGTGGTTCAATCGAGGGTCGCAGTCGCTTTCCCCTCGAGGTCATCCAGGCCTGCTCAAAAGCCATTGGCGCTGATCGTGTAGGCATCCGTCTCAGCCCCTACAACTACTTCCAGAATACCAAGGACAGCAACCCCAACGAGCACTGGGAATACCTGTGTGAGAAGATTGCATCTCTACCGGAGGCAGAGAGGCCGGCATATGTCCACATGTGAGTCATCAGACTTCAGCTCCAAGAACAATCCTAACAACTGCCAGGGTCGAGCCGCGCTTCGACGAAGTCCTAGACGAACAGGCCAAGATGGATGCGCTGGCCGCATATACCAACAAAGGTGGCAAGGGCGTTGAGGCCGAGGCGACCGTAAAGGCCAAGGGGAACACACTCGTCAACTTCCGCAATATTTTGCAGAAGGGCGGCGTAAAGTTCATCGCGGCTGGTGGCTTCAACCGGGACAACGCCGCGCCCAAGGTTGAATCTGGTGATGCCGACCTCATCATCTTCGGTCGCTGGTTTATTGCCAACCCCGATCTTCCCAAACGCCTCGCTGAGGGTCTGGAGCTGAACCAGTACGATCGCGACACTTTCTATGGCGCTGATCCGCCACAGAAGGGCTATACCGATTACCCTTTCCATGCGCAGACTGCTTCTGCGTAAATCGGCTGTCTACTGTAATGCATTAGTGGCGCTAATTCAGTTGTTGCATTTCAGAGCGCATTTGGTTAGTCGTAGAACAATTCATCTGCCTTAGACATCCAAGTTCGTGTTTCATCAATTGATGTGGGTGGGAGCTGTTGCGCGAACATGACGCGTCCGAGTCACGGGTCTGTTGTGATGATCATGATCTGGGTGCCGAATTGACCTGACCAACAAGCCAATTTTTAGTCAATTGGTAGTAACTTGACCGGCATATGATCTTCTATTAGTGGCTGAGATGCGTCCAAGACTACATAACATCAAATTTGAACGCAAGCATGATGATGGAAGATGCTCGTTGGAAAGGTTTGTTGTGGACAGGGGGTCCCGGTAGCGGTACGACCGGCATGGTGGACAACACGCGATCCGTGACTTTACTGTTACATCCCACTTTCACTGCATCGTCGTATTCACTCTCCGGGCATCATGGCAAGACGCAAAGCGAAGAATCTCGCGCCATCGGTCCCGCTAAGACCTGCCGGTAACCAAGCTGACGAGACGAGAATTACCCAGCACTTCGAGGCTATCACTCAACGCAGCGCTGGTGATTATCTCAGCAGGCTTCCAGATGAGGTTCTTCTCAGAATCTTTAGTTTCATACCGATTCCAGAATACCTCTTCGATGGCCCTCGAGCAACAAAAGGACTACCAGCATCTCCAACCCGCGATTATTTATCGCTTTCCCTGGCCTGTCGCTCGCTGAACGGCGCTGCCACGAGCATGCTTTATTAGAGATACCTTCATAACTGGGATCACGTATCATCGACAAAATTCATTAGCGCTCTAATTGCGAAGCTTACTTTTGCAAGGCTGGTCAAGGAGGTGAAGGAGGTTGGCACACAGTACTACGCTTGGGACAAGTATCACTGTGTTGCCCGTCGCTACCGCAATGCCGAAATCATCGAGTCCATGCGTTCTCTCACGGTAAACCTTGAAATCCCTCAAGCCGATGCCTATAACGCTCTATTCATCGACGACCAGGATCTTTATCACAATCTGGAAGCAGCACTCATCTTGTTTCAAACACCAAACATTGAGAGGCTCTCAATGAACTGCGCCCCAGGATTGAAAACACTGGTCCGGTCTTCATTCGGATTCCTCATGAATTCACTCAGGGAGCCTTACGCAGCTCTTCTGCCTCTGCTCTATGCAGCACAAAACATTCCGTACGGCAAGGTGCACACGTTCAAGAACCTTAGAAGCCTCAGGCTACGTATGATTGGTCTGCATATCAATACCGTATCACCACTGCTTCAGCTGGAGTCTCTACGTGACTTGGTACTTTTTGATTATGAGGACATGGGATTCGACCTTGATGACCCACCTTGCGAATGGAAGTGTCCTTCGCAGACCTCGAACGTCCAAAATATAAGGCTGTACAACTTCCAATGCCATCTGGGGTCTCTGGAGCATCTTCTGCAGTCATGCCGAGCCTTGAAGACGTTCTCTTTAACTACTACGCAGGATAACATCCCTGTCTCGAACTGGCCGAAATTCAAGGTCCTTTTGTACAAAAATCAGCCTTACCTGAGAGCGGTGAAGATCAAGGACATGCGTTTTAGCAGGATAGATTTTGAGCCACTAGGGTCTCTCAAAGAGTTTACATGCCTGGAATATCTTGCTGTAGCACTGGAGCTCTTGATTGGTAAGTGTTCGGATCTTTCCTTGCTAGCAGTCACTGATTAGGCCAGATCCTTCGGATGAAACCAAGGATTCCACACTCGACAAAGTATTGCCTCCAAGCCTACAGACCCTCGTACTCCGCAAAGGACATGAAAGGTCACTTCCGCAGTCTATTGAGGATATTTTCGACAGAGTCGAATGCGACAGACAATTTCAAACGTTGCTGAATGCATGCCAGACGGGGAGAATACCCTTCAAGACCTTTGGTATATGGTATCATACGAGATTTCCTATAGACATTCATGGAAGCCTCCTGGTTGGAAATTATTGGGATATTGATGACGTGCATATCGACTTTTACGGATGTGCGAGGCTCTTCAAGACACTCGGTATACACTTTGATTACGTCATCCAAGTACACCACGAACTAGAACATGGTAAGAACATCAGTTACCAGCCATCAAATTCCTACACTAATGCTATTCTTTTTACAGAATGCCAAAAGATTCTGATACCGACCCTAGTCAAAAGGGGAAAGACGGTTGAGCGAGAGTATAGAAAACATCTGAGATCTACCTCTAATACCTATTTCCTCTACAATTTTAAGTGTGTCCGGCGTCCGACCTTCTTTGATAAAGATGACGACCGGTACCAGATTCAGTCCGACAGTATAGTAGAGAAAAACAGGGCACGAGGTTTACAAACAGTGCCCTTTTATGCGGAAGACGACAGCCCACGCGGCCCAGGATAAGTGCGGCGCTAGTTTCACACTGCGGCTACCGAGACAAAGACCGGGTCACAGTGTTGGATGACAGTGTCTGCTTTATATCATACATATACAACTTGGATTTATTTGTTACCTACGAACTTTCTGATTGTTCAGACCATTCGCGTATCTGACTGACACTTTCTGGTAAAGATGTCAATCCAGCAACAATCGCAAACCATGGCTGAATTAAGCAACGGAATGTCGTCACCAGTGATCCTCGCGGAGAACCCCTTTTCAGACCGCTATGCGCTAGACACATCTCCCCGGCATGAATCTGTCTTTGCCATCGGCGACGGTGAAGAAGACGAAGAACCAGCCGCGCCCCCAGCATCCGAACACGCACAGGTCCCAAACCCCACCCTTCAACGCCAAGCCATCCAACTTATGCTCGACCTCTTCCCTGGCCATACAGCCACAGACATCAAGGTAACGCAGATGCACTCCAACCCCCACAACCTCACAATCCATATCAACCTCTTCCCTCCGTCTCCCCCCGCCCCCTGGTACACCCTCACAACCCTCATCTCTTGCCTCCCTATCCACCACCACCGCCGCCTCACCCGTCCAACCCGCTACACCCTCCGCATCCCTTCCACCACCACGCCCTCCACAGCTCTAACCTACGAGGTGACCACCCTCACCTACCTCTCCCACGCCTTCCCGCAACCCGTCCCCAAAGTCACCGTCTACGACTCCAGCACGTCTAACGCGCTTAGCACTCCGTATATCCTGTACGAACGTCTCCCTGGCTCTTCTCTCCGCGCTATCTGGGGCACTTTGAATGCTGCACAACGTCAAAGCGCCGCCCGTGGTGTCGCATCTTTGTTCTGCGATTTGCAAAAGTTGCGGAACAAGTGCGCTGGTGTTGTTAGTCCGCGCAACACGGTGTTCGATTTCAAACAGGATGTTGTGCGTCTGGAGAAGGTGCCGCTTTCTCGGTCTCGCTCCTCTGCTGCAATGGGTGGTGCTTTACCCTCGCTGGCGGACGCGATGAGCACGCGTGAGCTGTTGCATGATCTTGTGAAGCGACAGCGGAACAATACGGAGACACCTGGCGCTGAGGTTGTTTGGACGCGCGTGGAGGCTATGATTGAGGCGTTGTCTGAGCGCGGTGTTATCCCCGACTCTGAGCCCTTTTTTCTGCAGCGGTCCAGGCTGGACGCGGATCATATTCTTGTCTCCGTAGTTGATGATGCGAATGTGAAGATTACGGGCGTTCTTTCTTGGGGGGATGTGCTGTTTGGGCCTAAGTTTCTGGGAGCGCAGGTTCCGCAGTTTCTGCTCAGTGGTGGGGGGGGAGAGATTTGGAAGGCGTATGGGGAGGAGTTGGTGGGTGTGTTGGCGGCTTTCGAGGGGGGTATGGGTGAGGAGTGGTGTAAGATGGCGTATCGAACGGAGACTGTGCTGGCGTGGAAGCTCTGGGCGGTTTTGCTCAAGGGGTTGGTTGGTGGTTGCGATGTTTTTGCTGCGGAGGAGATGTTGGATGAGTTTGAGAACTTAGGGATGCGGGCGTGATATGTTTGTCTCTATTCATCGTTGGAAAGAAAATTGTTTCGCAAGTTCCAGGCTTTGTCCTCCTTATGTCATGTGTCTTTCACCGCAATGTATCCTTTTGCTCATTCCGCGCTTTCCTCGTCCAATATGAGATGTGCATCATTGCCTCTTACCATTACACAAGTCTACGCTGGAGGGTAGTAGACACAGTCCGCAACAATCAATTAAGTGGGTCCTAGAAGGTTCAGATTGGATTGATTGATTACCGCTTTAAGCCTAGTAGTTACCTATAGGAGTTTAAGCCCTACCTAGATAGGTAAGTGGGTCTAGGAGAGTGACCGGATTGAATTGATTGTTGCGGAGTCTAGTAGTAGACATGCTAGACAAAAAAATTGAATTGCCATGTAAACCCCGTAGCAATACGTACAAGACTTCTATTAATGCCTCACTCTCTTTCTCTTCTTCGTCTTTGAATTCAGCTTTGACTCCGTCCCCTAGCATCCGCCTGCACTCGTTTGTTGCCTGCCCTAGAGCATTAAAGAACTTCTCGAGAATTAATGTCACCTACTGCGAAGCGAGACACACAACGAAGCGAGACAAACTACAGGTACTTTAAACTTTCATAACAGAGCTTCTTATGAGAAAGCTCCGCGTCTTAGAGTTAAAAATTACTAGTCCTACGATGTTCTTTATAGCCTTATTAAAAGGAGCATCCTATTTATCTGTTATAAACACCTTAGTCTTGTCAGATATTCACTCTCATCTGGAATACTGATGAAATAGGTAATGAATGGTGATGATGTTGATTATTGATTGTGTTGTGGTTCTGTCTACGGTTGTGGGCACACCTAGAGGGTGCCAAGCCTTCCTGTGATCCGATTGGCTCTCACAGATGCCGGGTCGCGCTAGTCTAACCCAGCGTCTGTACGCTCTCATCTTCAACAGTGCTATTATCTGACAAGTCTACAACAACACCTTATAGTTAACCGCAGCTTCTAATCTGATAGATCTTTTCACACTGCGTACTCATTATACATGACTTTCAACGGCTCC